CCCCCCCCCCCCCCCCCCTCCGACAATTTCAATTGTTTAATTGTTTGATTTTAAACTTTAAATATCAATGAAAATCTGTTGGTAATGGTTATATATATTTTTACTGCGCTCATGACCACAATAGTAAATTTATCACTAGTAATGACCCCGAGGAAGACTGCATTACGCGTCACGTGCAATATAAACAAATGTGAACTTAGACCTTATAACTTCACAATGGCGGGGGAGCAAAAGAGTAATAGCAACACCGGCTTAGTGTATTGTATTGCATGTAAAACTATGGGCATTCTGACTGTGATATGTGTACTGAGTCTCATAACGCATACTCAAGCTGTGGATCCAATAGAAATATGTGGTGCTGATGGATACGATATTACGAATTTAACCAGGTGAGATGCAAGGATCTATATATGACTTGTGCATACTTTCAAATCACGTGCATTATTTGAGAACACGGTCATGTGACCGAGGTGCTAGCACCAAACTTTAATGTTATATCCGTTATGTCACCCATTTTCCTACATAAAGTCAGTGATGTTGACGCTTACACTTTTACTGGGTATGCATACATGTATCATACATTCCTAATATCTGTAATATAGGCCTTCCGATGTCAAATGATGTCAACTCGCACTTTATCTTTAAAAATGTCAGGTCGTCATGTTGCCCCATTCAGGCCGTATAGTACTGTGTGTAGGTTGGGGAGGAAAGCGGCTTATCCTGAGCACACTAGTCACCGACAAGTCTTCTTTAGTCGACGGCTTCCTTATGAGAGCATTCCTTTTTCACATTCACATACTCTACGTGTTAGAGCTGCCTTCAGTGCTTTTGTACACGAGCGGAAAACCCGGAAGTCACTTAGGTAGAAATGGTTGACAACAATTTTTACTGAGTCAAATATACATATTTCCAAACAACATGCGTGCTGTGCTTGCACTGATCCAATACACGAGACATTATTTGCTTGTTCGCTGGTAACATTGAGTCAGCAGTGTCTCATGCTACTTCATAGACCATTTTAAGTCCTACCATTGCTACATACATGTATAGTCGACCTCTCTCGGGTTAAATGCCTTATTTATATATACAGTTTATATATATATAAGCCTAAAAAGGGCACTTACAAGATGGGTACGGAATAAATAAAAATGGGTTGGGTATTTCACGGCGTAACTGTGCCAGTAGTCGCACATGTATTTGACTATAACGTTGCTTTTTCTATTTATCATCCCTGTGTCTAAAGAAGGCAAATCGTAAGTTACATTATTGTACTGCTGGGGGCGTCTCGATAGTCCGAAGGTTCATTGGTCCGAAGGTTCATTGGTCCGAAAAGTGGTAACATTTTCATCGATTTTTTAATCAAGGGTTCATTGGTCCGAAGGTTTTATAGTGAACATTCGGACCAATGAACCTTCGGACTATTGAACCTTCGGACTATCGCTACGGCCCCGTACTGCTACTATTGTTGCCGTTGCCTTTTTGAGCAATTGAGCGAAGGCGGTGCACAGAATCTATGGCAAAGCATTCTCGATATATTTTAAGTGCTGGTGTTTTTTCCTAATTACAGTGCTGACTACTGGGAGTTCTCTACAGATCAAAAGTGTCTTCATTTAGGAAACGCCACCACTTCAAATTGTACGTTTTTCATGGCGTTTTGTAAGCCTTTGCAAAGAGGAGGAACCAATTGTACCAACGCAGGCATCTGCCAGATGGATGATGACAACCCAGAAAATGTTTATAGAATAGGTGGATACCGGCAAAATCCTTTTGTGGAACAAGGTTAGAAAACATTCTCACTAGTTCTCATATAAGACTATATCTGTTCATAGCGCATTTATTCAGTTACTTTGGGCACCGAGCGTTAGGCGCGGTTGGGACTCTCACTTCACATTTTCATTTTATTCTTTTGCAGATACGAATGGTTTTTTCGCTGGATTTCCGAACGGACAGTCCTTCACAACTTCTTTTGGAAAACCGTGCAATCTTTCCATTTTAATTGAGTTTAAATGCAACCAGAATGCACTGTGGAGGGCAAATATTGATACTTCTACTGTAAATCCCTCTGAGGCTCCGAATCCAACGAAGTTGGTGTACCACCCAACTTCTTGTGCTGTAAGTAGTATATTCATCTATTACCTTTTATTATGTCGTGTCTCATGTTTCGGACCAGCTGAAAACAATAGGGGCAAGATGNGGTGTGAGGTTAGTCTGTAAGTACTGGTAGATGACCACATTGAGCATAAAAGGGTATTCCTCCTGCTTTACAGAACTATACACCTCAGGGGTAAAGTGCACTATCTCGCTTCATATAACTAGTAGTACGTACCCAGTGCGAGTGATTTGGCTGCGAGTGCGTTACCCGAGGAAACGTTACCTTCTTTTTTATTTTATTTTTTTAAATTTTATTTATTTATTTTGAAGGAAAATAAGATTGATTCGCTGTTATCAATATAAAATAATCTATGTGTAATCCGCTTATCGTTAAGTGGCCGTGTACATTGCTGTTGTCTACTTTATTTCAGTATCAGCTAACTTTTGACTATGCAGGTGCATGTCAGAAAATTAGCCCAGCCACAATGGTAACTTCTTTAAGTGCGGGTACAGTGCTTATCATCATGTGAGTAGACAGAGCAATCCATTTAATTATTAACTATCAGCCATACCAATCTATACAAAAGCTCGTACTTTATTTGAGGGCATTATATATAACTTAGGTTAGTCAGTAATCAGAATGTAGTGTCACCCACCATTTAATGGACACTGGAAACTCGCAGTGTTACGTCACACACCAAATAAAAGTAAATAATCACGTATTAACTACTTTTTTTCCCTATTTTTCTTTTTCTTTCAGATTTTTTGTCTCATTGTTTGTTTACTTCCTGTTCGGCAGTCTAGCGAACGCGTGTGTGTTTGAGCAGACAGGAGCTCATATAATTCCCAACTACGATTTCTGGATCATGTTACCCACCTATATTGTCGTAAGTCACCTTTCTGATGTCAACTTTGAAGTAAAAAGTAGAAATGTTGTTTTGGATGCAAATATACCTTTTATTTTGGGCCATAAAACGGATTTTGATTGTGTTTTTTTCGACCCCCTCCTCCCAGCTTCATCTTGGTTATTCATTTCAAGTTTTCTAACTGATAGATTTTGATTGCCCCGATTCATTACTTTAAGCCCTGTGCTTGGTCTCCATTTTTTATTTGTCTTTTCAAAACTAATCAATTAAAATCATATAGACATGGTATATTATAGTCAAGTGATGAATAGAAATCATTAGTTTTCATTTTATTTTGATATCTCAGCCGTTTTATTGATATCAGAATGTATAAATCCTCCGTGCCTTTAAAGTGATAAATATCGAAGTTGGAGATCAGGCACAGGCCGCAAAGTTCAGTCAAAACTAGGACCCACCAAAAAAAGTGAAAATGATCTGTGAAATTCTCTTTATTGCATCTCTTAAAATAAATTCTTTAAAAGGTTAAACTTTGAAATAATTTTAATGTTTTTTTTTTTCAAATAAAAAGAACCTATCAAAATCAAATACATGATGATTATAAAACAGCGGAATAATTTATTGTGTTAAAAATATATTAACTGCGAATTTCTATTGTGTTCTAGGATGGGTTTACATTTACATTCAGCTGCATGTGTTGTAGAGAGACGAATCCGTCCCATTACGAGGATATCGAATGAAACGATAAAAAGTGTGTACAGTGTATATTCAAGAATTCATCAAAATTTCTTGTTTGGTACCTATTGTGATAAGACAGTACAGTTATTCAAGTCTTGTTTTTTATGGAAGAGAAGTTGTAGAAAAATCACATTATCAATATGATACTCTCCCTGACATAAGTATTGTTAGGGCTTTTAGTGCAGTGAATGATTTCTTATTCAAGTAGAGTAATATTTAACTAATATTAGTTTTCAATAACCTATATTTCAACAAAAAGTGCAATATTTATAATTACCCGATAACAATGGCTTCGATAAAGGTTTCTTCGAATCAGTCCATTTTGTTGAGCAAAACCAAATTTGAACTATGGTTGAGATAGATCAGTTTTAACATGTAATTGCATAAAAATTACTACATATACAGGAGTATTTAGTTCATTATGAAATAAAACATTTTATAAACTATCGATAAGTGCTCATTTTCTTTGGCTATCAGAAATAACGGGACTTCACCATTTTCATCTGTGTGAATGATGAAAGTTATTAGGTTGAAAATACTTCTTTATTTGTCAATGGCCTTACTTAAAGTGCATTAATGTTTTAAAATATTTTATTAAAAAAACGGTTCTTTGTTGTTCCTTGAAAATACAACGTATTGCAAAATTGTACACTTTACTAACAAATAATATGATTTCGGTACCGTTTTGAATAAAAATTATAATTATTAAGTAAATTATAATCATTTAATAATTATTAAGAATACTTCAATAACAATAATTATTATTATTAAATAAGAATGAATAAATTACATTTCACAATGAATTAAGAGGCACTTGAACAAGAGGCAAGGAGAAGGATTTTTCATGAGGGATTTGAAATACTTTCATTGCTCAATTAGCCTGTCTAATGTCACTACTAGGCGACTAGCCCGTGGTGACGCTGCAGTTGACTACCAACCATCTTCTAACAATATGAATTAGCTACCAGTTTAATAATAGCTTCAAGGCCCTGAATCATTTGTTTCTGTGCGTTGTCAATAAAGAAAAAAAAAACAGACACTAAAAATGTCCAATCTATGTAAATAAACCTGGTAATTTGAAATAGGGTAGGGCAGTTATTTACAGGAATGCAGAGGGTGTGTATGGAAAGTAATGGCACTGGTGTCACAAGCAGTTCATTTAAAATTCCAAACAACAAACTACATGGTTTCTCTACCCAAATTAGCCCTTTTGAGTCCAAGGCCCCATTCCCATAGACACCATCGGTCTAAGTAGGTCGATCCAACTCCGCGGAGTTGGTCGTTTTGAATTATAGTAAATTGTTTGTGGCCCCAGCTCCGTTACTTTTCAGGCACAACGGGCATGCTCTCTGTAGGAGCTTTCTACGCGACTACTATTCCTTTCACCCGTGGATGTCCATTTCTAGACACCTTGGAAGTACACTTGAGGAGGTTCCTCGTCTTTCACTCAGTTAAAACGTTTATGATACAAAATACAAAGTACACATTAAGACATTGAAACGCAAGTCATCGGCAGCTAGAAAACATTTGCATGTCTGTAGTGTAGTTTGGAACAACCTCTGAATCATGCTCCGAAAATCAGATTTTCTTGGTTTCTCATTCTTCATATGCTTCATTCACTGTCCCTCTATCCGAAGTCACAGGTGTGTCGGTGACGGTATCATTTTTCCACCGTAAACTTCCAGTCACCTTTTCATCGACAATTGCGTCAGGACGAACACATTTCCATAATCTGTAGATCGCAACCACAACCAAGAGCTCTACAACCAGCACCAGACCGTACAGGAGTGACACGTTGACCGTCGTAGCTCTCTCCGTGGGGTCATGGAATGCCGTCGCGGAGAGACTGATGCACAGGGGCACATTCTGGAACCCCATCTCCAGCGCAATTGTTTTCCGTTCGCTCTGCGTCCGGCGGCAAACGAAGGCCACAAAGAACCCCTGGGCCACGCCGATATTGCACAACAAGATGCACGCTAGCCACACCTCCCAAACCGATGCGAATATATCAGAGTAGAGGAATATGTTCAAGGCGATGCTAAATACAATAGCTAGGAGCGCGGGTACAGTACCTGCCTGAAAGTAAATTTATGGGTTTTGTCAGAAAATTTATTTACAAATTGTCAAGGGTTCGCAGATGTCTATTTCAAGTGGCTCTTCAATATTTAATGCACGTTTTAGTACTTTTGACACCTACATTAACTTTCATGACCGCTTACTATGCAATGTGCAATGGGATTCAACTTTTGCCTTTTGCTCTTTGTAAAACCGGTTAAAAAAAAAAAAAAAAAAAAAAAAAAAAAAAATTAAAAGTCAACTGATCAAACGAAAGCCTCCCTCTAGCTATAGACCTAGAATGAAAAAGTTGATTGAATGACAGAATTTCATGCAATTTTCTGAAGCTGAGGAGCCTCGTTCCCCTAATCACGTGCACTGATAATTAAAACGCTAAATAAGTTTTGGTGAATATTTCCTTTCACACACACACACGCACACACACACACACACACACACACACAATCTTACCTTTACCAGATTTTTGGCTAACTTTTCCTTCTTGTATCTGATGACCATTCCTAGAGCTGCAGGGATCAATATTAATACTAATGAGATAGTAATGTTCACGTAAGGTATTGCAGTTATTTTTTGCTCCCAGAACCGACTGTATATAAACAGATTTAGCGGCATGGTACCAAACGCCAAAGTCGTTGAAACTGTTGTAATAAATACACTGAAATTGAAAGGCATTCTTTAAATAATGCTTCACGTCGAAAAAAAAAATTACTGTTTACGAAGATCTCTCCTCCAGCAAATGTTATAAAACGAAGTCCAATTAAAATTTGACGTCGCACAACATTCATTACAAAAATAAATTACGGGGCAACCTAAATAAGATAAATCATAGAACACACTGTGTAGTACTAATGGTAGGCTAACGGTTGACTTGAAACAAAAAAATTCATAAACTTACCTTAGAGAAACGTCGCCGCCAACCCAGTAGGTGAAAATATTAGAAAATGTCCCGCCAGGTGCAGCCGCAATGATAAGAAGACCCAGTGACTGGTACGGTTCAAGCTGAAGTGCGTGGGCAAGCCAAAACGCTGTCAACGGCATCAGGACAAACTGACAGACGGCGCCAATAGCTGGGCTGACCGGTTTTTTAATGTGTTTTTTCAGATCTTCCAACACCACGCCGCATCCCATTCCAAACATCATCAAAAACATCAAGAAATTCATGATGTATGGATTGGCTGCGTTCAAAATGCCAACAGCATGGTTGGCCGTTTGCTGGCTGTGGTTGTCACCGCTTGTATTCCACATCGCGTTGCGGGAAGTCACCGAAAATTTGGTCACTCGAGAGAAAGTACAAGATCTTATTTACCACAAAGTAAGCTGTCCTCTTGCTGTCAACCCTCTATACGTCACAGCAGTCTTGACAGAAGTCACCGAAGAATATACAATGACCTTCGGTGTTTTAATGTAAATAACTTTGGTGACCATGGTTATCATATAAGAAGTATTCCAATCCCAAAATAAGGACGACTAAAAGCCGTTGCTCTTGCCCCATGGCCACCTGTTGGATTCTATTCTAAAAATGCTTATGCATTTAATAATATTACTTTCATATTCAGAAGAAGATGATTCTAAAATTAAGTACAATGCTTACGTTTTTCCAATTAACCGATGTCAAATAATTTGATTTACAACGCTCTTTAGTAAGAAAAGTGTGCGGAGTAACACATCTTAAGTCAATAGGTTTTATTCATAGGTTTCACTTATATGTTATTCAGTTATTCTTCTCTGTGGTCGCAAGTCTTTATAGCAAATATGTGAGCACATTAACCACGTCACAGTAGTAGCCTTGAATTCAAATGTGTAGCCAATACGTGTATGTATGTTCAGCGTTATGCGTAGTTAAGTCATGATCAGCGGACACTAGGAAATAATAAGCAAAAGTGATAAAAGGACCTGCTTCATAAGAAAAAAAAACTGGAGACAAATAAAACATCGAGAAAGGTATTGTTAATGTTTTATAATAAACCTACTAACTTTATTTGAGCACTTACGTGTAACTGCAAAAGTACACATAGCAGAAAGCATTGAAAACGTTCTTTCTGTCTGTAAAATAATAAAGATTTACTTTAAATTCAATATTTGAAATATCTTTACAGTTCTATCTGCCCAACATGTTTCCATATAAAGAGGACATTTGTTCACTCTTAGATATAACACTTAACACAAACCGTTAAATTGATATAGGAGTTTGCTAGAGACGAATAGCACATTTATCATTTTGACAGTATAAATTATTTTTATTTTACAATTATTATAATAATTATTATGAATAAAAATGTGTGAATCATTCTACTCATATAAGTTTTTTTCTTGGTCATTATAATTGCCTTTTGTACACAAGTCATCGGGAACAAAACAAAAGACACAGATTGGTATTTATTTTCACAATTCGAAATTGCCAACATAAGGTATTTACCTCCTCTGCTGTCCCTAACTGAATAATAATAATAATAATAATAATAATAATACGTGGGTGAAAACAGCGAAAAGGGGTGTGTACAGATCACACGCGTGATATATGGCCTACTGTAAATCACTGAACGCTAGAGGACGGGCCATCTGTATACAGTGTGTTCAGTTTGACGTGTCTGATCTACTTACGAATGACCCTCACGTAGGCCTTCATTAAGGGCTACGTGAGGGCCATTCGTCAGTAGATAAGACACTTCAAACTAAAGATACACTTTACTTATAATGCAATAAATCAATTGTTTAACCCAGTCACGCTTCTTCCTGACAATGGTGATTTTAAACATAATAGATATGAAACACCATGTCACATTTGCATACATACATGGGCATACCACCATTTTTTGTGAGCATTTGTTTTAAATAAAACTATAATATTAAAAACAACTTTTCATCCTACCATATACTATCGATTTTAGCACAAATGTCAATTTAAAACAATTAAACTTATACAATTACTACAACTTTTGTTACTTTCACATACAAAAGCAAAAGCAATTGTTTAAACCCAAGTCGCTCTCTGTTATGTGTGAGTGTTAACCATCTAACTATTTCAGTCTAAATATCAATATCTATTCCTCTGAAAGCTTTAAGCACACCTTTAAAGATCCAATTAAGAAGATTTGAATCAGTGCCCATGATCATTCGCTTATGCCATTCTGCGTTTGGCAGACATTCCAAGACTACAGGGTGGTCAGCAGCAGTCAATACACTTAATTTCCACGTTTGGTATTCCTCGCGTGTGAGCGCTGTGGGGTCATTCTTTTCAAAGAGTGCAAACAAATTCTCCAAAGTCGACTTCACGTCCACATGCTTTTCAGTTCTGAAGTTAATGTATGTGAGGATCCACACCACAATGCTGGCTTCTAGGGAATGTTTTACCATATATTTAACCATCACTGCCAACAGGAACTCCCTCGTGTGTTGGTGCTGACATGATTTGTTCATCCTTAAGTTTTCCATGTCACACACTGCCAGCTGAAGACACTCAGTCAGGTTATTTAGGGCGATGTGATACAGTCCTTGGTCTTGGATCCAATCTCCTGCAGTTTCCGAAACTCCTTCTGGTTCTTGCAGATTCAAGGTGTTTCGATCTTTTTCTTCATTATCCTTGTTTTTAAAACCGTCCAGTTTATGAGCTTGGCCTGCCTTGATCTTACCAAGCCAAAGCCTGATCTCGCGAATATAATCGTCCGCTAAGGAGTTTAAGGTTGAAATCAGAATTTGCTGAAAAGATGTCGTTGGTTGACGACTTTGTAGGGATTGAATGAAAAGAAGCATAGGGCTTCTGGCATTATAGAGGTCAATGAACTGGACTTTAAGACCTAAAGTGGCCAGTACCTCAAACATATTATTTCTTGATTTTTTGATGGAACGGGCAAGTTGCCGGAGATGTGCTTTGGGCACGCGAGCGAAAAGATTGCCCTCTGGCACAAAATAATGCGGTAGATATCCCCGAACAAGACAACCCAACATTTCATCAAGAAATGTAACTAATATTTGATATATATTTGCTCCGGTCCAGTGCCCACGCGGAATTTTTTCACATAGCCAGAAAAATACATTTTTCAAATGATAGGAACTGAGAGCAGTGCTAGGGAATTCTTCAAGGACGCAATGACGCTGAATAAGCTTCATAATAATGTACACTTTCCTCTGCAACAAAGTTAACGAGTTCGCCAAAAGTCTTTCCTGGGCAGTGAATGAATAGCGCCATTCTAGACCCTGGAGTCCCCCCGGACCAACGGGAACTATGTAGCATCCAGCTGATACACATTGGTGGAGCAAACCTTTATCTGGCCAGCCGCTTTTTCGGTGTCTGTGTATCCAGGCTTCTGCTGGCCACAGGTCATGACGGTAGGCTATGACGTTGTCGCGATTCAATTGTGCCTGGTATGCAAAGCCAGGAATGTCAATCACGGATGTAGCAGCTGGTCCATGTATGTCTGTCATTTGTGTATGTCGAGATAGTAATTCAGGATTCATAACTTTTGCGGCGGAAGTCGCGTTTTCCATTGCGGTATCCGTCACTGCCCGAGTTGGTAAATAGTCAGTCCGTGATATAGTGTAACCTTCTTCCCTTGCGAGTTTGACGAAGTCTTTCGTAAGACGAAGTCGTATATAGAGTGGGTTACTGGTAGGCTCTGTATCAAAAATTCTACTCTTGGAAACACCATTTTTGCTAACAAAGAGATTGGCAACAACAGCCATATCATCTATGTCAGACATCTCGTAGGATGATTTATGAGTCAAACCGTGTGCAGAACCTGCAGTTGATACAACAATGTGCTCCGGGACTGACAACCCATCCAAGCGACTTCCAGAACTTACTTGAGATTGGTTTTGTGTCACAGGGACTGAGAGTTTTTCTACAAATGCTTTGGCCATGTTTGTTGTTGAACGCTCGCGGACTCTGTGTTTCACATTTTCGTTCTCTACCACTGGCATTGGTAGAAAATATTTCAAAATTATTTCATAAAAAGTTCTCGATTCTTTATCTTGTTCCATCATCTTCAACTCTTTTCTTTTCTGTAAAAAAAAATATGTGAACATTTTATCATGAGACAAAACATGTTGCTTTTTACGCGAACTATACGTTTTTAGTAAAATAAGAGTTGTTAATCAAAACCCCTTGAAATATTGCCACCAGAGATCTTCATTATTTAAACTTCTTAGATTACATTTTCAATGGACTCCATCATAAAAATGTATTTCGGTCTCACAAAGTGAAAGTAACTAAGATTAAAATTATATATCAATACATTGCATTAGATTACATAATGGTTTATCTATGTCGTGGCATAATTCATTTAAACCACCGTTATATTCTAAAACACGTCACGAGAGGTATGTCCAACGTAATGTTGGTGCGCGTCACTTTGAAGTTGATTTATGAATCCATTGCACAATGGCACTAACACATACATACACACACACACAATTAACTTATGAAGTATACTGTTGAAGGCATGTGATTAGCTATTCCAAAACAGGTAACTCCTTATTCAGAAGTATCTTAATTCAAAACTCATCTTCAGCAATCTTTTCACAGTACTAGTACGTCTCTCGAAAGACGTGTGGGCTCATTTCCTTGTTCGCTACTGTTCCACATGCACACCGGATGGTAACTTATTACATAAACCTAGAGCAACATCAATGGGGCGAAAACTTAATATAGAAGTTCATTTTACCCATTATTACTAATGGTTGTTCTTTGACAGATGACAAGCGTGTACATACCAACCCAGTTTCGCGTCACATAGGAACCACAGCTTTGTAGAATGCTTACTCCTTCCTCCCTCTCAGGTCCAAAAAAGCGCCTTAAAGTACATGTATACGGTTAATGGCATGTGCACCGCATTACTCACTGCATATCTCGTGACATGTTATTTCAGCAGTTGAATCATCGCTTTAAACATGTCAATGTTACTGTTTCGATCCAAATACAACCTCGTTTTCGTATCTCGGGGTAAGCGTTAACACTAATTTAGCTAACTGATCGAGCTACAGAAGAAATAGAGGCTAAATGTGTATAAGGAAAAAGATTGAATAAATACGTAAACATGAATAAGTTGCTGTTTCTCAGTAAAAAACGGGATGAAAACAGCAAAATGGCGGTTTGTATAGATCACTAGTACAACTATATGCGACATGCTTGATAAATGGCTTTGTACAGTAAATCACTGAGTGTCGGTGTGACGAAACTGGAGGTCCGTGTAACAGAAAGTCCGCCTTCTTTTTAGTTATTATGGTTAGGATTAGCCTGACCTAAGTGGGTCAAAATTTAGAGCGAGGCTTACCTGTACAAATGAATGGGAAGCTGGATCTCTACCATGGGGGACTCTCTGTCACAATACACCGGTGCACGTTTTATTAAGGCCTACGTGAGGGTCAGTCGCGAGGAGAGAAAACATAACCTAAAGCTGACATCAGGAAACCATAAAGGTTGTAATGTAAATAAATTGAAGAGCATTTTGGCAGAAAAATTTTATGTACGCCTTACATTTCACTATGAATTGCTGCAACTATACATATATTGCTGGGTTCACTACAAATTAATTTTCCTACAAAAATTTTATCGGTGATAATGTTTGATAAAATGTATGTATGATAATTATAAAACACAAGCAGAAATATTTTAATACCGTCGGCTTAGGGACAATGAACATTTTTGCTCACTTTATGGGTGATTTTATGATGCGTTTGGACCGGGTTATTAGGTCCAAATGCCGCTTGAAATCACGAAGGTTAGATTAATTCAAACCATAATTCCAGTCTACAATTATTGGATTTATTTGGAACTTGAGTGGACCCGTTTTGATCTAAAAGTTAAGTCTGGGCTAAAGTTCTTTTGTTAAACTGGCTCCAGGACCTACTTTCTACCAAATACACTTTAACCTGTTGCACCAGCTATTTTGTGACTTCTAGAAGGACCTCTGGCAGAGGGTACCCGGGATTCAATTATATTTTAATTAAAAGATGATTTAATTAAAATACATTATAACGAAAGTAAGCTGCTGCATTATTTACATATTAAACATGTGAACATTTCTGAGTAAAAAAGAAACCCATTTTGTTCATGGTTAGCATTACTTTTATTTACCAAATCATGCTTTGGAAATCTTAGAGGAATAAATGGCAAAAAAATGTGAATATTCGCGCGGCGGCAAAACATTATGCAGTATGTGTAATATATTGGTAGCGGGTGGTGAATGTGTTTAAGGTATAATAATCATGAATAATTTACATAGATTATCGTCAGTCGGTATACGTGCTGCGCGTGATAACATTTCTGCCTGATAACGATGGTGATTTTAAACATTACAGGTATGGAACACCACACACACACATTGCATCGATCTTCGCCAGCACATAAATGAAATCAAAATGTTACTAATAGCTTGTCAAATTAATAAATAAAGTTAATGAACTAGTATTTTTGAGCACAAATGACAATTTAAAACAAATTTACTGATTCAACATACAACTTTCGTTACTTACGCATACAAAACTAATTGTTTCAATCTAAGCCCCTCTTTGTCATGTATACATGAGCGTTAGCCATCTATATTTACCTACGCCAAGGAGGTTATATGTTTTCGCCCCTGTTTGTTTGTTTGTTTGTTTGTCTGTCATCAACATAACTCAAAAAGTTATGGACCGATTTTGATGAAATTTTCAAGATCTGTCAGAAGTGGGCCAAAGAGTAGATGAAAAGTTTTTGGTGGTGATCCGGATCAATAATCAATCAATAATAAAATTTTCGTTTGTTTGTTTGTTTGTCTGTCTGTCATCAACATAACTACAAAAGTAATTTTCAGGAACTGTCAGATGTAGGCCAAGGAACAGATGATTAGTTTTTGGTGATAATCCGGATCAATAATCAATCAATAATCAATAATAATAATAAATTGCTGCCTTGGCGGAGGTCTGCGCTCTCGAAGTGCTTTTCTAGTTTTTTAAGCATCAATATCTATTCCTCTGACCGCCTTCAGCGTACCTTTAAAAATGCATTTAAGTATGTTTGGATCAGTGGCCATGATCATTCGCTTATGCCATTCTGCGTTTGGCAGACATTCCGAGACTACAGGGTGGTCAGCAGCAGTCAATACACTTAATTTCCATGTATTGTATTCCTCGCGTGTAAGCGTTGTGGGGTCATTCTTTTCACAGAGAGTAAGCAAATTCTCCAAAGTCGACTTCACGTCCACATGCTCTTCAGTTTTAAAGTTTATGTATGTGAAGATCCACACCACGATGCTTGGCTCTAGGGAATGAGTTGCCATATATTTCATCATCACTGCCAACAGGAATTCCCTCGTGTGTTGGGGCTGACATGCTGCGTTCATCCTCAAGTTCTCCATGTCACACACTGCCAGCTGAAGACACTCAGTCAGGTTATTTAGGGCGATGTGATACAGTCCTTGGTAATGGTTCCATTCCCCTGTAGTTTCCGAAGCTCTATCTTCCGGTTGTTGCAGTCCATGTTCCTTTCGATCTTTTTCTTCGTTATTCTTGCTTTTTAAACCACCTGGTTGATTTACGTGGCCTTCCTTGATTTTACCAAGCCAAAGCCTGATCAGGCCCATATAATCGTCCGTTAAGGTGCCTAAGGTTGAAATCAGAATTTGCTGAAAAGTCGCCGTAGGTTGACGACTTTGTAGGGATTGAATGAAAAGAAGCATAGGGCTTCTTGCATTATAGAGGTCAATAAACTTGACTTTAATGCCCAAAGTGACTAGAACCTTAAACATATTATTTCTCGATTTTTTAACGGAACGGGCAAGTTGACGGAGATGTGCTTTGGGCACGCGAGCGAAAAGATTACCCTCTGGCACAAAATAATGCGGTAAACATCCCCGAACAAGACAACCCAACATTTCATCAAGAAATGTGACTAATATGTGATACATATTTGCTCCGGTCCAGTGACTACTCGGAATTTTTTCACATAGCCAGAAAAATACATTTTTCAAATGATAGGAACTGAGAGCAGTGCTAGGGAATTCTTCAAGGACACAATGACGCTGAATAAGCTTCAAAAGCATGTAAACTTTCCTCTGCAACAAAGTTAACGAGTTCGCCAAAAGTCTTTCCTGGGCAGTGAACGAATAGCGCCATTCTAGACCCTGGACTCCCCCCGGACCAACGGGAACTATGTAGCATCCAGCTGAAACACATTGATGGACCAAACCTTTATCTGGCCAGCCGCTTTTTCGGTGTCTGTGTATCCAGGCTTCTACTGGCCACAGGTTATGACGGAAGGCTAGGACACTGTCGCGACTCAATTCTGCCTGGTATGCAACTTCAGGAATGACAGTCACGGATGTAGCAGCTGGCCCATGTATGTCTGTCACATGTGTATCCCGAGATTGCGATTCCGGGGGCATAGCTTTTGCGGTGGACGTCACGTTCTCCATTGCAGTGTCCGTCGCTGCCCGAGTTCGTAAATAGTCAGTCCTAGATAGAGTGTACCCTTCTTCCCTTGCAAGTCTGACAAATTCTTTCGTAAGACGAAGTCGTATATAGAGCGGGTTACTTGTAGGCTCTGTATTAAATATTCTACTCTTGGAGACACCATCTTTGCTAACAAAGAGGTTGGCAACAACAGTCATTTCATCCATGTCAGACACCTCGTAGGACGGTTTATAAGTCGAACCGTCTGCAGAACCTGCAGTTGAAACAACGATGTGCTCAGGGACCGAAAACCCATCCAAGCGACTTCCGGAACTTACATGGGATTGGTTTTGTGGCAACGGTACGGAAAGATTTTGTAATCCTGCATCAACCATGGTGGTTGTTAATCGGTCGCGGACTCTGTGCTTCACATTTTCGTTCTCTACCACTGGCATCGGTAGAAAATATTTCAAAATTAATTCATAAAGAGTTTTCGATTCTTTATCTTGTGCCATCATCTATAATTCTCTCCGCTTCTGTAAAAACACAATAAATAAAAAGTTAACATTTTAGAATGAGCAAAACGTGTTGCTTTACCTGTCTCAGATAATGTCAGTAGAATCAGAGTCGAATAATAAAACCCCTTGAACTTAAAGCCGAAAATATGATACATTTTATAACATGTTTCAACATGCGCCCTAATTAGATTTCATTTTCAAAGAACCCCTAGATTCGTACAAATAGTAATGCTAGTAAGCCTACACTGCATCCTCGCCGAGCTCATACAAAAAAAAAAAAAAACTATTTCGATTTAACAGATTGAGATAATATTTTATCTAAAATGAAATTTGACAAAAAATGCTTGAAAATTTGTATGACATTTTGTTACATATTGGTTAATCCAAGGACTGTATGATTCAACTCCTTGCTTAATCTATGCTTTGGTACACCCATCTAAACTACTGTTATATCAAAACAATGTCACGAGAAACGTGTCAAACGCTGTTTTATAACACGAGGTAACGTGCTCGCTGATACTAACACATACACATACACAATAAAGATGAACATCTAACCTATATGCTAGATCTATCATTAAAGGCATGAGGCTAGTTGTTCTTAATCGCTAACCCCTAGAATTAACAGCCTATCAAGATGGTAACTTGCAAAATAGCCATAGAGCAAGATCACTGCCACATATAGTACCTAGAACAAAAGTTAAATTTTATACTGTAACTAATGGTTGCCCATTCGAAATGACAGATGTACCTGTATTGTAGCTTAGCGTCATATAGTAGGCCCTACATGTAGGGCCCACGACTCTGCAGAATGCTTACCCCTTTCTCCTTTTCAGACCCCAAAAAACGCCTCAATTGACAAAGTTAGTGCTATCTGTACAGTATTGTTCACTGCAAATCTTGTCACATGCAAATCAGCAGCTAACATCACGGTTGAATCAACTAGGCTTAACACCCACACGTAAATGTTGCTGTCTCGATGAGACACAGCCTCGTTTTGGGAAGTAGGTCTTAACTAAACGGGCATTATGATAAGAATACTTGGAATATATAGCAGCATCTACAATATTAATTCTTTCATGTTATGATTTACTTAAGACATTATTGACCCACGTCGGAGAACATGACGATTGTGGTGGAACTATATTTGTTTTCGACTATGAAAATATACGGGACCAGGATTTGAAGATTGTTTATCTGTTATTTTTCTTGCCTCTCCCAAAGGCCCGTCTGCATTCCTTCGATAAATTTACTTAAAACGTTCTGTAAATAATGCATCAAAGTTAAGTTAGATATTTATAGGTACATGTTGCATTTAGCAATCGAGCAGAAAACTTAAATCACCCTTATCTTTGTATTACCTTTGTTGATTAAATTAGCAACCACAGTGGCGGATTAAGAGGCCGGGGGGGGGGGGGGGTCAGGGGGGTACGGTTTAGAACTACTGTATGATTCAGCTAGTCAAAATTATAATTTCAAGAGGGGACCAGAATTCGAGGGGGGGGGGGTCAGGACCCCCGTGACCCCTCCCCATTCTAAATTCGCCACATGCCTTATGTTCTTTTTGCTCTCAAAATAAGAACATAGCTACATGTATGAGTAGTAATTAAAAAAATGGAGATCTAGATTAATACATTTATTATTGACAAATTTTGGCATTTATTTATATCAAAAACACTGTACTATATTTTATCTACGTGTAAAATTTAAAGGCTAAGAATGTTGCAATTATCTAAAATTTCGATTTTAATAGATTTTGGTAAAAGCTCCATTTCTTTTATTTCTGTTTTATTTCCTTGCACATTTTCTTTAGTTGATGCCCTTCGCATCACAGATGGCTCGACCATCATGGTGACGCCTACCAAAGCAGGAAATGAAATGATATAAGCTCCTCTGTCTGTAGGAAATGATATCGCAATCAGAGTGAGGGCTATTGCCACGTTCTGACACCCTGTCTCAAACGCAATGGTTCGGCAACATTTGGCAGTCTGGCAGGCGGTAAAAATTATTGGTAACTGGTGTTGCAATTACCATTAATTTTGAATTTAATTATTAATAATGCTTTAGGCTCTGATTATTCTATTTCTATTCTATTTGCCTTTCATATTTCCCAGCACAATTTTAAAAATGAAAATTTTATTAATAACTGTTATCACAGATGGGTTAACCGCCATTGTGACGATTGACAGAACAGGAATTGAAATAATATACGCTCCTCTATCGCAATCAGAGTGAGGGCTATTGCCACGTTCTGACTCCCTGTCTCAAACGCATGTCAGAAAATTAGGCCAGCTACAATGGTAACTTCTTTAAGTGGGGGTACAGTGCTTATCATCATGTGAGTAGACAGAGCAATCCATTTAATTATTAACTATCAGCCATACCAATCTATATAAAAGCTTGTACTTTATTTGAGGGCATTATATATAAATAAATAACTTAAGTTAGTCAGTAATCAGATTGTAGTGTCACACACAATTTAAAGGACACTGGAAACTCGCAGTGTTACGTCACACACCAAATAAAAGTAAATAATCACGTATTAACTACTTTATTCTATTTTTCTTCTTCTTTCAGATTTTTATTATTATTTTTTTTTTATTGCATATCTNTTGCATTTCAGATATTCCCATTTCAGACCAGTGTACACCCTTACTTTCAGGGATCAGACTAAGGAAAAAGAAAGACCATTTTGAATTTTTGTGCATGATTCTTTATTATTTTTTTGCCTCATTGTTTGTTTACTTCCTGTTCGGCAGTCTAGCGAACGCGTGTGTGTTTGAGCAGACAGGAGTTCATATAATTCCCAACTACGATTTCTGGGTCATGTTACCCATCTTTATTGTCGTAAGTCACCTTTCTGGTGTCAATTTTGAAGCAAAAAGTTAAAATGTTTTTTTGGATTCAAATTTATCATTTATTTTGCGCCATAAAACTATTTTATTGTGTTTTTTCGACCCCCTCCTTCCCACCTCCATCTTGGTTATTCATTAAAAAAAAGTTTTCTACCTGTACTGATAGATTATTATCGCCCCGATTCATTACTGTAAGCCCTGTGCTTGGTCTACATTGTTTTCCTTTAATTTTTCTTTCCAAACTAATCAATTAAAACCATATAGACTAGTGTATTACAGCCAAGTGATGAATAGAAACCATCAGTTTCATTTTATTTTGATATCTCAGCTGTTTTACTGATATCAGAATGTATAAATCCTCAGTGCCTTTAAAGTGATAAATATCGAAGTTGGAGATCTGTCTCATTTACGAGGATATCGAATGAAATGATAAAAAGCGTGGATATTCAAGCATTTATCAAACTTCTTGTTTGGTACTTATTGTGATAAGACAGTACAATTATTCAAGTCTTGGTTTTTATGGAAGAGATGTTGTGGAAAAATCACATTATGATACTCTCCCTGACATAAGTATTGTTAGGGCTTTTAGTGCAGTGAATGATATCTTATCCAAGTAGAGTAATATTTAACTAGTAGTCTTTACTATTCTATATAGCGTACACAAGACAAAGGCAAACACTAATTTGCCGACTAGCCCGGCCGATAGGAGAAGGGAGTCGGTTTTATTTCTTTCAATTGGAATTCAGTAACAAATAATACAATACATTGAGTGTAGTATTAATTTGTGCTGTTTTGTGTTATAGAAAAGAAAAGAAAAATAAATGTTGAATTTATCCATTAAGTATCAAACTCAAATATGACACATCGAATGTACTTAATCTTCTACCGATAACTTAACTTTGGACTCCGTTATCATTACTATTATCATACAATACTGAATAAATTGTATGCAATCTCCTTAAGAATAGCATGCGTTCATAAAGGCCTACGTGAGGGCCATTCGTCAGTAGATAAGACACTTCAAACTAAAGAGACACTTTACTCACAATGCAATAAACCAATTATTTAACCCAGTTACGCTTCTGCCAGACAATGGTGATATTAAAAATAACAGATATGAAACACCATGTCACATGTGCATACATACATGGACTTATAACCAATTTTTGTGACCATTTGTTAAATTATCAAAATAGCTTTTCATCCTATCCATAAAAAACGATGTTCATGAACTATCAATTTTAGCACAAATGTCAACTTTAAAGAAACTGATACAACTTTTGTTACTTATATACAAAAGGAATTGTTTAAACCCAAGGCGGTCTCTGTTACATGTATATATGAATGTTGACCATCTAACTACAGTATATTCAGTCTAAATATCAATATCTATTCCTCTGAAAGCTTTCAGCACACCTTTTAAGATCCAATTAAGAAGATTTGAATCAGTGCCCATGATCATTTGCTTATGCCATTCTGCGTTTGGCAGAATGTAACGTTTATCTTCGTGCTGTGCGTGATAACACTTTTGCCTGATAATGATGGTGATTTTAAACATAACAGATATGGCACACCATTTCACACACATACACACACGCGCGCATGCACACACACACACACACACACACACACACACACACTGCATTAATCTTCATTAGCATATGAATAAAATCAGAATGTTACTAATAGCTTGTCACCCTACAAATTAATAAATAAAGTTAATGAACTAGTTTTTTGATGACCATTTAAAACAATTTACATGTAACTGATTCAACATAAAACTTTCGTTATTTACACATACAAAATTAATTGCTTCAATCCAAGCCGCTCTCTGTCATACACGAGTGTTAGCCAGCTATATTTCTTCTAAAAATCAATATCTATTCCTCGTGATAATAGATATATTTATCTTTTGGTTATAAGTATTCCTTTATAATAGATTTAACAAATTTTGGATCAATGGTCATGATAATTCGCTTTTGCCATTCTGCGTTTGGCAGACATTCCGAGACTACGGGGTGGTCGGCAGCAGTGGATACACTTAATTTCCACGTTTGGTATTCCTCGCGTGTGAGCGCTGTGGGGTCATCCTTTTCATAGAGTGCAAGCGAATTCTCCAAAGTAGACTTCACGTCCACATGCACTTCAGTTTTGAGGTTAATGTATGAAAGGATCCACACCACGATGCTTGGCTCTAGGGAATGAGTTGCCATATATTTCATCATCACTGTCAACAGGAATTCCCTCGTGTGTTGGGGCTGACATGCTGTATTCATCCTTAACATATCCATGTCACATACTGCCAGCTGAAGACACTCAGTCAGGTTATTAAGGGCGATGTGATACAGTCCTTGGTAATGGATCCATTCCCGTTCAGTTTCCGAAGCTCCATCTTTTGGTTGTTGCAGTCCATTTTCCGGCGACGTAGGGGTAGGCAGAGCGCTCAACGTGTTTCGATCTTTTTCTTCGTTATCCTTTGCATCCAGTTGTTTAGCTTGGCCTGCCTTGATCTCACCAAGCCAATGTCTGATCAGGCGAATATAATCGTCTGTTAAGGCGCCTACGGTTGAAACCAGAATTTGCTGCAAAGACGCCTTGGGTTGACTTTGTCGTGATTGAATGAAAAGAAACATAGGGCTTCTGGCATCATAGATGTCAATAAACTTGACCTTAATGCTCAAAGTGCCTAGTACCACAAACATATTATTTCTCGATTTTTTAACGGAACGGGCAAGTTGGCGGAGATGTGCTTTGGGCACGCGAGCGAAAAGATTGGCCTCTGCCACAAAATAATGCGGTAAACATCCCCGAACAAGACAACCCAGCATTTCGTCAAGAAATGTGATTAATAGGTGATATATATTTGCTTCGGCCCAGTGACTACGAGGGATTTTTTCACATAGCCAGAAAAACACATTTTTCAAATGATAGGAACTGAGAGCAGTGCTAGGGAATTCTTCAAGGACACAATGACGCTGAATAAGCTTCATAATAATGTACACTTTCCTCTGCAACAAAGTTAACGAGTTCGCCAAAAGTCTTTCCTGGGCAGTGAACGAATAGCGCCATTCTAGACCTTGGACTCCCCCCGGACCAACGGGAACTATGAAGCATCCGGCTGAAACACATTGATAGACCAAACTTTTATCTGGCCAGCCGCTTTTTCGGTGTCTGTGCACCCATTCTTCTGCTGGCCACAGGTTATGACTGAATGCTAGGACTTTGTCGAGTGTCATTGTTAGCCGAAGTTTAGCAATTGAACTAGGAAGGGCAGTCACGGATGAAGCAGCTGGCCCATGTATATCTGTCACTTGCGTACCCGGAGAATCCGGCATAATTTTTGTGTTTAAAGGCATTGTATCCATTGCAGTGTCCGTCACTACCCGAGTTCCTATATACTCACTCCTAGATAGAGCGTGGCCTTCTCTTTTTCCAAGTTTGACATATTCTTTCGTAAGACGAAGTCGTATATATAGCGGGTTACTGGTAGGTTCTGTATCAAATATTCTACTCTTGGAGACACCATCTTTGCTAAAAATGAGGTTGTCAATAACCATCATATCATCCATGTCTGCAACCTCGTAGGACCATCTGGAATCATCTTCAGAACCTGCAGATAAAAGAAGTAAGTGGTCCGGCACTGACAAGCCATCCAAGCGACTTCCGGAACTAACTTCATATTGGTTTTGTGTCACCGGCAAGGAATTTTTTTCCATTTCTGCATCAAGGATGGCTTTTGTTAAATCCACGCGGACTCTGTTTTTCACTTTTTCGTTCTCTATCACGTGCATGGGTAGAAAATATTTCAAGATTAATTCAAAAAAAGTTCTCGATTCTTTATCTTGTGACATCATCTATAATTCTCTCCGCTTCTGTAAAAAAATAAAATAAGAGCTAACATTTAAGAATGAGTGAAACGTGTTGGTAAAAAAAACCCTTGAAATTAAAGCCGAAAATATAATATATTTTATACAATGTTTCAACATGCGCTCTAATTAGATTTCATTTTCAAAGAACCCCATAAATTTGTACAAACACTAATAGTAGTAGACCTACACTGCATTCTCGCCGAGCTCATAACAGAAGCTATTTCAATGTATAACTGATTGAGAGATAATATTTTATCTAAAATGAAAAAAAAAATGCTTGAAATTTTTATGACATTTTGTTACATATTGGTTAATCCAAGGATTGTATGATTCAATTCCTTGCTTAATCTATGTTGTGGCACACCCATCTCACCCATCTTACTAGTTGTTATCTTCAAAACAATGTCATGAGAGCCATGTCCGAAGTACTGTTTTATTTTGTCACGAGGTAACGTGCTCATTGAAACTCCTACATACACATACACAATAAAGCTGAAAATATACAATATATGCTGGGTCTATCTTTTAATGCATGAGACTAGCTGTTCTTAACCGCTAACCCCTTTGAAATATTTCAAGCGAATCTATTAATATCTCTCGATAGGTGAATTGCCTGTACATGTAGGTCCACTTCCTTGTTTACATACCGTCAACGTCTCATTAAATATTTAGAAAATATAAAAGAGCAAGATCACTGCCACATATAGTACTTGGAACAAAAGTTGAATTTTATACTATAACTAATGGTTGCCCATTCGAAATGACAGATATACCTGTGTTGTAGCTTAGCGTCATATAGTAGGCCCTACATGTAGGGCCCACGACTCTGCAGAATGCTTACCCCTTTCTCCTTTTTAGACCCCAAAAACGCCTTAATTTATAAAGTTGATGCTATGTGTACCGTGTTGTTCACTGCAAATATTGTCACATGCAACTCAGCAGCTATCATCACGGTTGAATCAACTTATCTGGCTTATCACCCATACGTAAATGTTGCAAACACAGCCTCGTTTTGGGAAGTAGGTCTTAAGGCCACTAGTAGTAAAACGACCAAAGGCATAGAAACAATGCCCTGGGCTTATAAGTTTTTATAAAAAATTAAAACATACTTCCCAAAAGGCCATTTGAAAGCACTTCAAGCGGGTACCAGGGAATTGTTAAATTAACCCATATTTCAATGGGTCATTCACTTCAAAAGACGACAACTTTCAAACAAACAATTTCCACCATCATCCCTGGTATCAGACAATGGTCCACATTTTCAACAACAATTAGTGCAATTTTTGTAACGATTGGTTTCTTAGATAGGGAGATATACCTGAAACCGATTCACTTATCTCGTCAGTCTGGAAAGCTGTTGAAACAGCCAAAAAACGTTCACAGGTTGGTTAACGGCGCTTATTAGTCGTATGCTTAGCTGATAAATTTACCTGTTATCGGTTATACGATCAGATAGAACTATTGCTCATTGTCATCTAAAAATATTTTGTTTGGGTGCTTTGAAATGCCAGAAAATCGTGCTTTTGTAACATTTTCCGATCAAGCGTTAGACTTGTAAGCCTGCCGACATTTTGATTGACAGCTCTGGAGAGGGCCCTAGCCTTGTGATGCCGAGTAGGGTGTCAAGGATATGTAGAAGAAAGCGCTAACATGTAACCGCAATGAAAAGGTGTGACATTGCATTTGACCGTTTCGGGGTCTTCCTCGGCGTCCTCGGCAATCGAGTAATTTTACGTGGGTGATTCCTTCTCTGTTGTCGTCAAAGTGATCTGATGAAACTGTCTGTCGAGAGCAAGTGGCCGTCACTTGTGTTATTACGAGTGTTTGACAGGTAACGCTGCAGGATTATTTTGCAGTCCACTTGGTAATTGTCAGATCAACGGAAAAATTCAGTGATATCTCTCGAAATGCCAGCTAAGATAAAGGGGAGACGCTCAGCTGCACAAGAATCAGCGGTAAAAGTGGCTGAGAGAAGGCTTTTGAATAAAATGACAGAGTGTGGTTAGTTTTGAAACCACGAACGTGTTGATTGTAAAAAAATCATCTATTTATATCTTTTGAAACATGTAAAAGTTGCGTCGGCATTTTTATGAAGCTTTGTTTCGAAAGTCACATGGCGTCCTGTTTTGTGTGTTTGAATAAATGAATAATAAAAAAAAGTAAGGACAGCACATCTTTCTATACATGTAATTGTCTCTAATAGCAAATGTTGATTAATATTTATTATATCAGTAGCAAAAACTGATGCTGCATTAATTGGTGACACGCTTATTTTTCAGCTGAAAATTGGGACAACATGCCGCCTCTTAAGAAGCGCCGTACTGATTCATTCATCAGCAGATTACGTCAGTTACCTGAGAGACAAGCCTTCGAGAAAGAAGAGCCAGAAGCTCAAATTGAGAAAGACAAACAAATGATGGAGATGAGAAACTGAATTGACATACCATGCTCTTGCTGCCTACAAGATACACATGGGCTGAATCTTGTTAAAACATTGGTTTTAATTCAAGATTTCAATTAAAGAAATGTTTGCTTGCGGTATAAATTTTACATTCTACTCTTTAATTTTCCATACACACAATGTATACGCGTACAGTTCATGCTTAATAGTCCTTCAAGGTGTGAGGATCTAGTTAAAAGTACCGACTCATCTGATTGCCATACAAACAGGTATGGCAGATGACCAGAAGACCAGTGTAACGGGTCTTTCTGCGAAATCACGAAAAAATAAACGTTGGTCATTTTACGGTTACGGATAGCTAAATGTAGTCGGTCGCCTAAACGTGCAGGTGCGAAAGCTCTCTAATAACACAAAAGACACGCATTCAAGCCATTCCGAAGATAGCCAAGATTAAGACTGGGTTCCCATACTTACATCGATCTAACAAGTTCGATCTATCTCTGAGGGGTTTCTCGCTAAATTGTTTTCAGCTTAAGCGGCTTAGATGTCTGGCATGCCTACTGCTTGACAATAATTAATTACCCCCTAACAGCTTAAGCAGGCGTGACCGACATCTTAAGTTGACTGCAATTTAGCGAGAATCCCCTTGGATATAGATCGATCCACAGTTAATATGATAGGGTCTGGTAATGGTCCCTAAAAGTGCATGAACATATAAAAAAGATAAAATAACAAATGATTTACGCTAAAATCACGTTTTTGGCGAAAACTGTGTACATTACTAGTTATCATTTTTTTTAAAGAGAGAATTATCACCAATATTAGTGTTAATGTTCTAAATACCATCAAAAATATAGCATAAAATACATAACAACATGGACAAAGGCGTTCAGCATTTATGTGTTGTTAAAGTGTAGTCTATACACATTAACATTAATTATCATTTTCTCTTTTAAACAACGTCTGAAATGTTTGGATGAGGAAACAGTGATTGTACATTGTTATATTTTGCATCTTATGTTAGCAGATATTTAAGATACATCTATTTAAACACGACTCCAGGGCCGTAGCCTGAGCAAAATGCCAGGGGGGGCAGTAAGCGGACACGAGGGGGCGAAGCCCCCGGTGGGGGAGGGTGTGGGAGGTGGATGATTGTCTAGTGGCCATGAGTGCATTTTCTCACAGAATTGATATCAACTTTGCAATTTTTTTTCCACCTTTGCGATTATTTTTTTTGCACCTCAAATCCCAGGGGGGGCAGCTGCCCCCCCCTGCCCCCCCGGAGGCTACAGCCCTGGACTCTGATATCATATCAACAACTTAAATATAGTCTTTAACTGATATAAACGTACATAACGGACATACGTTTCTCGTTAATCGTTTATAAAAATTTAGTTGATTGCGTATTTACATATATAAAGTATGGACCATTCATTTTTGCTCTCAAAATAAGAACATAGCTACATGTATGTGTAGTAATAAAAAACGGAGATCTAGATCAATACATTTATTATTGACAAATTTCGGCATTTATTTATATTGAAAAAACTGCACTATATTTGATCTATATGTAAAATTTAAAGGCTATGGATGTTGCAATTATCTTAAATTTCGAGTTTAATAGATTTTGGTAAAAGCTCCATTTCTTTTATTTCTGTTTTATTTCCTTGCACATTTTCTTCTGTTGATGCCCTTCGCATTTTCAGCAAATGAACATTTTATAAATAACCGTTATCACAGATGGCTCAACCATCATGGTGACGCCTACCAAAACAGGAATTGAAATGATATACACTCCTCTGTCTGTAGGAAATGATATTGCAATCAGAGTGAGGGCTATTGCCACGTTCTGACTCCCTGTCTCAAACGCAATGGTTCGGCAACATTTGGCAGTCTGGCAGGCGGCTGCCGAGAACGCATACCCCATGATAAATCCAACGAATGGCAAAAGCAGAGCGGCTATCCAGATCTTCCATCCTGACGTGAATATGTGAATATGATCTGGCAAACGATGACAATGAGTATGCTAACCAAGCCGCATGCACTGGCTACCTGAAAGAAAAAACAGTTAGGTTGATTTTATGAAAACAGTGCACAAACAGAAGGAGACTTTTGCCGATTTCACAATTAAGATAAGGAAAATATGGGTTAAAAGTAATATTAGATTACAAGGGATTCTGACAGTGCTTCGATATTTTAAGGCCAATCTCAACTTCATTTCCATTTAAAACACATATCCAAACGCATTCTATCTGCCTACATTTGGCACCAATAATCAAACTGTTGTATTTATTAGTTTTTCTGAACACAAAAAGGGATAAAATTAAATCATCTCTTCATACGTCTGTCCACTTACAACTAAATATCTCAGTTTCTGAGTCTATAGTGTCCAAAAGTAATAAACCACTACCGGCAACTCAGAAACTCTGTATCTATCCTACTTTCTCTTTCTTCCAGTTTTTAAGAGTCATTTAACTATGGTATTTGCAAAAAAGCTCTCTGTATGATATTTATTTATCATGTTCCAGTTTCTTTAAAATTATGAGAATTTTACTTTTTACTACGAAATTGTCTATCCTTTGGGGATACATTTTTGAGGCCCTACACCGGGTCCCGACCCATCGCCAACATTAAAACGATTAACATCTGCAACTCTAGTAAATTGAAATATTCCAAAGAATTATCAATAATATGATGCTCCCGTTGTTATCGCAAATACGTGTACATATAATACAGAATACCGGTGGACAAACCTGTATGGTAAAGCTGAAATAATCTATTCTGAATAATTATAACTCTTTCGTGTGAGAAGGCTTAACACAGTTTTGTCCCAGGGAAAAATAACAAAAATGTATGAAACGTTTACCATTCATATTCCATCATGAAAGTTAATTGAAGTTGCTGCTATATACAGCGGAATCAACACTATAAATCTTTTAAACAACGACTGGTAAAAAAGCTGTAAAGTGTAATGTTTGGTTTGTAATGTTCGGTTGCGAAAACACTAACTGAAGATTGTAATAACTTACATCTTATGATAATACAAATTTACTTAATTAAATTATACATAATTCCGGTATGATCTCAACAAATATTACACACTCTCTATATATATTGTTTATATATTGTATATTGTTTCCTTACTACCAATATACTGTTCAATGAAATGTATATTTATAAGAACCCGAGAAAGTGGGTAACCAGAGAAAGTACATGAGAAAGTGTAGTTATACAAATGTAAATCTACATTAACTTCTATATTACTAAATTCATTCATTTTTAAACTTATGGCCCCTCAATTTGAACTGACCAAAACACTTTACAGAACTTGCAGATATTGTTTTATATGTAAAAATTATTAGTAACTGGTCTTGCAATTAACATTAATTTTGAATTTAATTATTGATATTGCTTGAGGTTCTGATTATTCTATTTCTATTCTATTTGCCTTTCGTATTTTCCAGCACAATTTTAAAAATGAAAATTTTATAAATAACTGTTATCACAGATGGGTTAACCACCATTGTGATGATTGACAGAACAGGAATTGAAATAATATACGCTCCTCTATCGCAATCAGAGTGAGGTCTATTGCCACGTTCTGACTCCCTGTCTCAAACGCATGTCAGAAAATTAGGCCAGCCACAATGGTAACTTCTTTAAGTGGGGGTACAGTGCTTATCATCATGTGAGTAGACAGAGCAATTCATTTAATTATTAACTATCAGCCATACCAATCTATACAAAAGCTTGTACTTTATTTGAGGGCATTATATATAACTTAGGTTAGCCAGTAAACAGATTGTAGTGTCATCCACAATTTAGAGGACACTGGAAACTCGCAGTGTTACATCACACACCAAATAAAAGTAAATGTAAATAATCACGTATTAACTACTTTTTTCTATTTTTTTTTTCAGATTTTTTGCCTCATTGTTTGTTTACTTTCTGTTCGGCAGTCTAGCGAACGTGTGTGTGTTTGAGCAGCGAGGAGTTCATATAATTCCCAACTACGATTTCTGGGTCATGTTACCCACCTATATTGTCGTAAGTCACCTTTCTGGTGTCACTTTTGAAGCACAAAGTAAAAAAAAAAATGTTGCTTTGGATTCAAATACATCTTTAATTTTGCGCCTTCATTTGAAAATATTTCTACCTGTACTGATAGATTCTGATCGCCCCGATTCATTATTTTAAGCCCTGTGCTTGGTCTATATTATTATTTTATCAATTTGTCTTTTCAAAACTAATTAATTAAAATCATATAGACATGGTATATTATAGCCAAGTGATGAATAGAAATCATCAGTTTCATTTTATTTTGATATCTCAGCTGTTTCATTGATATCAGAATGTATAAATCCTCAGTGCCTTTAAAGCGATAAATTTCGAAGTTGGAGATCAGGCACAGGCCGCAAAGTGGGTCTGCCTTTCGTTCAGTCAAAACTTGGACCCGCCAAAATACTTGAAAATAATCTGTGAAATTCTCTTTATTGCATCTCTTAACTTAAATTCTTTAAAAGGTTAAACATTGAAGTTTTTTTGCAAAATTAAAAGAACCTCATCAAAATCAAGTACCTGATGATACAAATGTATAAATCAGCGGAATAATAGGCCGTAACGCCTTTGGTTTGGTTCAGTGATTTGAAAGTCAAAAGGATGAGAACTGGACTTGAAGGTTGCAGTTCTGTAAAATAGTCAATATCAACTACGGGAACACTCGGCTTCAATTAAAATGAATTTTAAAAAGATTTTGAAAATAATTTATTGTGTTAAAAATATATAAACTGCGAATTTCTATTGTGTCCTAGGATGGGTTTACATTTACATTCAGTTGCATGTGTTGTAGGGAGACGAATCCGTCCAATTTACGAGGATATCGAATGAAACGATAAAAAGCGTGGATATTCAAGCATTCATCAAACTTCTTGTTTGGTATTTATTGTGATAAGACAGTATAATTATTCAAGTCTTGGTTTTATGGAAGAGAAGTTTTGGAAAAATCACATTATGATACTCTTCCTGACATAAGTATTGTAAGGGCTTTTAGTGCAGTGAATGAGACATAAGTATTGTTAGGGCTTTTAGTGCAGTGAATGATTTCTTGTTCAAGTAGAGTAATATTTAACTAGTAGTCTTTACTATTCTATATAGCGTACACAAGACAAAGGCAAATACTTATTTGCCGACTAGCCCGGCCGATAGGAGAAGGGAGTCGGTTTTATTTCTTTCAATTGGAATTCAGTAACAAATAATACAATACATTGAGTGTAATATCAATTTGTGCTGTTTTGTGTTATAGAAAAGAAAAGAAAAATAAATGTTGAATTTACCCATTAAGTATCAAACTCAAATATGGCACATTGAATGTACTTAATCTTCTACCGATAACTTAACTTTGGACTCCGTTATCATTACTATTATCATACACTACTGAATAAATTGTACGCAATCTCCTTAAGAATAACATGCGTTCATAAAGGCCTACGTGAGGGCCATTCGTCAGTAGATAAGACTCTTCAAACTAAAGATACACTTTACTCACAATACAATAAACCAATCATTTAACCCAGTCACGCTTCTGCCAGATAATGGTGATATATGAAAAATAACAGATATGGAACACCATGTCACATGTGCATACATACATGGACTTATAACAAATTTTTGTGACCATTTGTTAAATTATCAAAATAGCTTTTCATCCTATCCACAAAAAAACGATGTTCATTAATTATCAATTTTAGCACAAATGTCAATTTAAAACAATTAAACTTATACAATTACTACAACTTTTGTTACTTATACATACAAAAGCAATTGTTTGAACCCCAAGTCGGTCTCTGTTAAATATGACTGCTGACCATGTAACTACAGTATATTCAGTCTAAATATCAATATCTATTCCTCTGAAAGCTTTCAGCACACCTTTTAAGATCCAATAAAGAAGATTTGAATCAGTGCCCATGATCATTCGCGTTTGGCAGAATGTAACGCTTGTCTACGTGCTGCGCGCGATAACACTTTTGCCTGATAATGCTGGTGATTTTATGGCACACCATTTCACACACACACACACACACGTGCACACACACACACACACACACACACACACACACACACTGCATCAATCTTCATAAGCATATGAATAAAATCAGAATGTTACTAATAGCTTCTCACCCTACAAATTAATGAATAAAGTTAATGAAATAGTATTTTTGATGACAATTTAAAACAATTTACATGTAACTGATTCAACATAAAACTTTCGTTGTTTACACATACAAAACCAATTGTTTCAATCCAAGCCGCCCTTTTGTCATACATGAGTGTTAGCCATCTATATATTTTTCTAATCATCAATATGTTTTCCTTTCCTTTTAAAGTATATTTAAAATACATTGAAGTAGGTTTGGATCAGTGACCATGATAATTCGCTTATGCCATTCTGCGTTTGGCAGACATTCCGAGACTACGGGGTGGTCAGCAGCAGTGGATACACTTAATTTCCATGTATTGTATTCCTCGCGTGTGAGCGCTGTGGGGTCATTCTTTTCATAGAGTGCAAGCGAATTCTCCAAAGTAGACTTTACGTTCATATGTTTTTCAGTTTTGAAGTTAATGTATGAGAGGATCCACACCACGATGCTTGGCTCTAGGGAATGTTTTGCCATATATTTCATCATCACTGTCAACAGGAACTCCCTCGTATGTTGGGGCTGACATGCTGTATTCATCCTTAGGTTTTCCATGTCACAAACTGCCAGCTGAAGACACTCAGTCAGGTTATTAAGGGCGATGTGATACAGTCCTTGGTAATGGATCCATTCCCCTGCAGTTTCCGAAGCTCCATCTTTTGGTTGTTGCAGTCCCTCGTCCTGCGACGTAGGGGTAGACAGAACGTTCAACGTGTTTCGATCTTTTTCTTCGTTATCCTTGCTTTTTAAACCATCCGGTTGTTTAGCTTGGCTTGCCTTGATCTCACCAAGCCAATGCCTGATCAGGCGAATATAATCGTCTGTTAAGGCGCCTAAGGTTGATACCAGAATTTGCTGAAAAGATGCCGTGGGTTGACTTTGTAGGGATTGAATGAAGAGAAACATTGGGCTTCTGGCATCATAGATGTCAGTAAACTTGACCTTTTTGCCCAAAGTGCCTAGAACCTCAATCATATTATTTCTCGATTTTTTAACGGAACGGGCAAGTTGACGGAGATGTGCTTTGGGCACGCGAGCGAAAAGATTGCCCTCTGGCACAAAATAATGCGGCAAACATCCCCGAACAAGACAACCCAACATTTCGTTAAGAAATGTGATTAATAGGTGATATATATTTGGTTCGGTCCAGTGACTACGAGGGATTTTTTCACATAGCCAGAAAAGCACATTTTTCAAATGATAGGAACTGAGAGCAGTGCTCGGGAATTCTTCAAGGACACAATGGCGCTGAATAAGCTTCATAATAATATGCACTTTCTTCTGCAACAAAGTTAACGAGTTCGCCAAAAGTCTTTCCTGGGCAGTAAATGAATAGCGCCATTCTAGACCTTGGAGTCCTCCCGGACCAACGGGAACTATGTAGCATCCAGCTGAAACACATTGATGGACCAACCCTTTATCTGGCCAGCCGCTTTTTCGGTGTCTGTGTACCCATTCTTCTGCTGGCCACAGGTTATGACGGAAGGCTATGACGTTGTCGTAACTCAATGCTGCCTGGATTTTAATACCTGGAATGGCATTCACGGATGAAGCAGCTGGGCCAAGTATTTCTGTCAATTGTGATTCCGGGGGCATAGCTTTTGCGGTGAAAGATACTCCATCCATTGCAGTGTCCGTCACTGCCCGAGTTCCTAAATACTCACTCCTAGGTAAAGTGTAGCCTTCTCTTTTTGCAAGTTTGACATATTCTTTCGTAAGATGAAGTCGTATATATAGCGGGTTTCTGGTAGGTTCTGTATCAAATATTCTACTCTTGGAGACACCATCTTTGCCAACAAAGAGGTTGTCAAGAACAGTCATTTCATCCATGTCTGCAACCTCGTGAGACCATCTGGAACCATCTTCAGAACCTGCAGATGAAACAATGAAATGGTCCGGCACTGACAACCCATCCAAGCGACTTCCGGAACTAACGGGGGATTGGTTTTGTACCAACGGCACGGAAAGATTTTCTAATCCTGCATCAACCATGGCTCTTATTAAATCCACGCGGACTCTGTTTTTCACATTTGCGTTCTCTATCAAGTGCATCGGTAGAAAATATTTTAAGATAAATTCAAAAAAAGTTCTCGATTCTTTATCTTGTGCCATCATCTGTAATTCTCTCCGCTTCTGTAAAAAAATAAAATAAAAAGCCAACATTTTAGAATGAGTGAAACGTGTTGATTTACCTGTCTCAGAAAAAGTCAGTAGAATAAGAGTCGGGTAATAAAAATGGCTCAGAAAATGTTAGAGTCGGGCAATAAAACCTCTTGAACTTAAAGCCAAAAATATGATATAATTTATAACATACCGGTATTTCAACATGCCTCCTAATAAGATTTCATTTTCAAAGAACCCCCTAGATTCGTACAAATAGTAATGCTAGTAGGCCCACACTGCATTCTCGCCGAGCTCATACAAAAGCTATTTCGATTTAACAGATTGAAATAATATTTTGTCTAAAATGAAATTTGACAAAAAAATACTTGAAATTTTTATGACATTTTGTTATATATTGGTTAATCCAAGGATTGTATGATTCAACTCCTTGCTTAATCTATGCTGTGGCACACCCATCTAAACTACTAGTTGTTATCTTCAAAACAATGTCACGAGAACCGTGTCCAAAGTACTGTTTTATTTTGTCACGAGGTAACGTGCACGTGCTCATTGATACCCATACATACACATACACAATAAAGCTGAAAATATAACATATATGCTAGGTCTATCTTTTAAGGCATGAATTAGCTGTCCTTAACGCTTACCCCTTTGAAATATTTTAAGCGAATCTATTAATTAATATCTCTCGATAGGTGAATTACCTGTAGGTCCACTTCATTGTTTGCATACCGTCAACGTCTCATTAAATATTTAGAAAATATAAAAATTCAGTAGAATTAACAGCCTATCAAGATGGTAACTTGCTAAATAGCCCTAGAGCAAGATTACTGCCACATACATGGTGTATACTACTTAGAACAAAAGTTAAATTTTATACTGTAACTAATGGTTGCCCATTCGAAATGACAAATGTAGCTGTATTGTAGCTTAGCGTCATATAGTAGGCCCTACATGTAGGGCCCACGACTCTGCAGAATGCTTACCCCTTTCTACTTTTCAGACCCCCAAAAAAACGCCTTAATCTATAAAGATGATGCTATGTACCGTGTTGTTCACTGCAAATCTTGTCACATGCAACTCAGCAGCAATCATCACGGTTGAATCAACTTATCTGGCTTATCACCCATACGTAAATGTTGCAAACACAGCCTCCTTTTGGGAAGTAGGTCTTAAGGCCACTAGTAGTAAAACAACCAAAGGCATAGAAACAATGCCCTGGCCTTATAAGTTTTTATAAAAAATTAAAACATACACACACTGGACAATAGAAGTGTCACCCCTACTGAACCAATACTATGGGGGGGGGGGGATAAATGACTGTGGAATGATATGCTCCTGGTATCATTTTATTAACAGCAAATTTCACAAAAAATCACAAAATGAGAACAAAATATACATTCTACCAAAATATGCAGTTTCAAGTCCATATTTGTACTTAGTAGCATAGCCACGTGACCTAATAATAGGTGCCAGTCTACGAGGCAAGGATTCATATAATTGTCTGTTGCGTTCAGGGCTCATGCTGGCCCAAGCATGAAACACTTAATATAACAGAGTTTCTCTGCTGGTTAGACGGGCATTAGTGAAAAGTTTTGACATAGCATTCCACACATTTTCTATTATGTTTGCATCCGTACTCTGGGCAGGCCACATCACGAATGTCCTGTTGGTCAAACAAATCATCAACTGCTATGGGCCTGTGACAAGGAGCATTGTCATCCTGGTGAACAAATGGATAATTCCTGTCATCAAACATGTTAGTAATAGATGGTAGCAAGCCTGACTCCAAAACATCGATATATTTCTAGTGATTCATGTTTCCATCAACCACTATCAATTCGCCCACGCCATGGATGCTGATGCAGCCCCACACCATGATGAATATGCTGCTCCGGGTTAAAAAATTCAGTGCTTTTGGTTCAAATGCTTTATCAGCAGTTCGCCAGCATCGTACCCGTCTGTCATCAGAGGTCAGACCAAAGCGACACTCATCAGAAAAAATATATAGGACTAATTGTCATGGACTGTCCAGTTTCAGATCCAGTTGATCCTAGTTCACTCTACGTTGCCTGTTTTGTAACGATATAAGAGGTTTCAGTCTTGCTACCCTGCTGTACACTCTATGAGCATGTACCCGACGCCTAGCAATTTTCACAGACATTCTTATGTGTGAAATTGTTCCACTGTGTTGTCAACTGACAAGCAGTGTCGAACTTTGACAACCTGGACATCAAAATCAGTCGTTGGTCTTCACGGCCAGTAGTTTTTCTTGGACGACCCATCAGAGGCAATTTGTCTCTTGATTCAGTGTTTCTATATCGAGACCAGACCCTATGCACGGTTCTGACTGAAAAATTCAATTGTATCGATATTCTGACATTGCTTATATTCCACCTCTTCAGATTAATAACTTGCACCTATAACCTTTAGATAATTGCCTGCATCTTGCCATATTGGAGGAAGACAGGAATAACAATTGCTGTACATGTACAAGACCAACAATACAATTCCATGGTATAGCGGTTTTATACTCATTAGTCTCATTATAAGTAGACCAGGCATTATAACTACCCAAGATTTGCCTACTGTTATTACTCTGAGTTAGGGGGTGACACTTCTATTGTCCAGTGTGTATACTTCCCAAAAGGCCATTTAAAGACAGATTAAGTGCAGTGTCCAACGTATGACGCTATAGCGCCAATTTTTTGGGGAAAATGCCGTTTTCGGATTTGGAATTTTCTCTTTAACCAAGACAGCTATTCAAGTGATTCAAACGGCCTCACAAAGCTGGTTGAAAGCACTTCAAACTATTTACTTTTAATTTAATCGTCTTTTACGTTAAATTACCCCATATTTCAATGGGTCATTCACTTCAAGAGACGATAACTTTCAAACAAACAATTTCCACCATTATCCCTGGTATCTCGTCAATCTGGAAAGCTGTTAAAACAGCCCAAAACGTTCACAGGTTGGACAGATTTGGTTCGACAGCTAAGCAACATAGCTTACTATGGGATTCTTGCTCTCAGAGAAAATGGCCCGAAACATACAGCCATTACCAAGCAATGCAAAATTTATCAGGAACCGTTAGTACAGTCCTCCAAAGAAATGCCACAACAGGGGCACCTACTCCAATACCTTGACCAGGTGTCCGCGTATCACACCAAGAAGACAGGATCGCCTTCTCCTTGCGCCATGCTTGTCGTACAAAGACAACCAGTGTCTTCAGAAAAGAGTGGCAGAATGTCATTCAAACGCCCATTTCAAGAACCCTCGTGAACAAGAGGTTACTGCAAGCCGGTTATTTGGCACTATAAGGTCAGTAGGGAAACCACTGTTTACAGCAGGTCATATACAGCGATGGCTGCAATAGGCTGGGGACCACATGCCTTTGCAGCCAAAGCACTGGAATCACGTCGTTTTCAGTGATGAGGCCAGATATGGAGTTTTTAGGGTTGGTGGTCGAATCCGTGTCCGCCAACGTGTACGAGAGGCATAAAACGATGATTGTGTACTGGCTAGGGTGCAAGCAGGGGGTGTTAACGTCTCTGTTTGGTGAGCATTTCATGTCGGTGCCCAGAACCAGTTGGTTTTTCTAGGAGGCAACCTCAACCAGGGTTCCTACAGAGACATTCTACAGCAAACAATGCTTCGATTTGTAAGAGTCATCTTCAGGAACAACTTTGCAACCCCACATCGAGGTCGCATAATCACTGTTTTTCTTCGAAACCAATGGGTTCCGCAACTGCCCTGGCCTGCAAACTCCACAGATATGAACCCAATTGAAAATCTGTGGGCGGAAGTAACTCACAAAATTAATAGCTATGGTCATCGGCCGGTAAACAGTGATGAACTGCGACAGGCAAATATCACTGCGTGGAATGATATCCCCATCCAAACTCTTAAAAAACTTTTCACAGGGTATGCCATGCAGGATGAGGGCGCTGCAAGCGGCAGCTGGAGGTCATACCTGCTATTGATGACTTTTCATGATTTACTGTAATGAGTTCTTTGACCGTGTAACATATCACTGTCGGGAGGCTATCATTTTCTTTAATATCTTAGCTTAAAATTAATACTGACATCAAACTGTTGATATCGTTTTCTGGTGGTGTTCTTTTCTTTTAATGACATCTTATGTCAGATTTGATATTATTGACCAAAACATTTAACAAAAGAAGACTGGATATTTTTATCACTCAATGACATACTTTTTCATGAATCAAGCCAATTTTTTAAAAATCAGCCCTCAAAAATAACAATGATAAAAAATATTCCATATTACGTGGTAACCCTGTATATGGACCATTCTTTTCGCTCTCAAAATAAGAACATAGCTACATGTAATACAAAAATAAAAAATAAAAAATGGAGATCTAGATCAATACATTTATTATTGACAAAATTCGGCATTTATTTATGTCAAAAACACTGCACTATATTTGATTTATATGTAAAATTTAAATGCTACGGATGTTGCAATTATTTTAAATTTCGAGTTTCATAGATTTTGGTATAAGCTCCAATTCTTTTATTTCTGTTTTATATCCTTGCTCATTTTCTTCTGTTGATGCCTTTCGTATTTTCCAGCACATGAACATTTTATAAATAACTGTTATCACAGATGGCTCAACCATCATGGTGACGCCTACCAAAACAGGAATGGAAATAATATACGCTCCCCTGTCTGTAGGAAATGATATGGCAATCAGAGTGAGGGCTATTGCCACGTTCTGACACCCTGTCTCAAACGCAATGGTTCGGCAACATTTGGCAGTTTGGCAAGCGGCGGCAGAAGAAGCATACCCCAGGATAAATCCAACGAATGGCAAAAGCAGAGCGGCTATCCAAATCTTCCATCCTGACGTGAATATGTGTGGGTAAAGGATGATCTGGCAAACGATGACAATGAGTATGCTTACCAAGCCACATGCACTGGCTACCTGAAAGAAAATACAGTGAAATTGATTTTATGAAAACAGGCACAAACAGAAGAAGGAGACCTTTGCCGATTCCACAATTACGAAAAGAGATATATGGTTAAAAGTGAAGTAACATTACAAGGGATTCTGACAGTGCTTCGATACTTTAAGACCAAAGTCAATTTCATTTCCATTCAAATCACATGCAAACTCATTCTCTCTGCCTACATATGGCACCAATAATCAAACTGTTGTATTTATTTGTTTCTCCGAATACAAACAGGGATAAAATTAAAACAGATGCTGCCACTATCTCTTTATACGTCTGCCCACTTACAACTGAAAATCTAAGTTGCTGAGTCTATAGTCTCTAAAAGTTCTAAACCGCTACCGGCAACTCAAAAACTCTGTATCTATCCTCCTCTCTCTTTTAGAAACTCTTCCAACTCCTACTGATTTCAACTAACTATCTCTAAATTCTGATTTCCCCGCCTATAAGTTAAACTGTGCATGACCCGCCCTGCTCACAAGTGACAGTTATTCTCCACTCTTGATGTGGTTGCAGAAGGACATCTGTGCCAGGACAGATATTCGATCCATATATACAGCTTTTCGGTAACCAGAGACGGGTGCGCACCCAATGCCCGTATTTACCCGGTTTGAAGGGAACGGATGTTTGCTGTTATGCATGTCTAACAGGGATAAATGCCCGTAGGACGTTAGTTCTTTAAGCTTTAGTTTTTATATTTACTATCTACTACTCTCTACTAGGTGTTTTAGAAGACACCAAAAACATAATATGATAAAATGAAAAGTGGTAAGGAAGATTACCCTAGGTAGTTCACTGAAGTTATGTATTAATTACTTCCATCTAGTGTCAGAACCACACTGCCATATCAACCATCCTGCCGTATCAACCATCCTGCCATATCATACCCCCATTACCGGTCACTAACTTGCCATTACCTGCACAAGCCTTTTGGCAATTTTCGGAAGTTTCCACTTGATAAGCACGCCGATTCCAGCTGGTATGAGAACCGTAAGGAGAGTGATGAAGATTTTCAGATACGGCACAACTACGTCGTCGTCTGTCCAACTTCGGCTGTATATAAACAGATTCAAGGGCATCATGCCAAAGGCGAACACGGTGGAACAGGCTGTCATGAAAACACTGGGAAGCAAAAAGTAGTTATTGTAAAGTCAAGTGTTAAAACAGTAGGTTGTATAAAACAGAAATAAAGCACTAGACTGTAGAATAAATTACGTTTCTATGAAGGAAAATTTACAGTTAACAAATGTTGCTCTTTGAGTTTTAAGGCATATGTTATAATGATCTAACAGTGCATTTTTATGTCGGTCCTTAAATTGCATAGCCTTCATTCACGGAGCTTCATCTGGGGACATTGACATTCACGTTTTTACTACCTGTACATGCCTGTCTACCACGAAAACTCATGTGTTAGCACTACTATTTAGGTTTTACATTATATTAAATATGACTTTACGTGCTAGCCTCTGTCGTAATAATAGAAACTGCTGTTAACAAAGAGACAAGATTACAGTGTCTTAATGGTGATCATCAGTAGTCAAATCATTTACTGTAATTTTTTCTTTACCTGAGAGGAACGTCCCCGTCATTCCAGTAGGTAAAGATATTGGACACCGTTCCACCCGGACAACAGCCAAGGATTAACAACCCTAAGGCACGGTCCGCAGAGAGTTGTAGGGCGTGTGCCAGGCTGAAGGACAGGAGAGGCATCACGATGAACTGACAGGCAGCACCAATAACTGGACCGATGGGACGCTTGATGTGCACCTTCAGTACTTTCCACTCAATATCGCAACCCATCCCTAACATAATGAACACCAAGATAATCGGCAAAAGCCACTGGATGGCTTGTTTTAAATTCTTCTTGACTGGATCATGCACGACTTCCGTAAAATTGCCGTAAGTTCCATTTTGATCTAGATCCATGGTGTCTTAAGCTTGTGAAATAGCACAGACTTCAACAAGTCTGCTTTGCAGGAAATAAGCATACTAATGCAAATTCAAGACGTGATCAAATTTCAGGTCAAATCCAAAACAACAAGGCGTGCTGTGAAGTTTTAATGCTAGATGTTATGGGTTCCATCCATTACACAGACGTATTCGTTTAAAGTAGGCTCAGTGTAGGGTCTGTGTTTCTTTTATTTTTTAAACTCATTATGTTTCATGTTTAAGTTTCAAGTTTTAAGGAGGTCTTTTATAGGCCACCTGTTTGTTCTGAGACCCATCTCGGTAACTTCATTTGAGGGTTCCGATGCATGTTCATGTATGAGTCGGATAAGCATATGCTGTATTCAGTTGTTCCTCGACTCTAAATTGCCACAAACTGAATGTGTCTAAATCCCCTCTTCACATCTTGGCGTCAGTTAAAACTACATCTAAACGGTATCTAAACTGCCTCAAACTATTCTCCATTACAACTATTTTATTACTCAAATTTATCATTTGTAGTAAATACATGTTTTTTACTAGAAGTCAGGCTCATCAAAATTTAAAGCAAAAGCCATTTTAGAATTATGGAGGTAAGATTCAGTACTTATGCAGTCTGCTTTAACCATTTAAAAACGTTTTTAGACTACTAAATATCCTTTCTCAGGGACCATATGTGGGTTGTCAAAGGTGGGTTTCATTTCAAGCGGGTGGAGGGGGGGGAGAGAGTCGGTTTCGCATGCGCGGTCCTCACTTCAAATAATCCTGGAATAGCCCCTGAATGTGATGTTCTAAATATCATAAAATTATATAAAATACATAACACCGGTGGACGAAGTCATTTAGTATACATGTATAGTTAAAGTACATTCTAAACACATTTAGCTATACAGTTTTATAGCAGAGCGAAACAGCGAAGATATGTAAAACATTAAAACGATTAACATCTACAACACAAGTAAATTGAAATATTCCAAAGAATTATCAACAATATGATGTTCCCGTTGTTATCACAAATACATGTATGTCATGTACATGTAACACATAATACCGGTGGACAAATCTGTATGGTAAAGCTGAAATAATCCATTCTGAATAACTCTTTCGTGTGACAAGGGAAAAATAGGGAAAAATAGCGAAGATGCATGAAACGTATACCATTCATTTCTATTATAAAAGTTAATTGAAAGCGGTGCTATATCCAGCGGTAGCAACACTAAAATCTTTTAAATAACGACTGGTAAATAAGCTGTAAGGTGTAATGTTTGGTTTGTAATGTTTGGTTGCGAAAACACTAACTGTAGATTGCAACAATTATAACACAATCTCTCTCGAGCATATATACTATATATATACCTATATACTGTTAATTGAAATGCTTAAGTTGTTTGCATATTTATAAATATAGAACCCGACCCATTCCTTCTACATTCTAAATAAGTATATGAGAAAGTGTAGTTATACAAATATAAATTACAGAACTTGCAGATATTCTTTTATATGTAAAAATTATTGGTAACTGGTGTTGTAATTACCATTAATATTGAATTTAATTATTGATATTGCTTTAGGCTCTGATTCTTCTATTTCTATCCTATTGGCCTTTTGTATTTTCCAGCACATGAAAATTTTATAAATAACTGTTATTACAGATGGGTTAACCACCATTGTGACGATTGACAGAACAGGAATTGAAATAATATACGCTCCTCTATCCGGAGAAAATGATATCGCAATCAGAGTGAGGGCTATTGCCACGTTCTGACTCCCTGTCTCAAACGCAATGGTTCGGCAACATTTGGCAGTCTGGCAAGCGGCGGCCGAAAACGCATACCCCAGGATAATTCCAACGAATGGCAAAAGCACAGCGGCTATCCAGATCTTCCATTCTGACGTGAATATGTGTGGGTAAAGGATGATTTGGCAAACGATGACAATGAGTATGCTTACCATGCCGCATCCACTGGCTACCTGAAAGAAAAAAACAGTGAAGTTGATTTGCCAATTTCACAATTGAGAAATTGGAATGGCCATTATGTAGGACAAATAATCATACTGTTGTACTTATTTGTTTAAACGAATACAATCAGGGATAAAATAAAAACAGATCGATGCTGCCACAATCAGTCGTAAGTTGTCTTTATACGTCTTCCACTTACAACTGAAAATCTTGTTTCTTGAGTCTATATTACTCTCACACCCGGCACACTTTACACTCCAACGGCAGTTACACTTATTCAGATTGCTAACAACACGCGAGCTCTTTTATTGACATTTTTATATCTAATTTATGTTTAAGAAACATAATATAATATAATAATGACCAGTGCTAAGAAAGATTAGCCCAATGTATTTATTATTTTCATTTAGTGTCAAAACAATGTCAACCCTCCTGTGATATCATACCCCCATAGTGGTCACTTATTTGCCATTACCTGCACAAGCCTTTTGGCAATTTTCGGAAGTTTCCACCTGATAAGCACGCCGATTCCAGCTGGTATGACAACCGTAAGGAGAGTGATGAAGATTTTCAGGAACGGCACAACTACGTCGTCCGTCCAACTTCGACTGTATATAAACAGATTCAAGGGCATCATGCCAAAGGCGAGGATGGTGGAACAGGTTGTCATGAAAACACTAGGTAGCATAAAGTAGTTTTTGTTATATATTAATAGAACATAGTTAACAAATGTTGCTCTTTGAGCTTTACGGCATTTTATAGTGATATAAATGTGCATTACTATGTCGGGCCTTAAATTGCATGACCTTTATACGCCGAGCTTTAGCTGGGGACATTTGACATTCACGTTTTTACCACCTAGGCATACCTGTCTAGCACGAACACTCGTGCGTTTTACTGTACATCATACAAAATATACTATCGCATGAATTTGCTTGCAAGTCTCTGTCATAATAATAGAGAGTATGTTAGCAGAGAAACAAGATTTCATGCAATGTCCTCATTCATTCCATTACCTGAGAGGAACGTCCCCGTCATTCCAGTAGGTAAACATATTGGACACCGTTCCACCCGGACAACAGCCAAGGATTAACAACCCTAAGGCACGGTCCGCAGAGAGTTGTAGGGCGTGTGCCAGGCTGAAGGCCAGGAGAGGCATCACGATGAACTGACAGGCAGCGCCAATAACTGGACCGATCGGACGCTTGATGTGCACCTTCAGTACCTTCCACTCAATATCGCACCCCATCCCTAACATAATGAGCACCAAGATAATCGGCAAAAGCCACTGGATGGCTTGTTTTAAATTCTCCTTGACTGGATCCTGCACGACCTCCGTAAAATTGCCATACGTTCCATTTTCATCTAGATCCATGGTGTCTTAAGATTGTTAAATATTACAGACAACAAGGCATGTTCCTCTGCAAGATAAGCATACTAATGCAAATTCAAGATGTGATCAAATTTCGGGTCAAATCCAAAACAACAAGACGTGTTTTGAAGTCTTATTAATGATCTGGGTGGCAATGCATTCCATCTGTCACGATGACATAGACTTTGAATTTTGAATGCCTAAGGTAGATATCTAAATATTTTATACCTTGTACAACTGCCAATCCTTCCAATTCTGTGATGGGATAATTTACCTCATGTCTTTATAAACCTCTCCCGGCATAAGCGATGACTCTTTCTTTACCGTCTTGTATCTGTCATAAAACCATGCCTATTGCGTGAGAACTCGCATCGGTGTAAAAAATAAATGTGAGATTAAAATTTGGATACGCAAGAATTGGAGCAAATGTAAGCGCTCTTTTCAAAGTATCGAAATATGTTTGGCATTCGTCAGACCATTTAATTTCTTTCCCCTTTCGTGTAAGTGCTGCCAAGGGTCTAACAATGGCAACATAGCCTTTTATAAACTTCCGACAGTAAGTAGCCAGTCCTAGAAATCCGCGAACTTGCTTTACATTTAAAGGGCACCGCCTTACACTTCATAGGGTCAACACGAATACTGTCTTTGGAGACTATGTTTCCTAAATAATTTACCTCTTTTCGTGCAGTAAGACATTTGGATGGCTTCAATGTCAAATTCGCTTTTCTAAGCCTTCGAAAAACAGTTTCAACGTCATGAAGGTGATCTTTAAAAGTGGGACTAGCAACTTTAATGTCATCGTCAAAGTTTCCATGATAAACCCAGAAACACATTTTCTAACATACGTGAAAAAGTTGCGCCTGAGCTTTTAAGACCCATTGACATTCTGTTAAATTCAGAATGACCATCTTGACAAACAAATGAGCTCATTTATTTATTTATTTATTTATTTATTATTATTATTTTTTTTTTATAAGAACTACAGGTGGTATAGAACGTCTTTTATGTGCTCCTGGAGCCTTGCGACTCCACTGCCGCCTGTTATGGGGAAAGCTTCGTGGAGCCTACCTGTTGTAGGCGTTGGCGCTGTACACTTGTTATACAAATAAAATGAAAACCGTTTTACCTTTTTGTCTTCAAACTTACAGAACTGATGAATATTCTTAAAATACAGGTCAAGTTCGAAAATCAGCTGAGGTTATTCTGTTTTTTTTTTTTCTTTTTTCAGCATATTTTATCCATCGTTATACAATTAAAATGAAAACTGCTTTACCTTTTGTCTTCAAACTTACAGAACTGATGAATATTCTTTAAATACTCTGGAACAGAATCAAAGATATGTTTCATTTCAGGCGAATGGGGCAGATGGTTGCAGATGGTCAGACAAATAGGAAGAGGTCTGCAGAAGAGTCAGATTATAAAGTGGTATGAGGTCAGTTTTTCAATTATTTTTACAGCTGTATTATTCTTTCGTGGGTATTCCAAACCAGACAGAACAGAGTTTACATCCCGCCCTCCCCGCTGTTTGCCATGCGTCTCACCATGGACAAACACGCCAGTGCGTACTTGGTTTCGAAACACGCATTACAAAATGTATACTCAATCACCAAAGTGGTTTCAAAAATTATTGGTGCCCCTAAAGAACGAAACAAAGAATTTTATATATCAGTTATTTTTTTAAAAATTGTTCCTTAATTATCATTATTATAAATATTGTTATTATTGTCGACTGAAAAATAAATGACAGTCTTGCAGCAGATTGGCTCCTGTGTAAATCTTATTTGAAAAACATTGAAATCTTCACTGAGTAATAAGACAAATTTATTACACTATTTATTCAGTTTTAAGAAAGCTGCTGTTTTACAATTATTACCCCCGCCAAGGAGGTTATGTTTTCACCCCTGTTTGTCTGTCTGTCTGTTTGTTTGTCATCAACATAACTCAAAAAGTTATGGACCGATTTTGATGAAATTTTCAGGAACTGTCAGAAGTGGGCCAAGGAAGAGATGATTAGTTTTTGGTGGTGATCCGATCAATAATCAATCAATAATCAATAATAATAAAAAATCGCTGCCTTGGGAGGTCTGCGCTCTCGGAGTGCTTTTCTAGTTTTCATAGCATTTAGTGTGTGCCAGGGAGACATGATTTCCGCTATCCAAAATATGATTGTTAAAATGCCAACTTTTCTCGTCAACAAACATCAGCTCTTTGGTTCCACTCTTTTCAAAACCCCAACTTTTAGTGTGCAATGTAAGGTTCACCAAATAGGGCATTGGTACGCTCAGCACCTGTACAATAGTTCATGGACATATTTGGGATGAAGCAAGGCAAGATATATAGTTGCTCCCTACACATGTTTTTAAAGCTTTGTTTTCTGTGTGTAAAAGAGGCAAAATGCAAGAATTATCAATCTACTCAACATCATTCAGACTTGGGAGTTCGACCCCCTTATAATAATCTTGCAAATGTTTCTGTAGGGGCCTCCTTCTCAAATTAGATAAATTTTATTATACAAATAATGGCAACTTGCTTACATACTTACCACCTCAATGATATTAAAGCCTATTAAACCATTTCCTTAAATACACCTTTAATGTTTGACTCTTCAATTTACAAACTTACTCCAACCATTAGTAAAATTCATAATGTAAGAATGCTACAATTATAATTAGGCCCATTTCCTTCTGCATTCTAAATAAGGACATAAGAATATGTAGTTATACAAATGCACATCTAAATTAATTTATCTTATACTAGATTCATTCATTTAAACAACTTGTGGTCCCTCAATTTGAACAGACCAAAAAAATTTTACAAAACTTACGGATATTTTTTATGTGTAAAATTATAAAATTATTGGCAACGGGTGTTGCAATTATCTTTAATTTCGAATTTAATTATTGATACTGCTTTAGGTTCCATTACTTCTATTTCTATCCTATTGGCCTTTCGTATTTTCCAACACATGAAAATTTTATAAATAACTGTTACCACAGAAGGGTCAAGCGCCATTGTGACGCCTGCCAGGACTGGAATTGAAATGATATACGCTCCTCTGTCTGTAGGAAATGATATCGCAATCAGAGTGAGGGCTATTGCCACGTTCTGACACCCTGTCTCAAAAGCAATGGTTCGGCAACATTTGGCAGTCTGGCAAGCGGCGGCCGAAAACGCATACCCCAGGATAAATCCAACGAATGGCAATAGCAGAGCGGCTATCCAGATCTTCCATCCTGACGTGAATATTTGTGGGTAAAGGATGATCTGGCAAATGATGACAATAAGTACGCTAACCAAGCCACATGCACTGGCTACCTGAAAGAAAAAAAAGTGAAGTTGTTATTATGAAAACACCGCAAAAACAGAAGAAGGAGACCTAGAAGATCCGCCTGGTTTGCCAATTTCACAATTAAGAAAATGGATGACCTGTATCTAGGACAAATAATCATACTGTTGTATTTATTTTTTTTTCGAATACTATCTAATCGGGGATAAAATAAAAACATATCGATGCTGCCACAATCGGTCGTAAATTTTCTTTATACGTCTTCCACTTACACCTGAAAATCTAATTTTTTTAGTCTATAGTCTCCAAAAGTTCTGAAACGCTACCGGTAACTCTAAAACTCTCTCTCTTTCTCTCTCTACTCCCAAAAACTCTTCATCTCCGACTGATTTCAACTAACTTATCTCTAAATTCTGATTTTCTCTGAAATGTTACACGACAAGAGTAATGCATTACTTTCACACCCGGCACACTTTACACACCAACGGCAATTACACTTATTCAGATTGCTAACAACACACGAGCTCTTGTATTGACGTTTTTTATATCTACTATGTGTTTAAGAAGATATAAAAAATGTGATATAATAAAATAATGACCAGTGCTAAGGAAGATAAGCCCATTGTATATTTTACTTCCACCTGGTGTCAGAACAATGTCAACCCTCCTGTGATATCATACCCCCCATACTGGTCACTAACTTGCCATTACCTGCACAAGCCTTTTGGCAATTTTCGGAAGTTTCCACCTGATAAGCACGCCGATTCCAGCTGGTACGAGAACCGTAAGGAGAGTGATGAAAATTTTCAGGTACGGCACAACTACGTTGTCGTCTGTCCAACTTCGACTGTATATAAACAGATTCAAGGGCATCATGCCAAAGGCGAGGACGGTGGAACAGGTTGTCATGAAAACACTAGGTAGCATAAAGTAGTTTTTGTTAGGTCAAGAGTAAAAACATACTAGGCAGTATAAAACACTAGACTGTAGGATAAATCACGTTTCTATGAAGGAAAATGTATAGAACATAACAAATGGTGCGTTTTGAGCTTTACGGCATTTTATAATGATATAAAAGTGCATTATTATGTCAGCCCTTAAAGGTACATACGAATCGAGCATCCGTGGAGCGTGGATTCCCAGTAACACATGTAAACCACTTCTACTAGATTCTTATATGACTCAAATAAATTCGACATGCCAAGGGATAAACTGAATAGATCACTCGATCAGCCATAAAAGACCTTTAGACTGCTCTTTTCTTTAAATTTTTGGTTGTAAATTTAACCTACTTTCGTGACCTACTTTCCTGCCCCGTTGACATACAGCTTAGAATGCCAACAGGAAAATCCGTTCAAACATCATTTTCGGGTAAAATTAAACAATGCCTTTTGGTAATTCTCTTAGTTATACTACTTGAAACTATATGCTTGCATTTGGTTGGTTTTTGTGACAAAAAATTGACTTTGTATGCATCTTTAAATTGCATGGGCTTTAAACGCCGAGCTTCAGCTTGGGACACTTGACATTCATGTTTTACTACCTGTAGACCCTATGCCTCTGTCTAGCACGAACACTCATACGTTAGTATTCCTATTTTCGTTTTACAGTACATCATACAAAATACACTGGTCAACGCATAACTTTACATGCTAGGCTTTGTCGTAATAATAAAAACCGCCGTTAGAGGAGAAACGAGATTGTGGTAATCAGTGAGCCAATTTGATTACCGTAACCCTATTTATTCCCTTACCTAAGAGGAACATCCCCGCCATTCCAATGAGTAAAAATGTTGGACAACATTCCACCCGGACAGCAGCCAAGGATTAACAACCCTAAGGCACGGTCCGCAGAGAGTTGTAGTGCGTGTGCCAGGCTGAAGGACAGGAGAGGCATCACGATGAACTGACAGGCAGCGCCAATAACTGGACCGATCGGACGCTTGATGTGCACCTTCAGTACCTTCCACTCAATATCGCACCCCATCCCTAACATAATGAGCACCAAGATAATCGGCAAAAGCCACTGGATGGCTCGTTTTAAATTCTCCTTGACTGGATCATGCACGACCTCTGTAAAATTGCCATACGTTCCATTTTCATCTAGATCCATGGTGTCTTCAACATGTTTCTCTGCAGGACAAACACACTATAATTCAAGATGTGAACAAATTTCAGGTCAAAACCAAAATAAGTCGTGCTGTGAAGTCTTAATGCTCTTCAGTGGGCTTCAATGCGTTCCATCCATTCCACGGGCGTATTCGTTAAAAGTGGGTCTTTTTTCTTTGAAAGCCGTTTTACCTTTTATCTTCAAATTTACAAAAGTGATGAATATTCATAACATACAAGTGAAGTTAAAAAATTAGCCTGATCAGACAATTTTTCCAAATGCTATGCTGTTTTTTTTTTAGCATATGTTATCCACCGTTATACAAATAAAATAGAACCGTTTTGCCTTTTGTTTTCAAACTTACAGAACTGATGAATATTCATAAAATACAAGTCAAGTTAAAAAATTAGCCTGATCAGACCATTTTTCCAAATACTTTTTTTTTCTTTTTTCAGCACATTTTATCCACCGTTATACATATAAAAATGAAAACCATGTCATGTTTTGCTTTGAAACTTTCATAACTGATTCAAAGGTCTGATATATAGATCAAGTTAAAAAATTAGCTTGATTGGTTTATTTATGTTAAAGTTATGCTTTTTTTGCAGGTAAATGGGTTTTCTTCAGATTTAATTCTTAGGCATGCTAACAGTCTCAGTATTGAACTTCTTATATTTGTGAAAATGTTCTTTGACATTTTCTGCATCATATCAGTTTTGTAAAATACTAATATAACAAAGCAGCGAACCTGTCAAATGTACAGACAAGAAAGAAAAATAATCTAATCAAGCTGGTTTGCCAATTTGAGCTGTATGTCAATCATTCTTGCAAGTAACAAAATAATAAGTAACCAGTTTTCCTTTTAGAACATTCATAGTGGTAGTACAGTAAATATTATTTTTTATCAATTTTGATGCAATGGTACATAATGCTTAACATCTTATAATCACCACCAAATTTAAATTATGCACTGCAGATAACAAAGAAATCTAGAAAATGTGACTAGCAAAGGTCATACGGCCCATGAAAATTCCAAGTCACACCTTAAAATGCCAATATGTATGCAATTACTGAAATAATACACAATAACCAATTTACTTTCATATCTAAATGACCAACTAAAAACATTGTTAAGATGTGAAAATATCAATAAGACAACTTTAAATTTTCAATTTGCCCCATTCTGAGATTCTGAACATAGTGAGGGATTGAATCTGACAAACTGTACTGTAATTTCAAATTTTGACAATTTATTACATAACAGGACAGATAAGGAGAGGTCTGCAGAAGAGTTAGTTAATATAGTGGTGTTAAGTCAGCTTTTCAATTATTTTTACAGCTATATTATTCTTTTGTGGGTATTCCAAACCGGACGGAACAGAGGAGTTTATACCCCCCCCACCCCCAGCTGTTTGCCATGCATCTCACAATGGACAATCACGTCTAAGCATACTTTCAAAACACACATTATGACACTTAAGCAAAATGTATACTCAATCACTAAGTGATTTCAAAAATTATTTGTGCCCATAAAGAACAAAACCGTCACAGTTACTTTTTTTTTAAATTGTTTATGTTTATTATTGTGACTGAAAATTAATGACAATGTCTTACAGCAGATTGGCCTGTGTAAATCTTCTATAAAAAACACTAAAGTTTTCACTGAATAATAAGACAAATTTATTACTCTATTGACTCAGTTTTAAGAAAGCTGCTGTTTTACAATTATTTTCATAGCATTCAGTGTGTGCCAGGGAGACATGATTTCCGCTATCCAAAATATGATTGTTAAAATGCCAACTTTCCTTGCCAAAAAACCATCAGCTCTTTGATTACAATCTTTCATAATCAAGGAGTCGAACTCCCAAGTTTTAGTGTGCAATGTAAGGTTCACCAAATAGGGTGTTAGCAAGCTGAGCACCTGTACTATAGTTCATGGACACATTTGGGATGAGGTAAGATATGTAGTTGCTCCATGCACATATTTTTTAAAGCTTACTGTGTGTAAAAGAGGCACAAAGCTAAATGTCTGAATTATCAATCCACTCAACATCATTCAGACTTGGGAGGTCAACCCTTAATAATCTTGCAAATGTTTCTGTAGGGGTCTCCGTCTCAAATTAGATAAATTTTATTCTACAAATAATCGCAACTTACGTACATAATTACCACCCAAATGGTATTTTAGCCTATTTAACCATTACCTTAAATACACCTGTAATGTTTCACTCTTCAATTTACAAACTTACTCCAACCATTAGTAAAATTCATTATGTAAGAATGTTACAATTACACTTTGAACACTTGAGTAAAGAAAAACAGCACCATCACCACTTTCTTTCAATTTTTAAAAATATTTTAACTTAAAGATTCTTTCTGGTCTTGCGTACAGATCAGCATATTTTTACTGTGGCTTCCTCAAAAGTTATCCTCTTTCACATATTAACTCTATCACCTGAAATTAAAAAGAGATTCATTAATAAAGCATTAATATATGTACATATAGTTTCAGTTCTTTCACTAGTCCTCTTTCCTTCCACAAATTTGACAAGTGCAATCTATCACAAAACAAGCAAATTGAACCTAGCTATGTATATGTAATCTTATTATTACTTTTATTTCCAAAAATAATTTACTCAGTTTGTTTCTATAACAATGAAGAATTGTCTTACGCTAGGTTCCATGAGCACTGCATCCAAACACCTGTGTGCTGTACTACCAACTATTTCATCTAATAAGAAATGCACCAAGCTGGAAAATATAAGGTTATGTAAAACATACTTTTAATTTGGCTTAAAAAACTTTTTTGGAGGGGGGGGGGGGCGGGGAGCTGAAAGTTTGAATCTGTACACTTTACGTACTGTACAAGAGGCACTTCGTGAATAAATATATCTAAGGAAAATATTGTGACAACATAGTGTAACAAAGTCATCAAACTTTCTTTTTCCTGGATCAACCTCCACATCTTAACCATGCTGCTCAGGCATGTTAATATTTGTGGTTCATTAATAGCAGGCTGGCAGTGCAAATATTTACAGAGGACACCTTTACCAAACCATGAAATTTCAAGGCACTTAATGAATGTGGGATGTGAAGTGTAGCAATGTGCTATTTCACTTCATTTAGAAATAAAGACGACTAGCAATCAGTGAGCTCATTTATTTGAAGTATGTCAAGAACTGTTGATATACAGTTGCCAACTTTCAGCAAGCCAATATAATATATTAGTAATAGATGGAATTTTATGGAATCAATATGGATATATTAAAACACATAAAAATTTAAGTATTTTTCCTACAATAAATACACATATAAAAAGAGACACTTATCCAAAAAAAAAAAAAATACTCAGGTTGTTAAAAAAATGAAAAAGAGAGAGACTTACTTTTCATCAGAGACAAACCTCCAGAGATAGAGCTGCAAGTAATGCGTGTCCACCTGAATCTGCTGTAAGCCATATCTGCCAAATGTCCTCAGACGCACACACTCCAGGAATGTCTACAACATTTATTGTAAAAGAAAATATTTGGATGAAAACCTCTATTTTTGTCTAATATTGAGATTATATTTTTTCAGCCGAATGTTATTTCAACTAAAATGAACACAATATGGTTCTAATAGAATAGAAATTTCTTTATCCAAAAAATTCGGTTAATTAGCAAATTCAATGTCACACACTGGTGCAAGGCTAGAAAAGTGAGTACCGGAAAAAATTTTTAAATCAAGTACCCTCAAGTTATTTTCTAAAACACAAATGATACTTATAAAAATCATGATACAATATCCATATTTCATAATAACAGCATATTTTGAAATAAAAATGCTATTCCTTACACAAGCCAATGCAATAAAACCAGTAAACTGCTTGCTATATTATACTCCTTTTAAGAGATATAACTTACTTTCAGACTTATTTTGATAATCCCAGTAAGCACAGACACTCTTGAGAACTCTACAGCACTGAAGATTTCTATCCTCTCAGAGAATAACTTCTGTATGTTGCTCATCAGGCTATTGTCAATGCTGTAATTAATGATAACTTCATTATTATTCTTAACAATAATGGCATTATTATCAAACTGCAAGTGTTTAACATAACACATTTTTATAAAAATACAGATTTACCATCCACCAAAAAGGTACTGAAAATGACAATTTTATTTTATACATATACTCACACCTAAATGGTCATTATAGTTCAGATATGTTTAACTGCTGGGAAAAAAAAACAATCAAGGAGACACAGGAAACAATTTCTTTTTCCTACCTAGGAGCATAATTCCATTGTGATCTGTTCTGCTGCCTGCTGACACTGTAGTTGAAAGTCCTCCTGCTGGAATCGCTACTCCTCTCTTTACGTACCCCCTCCTCATACAGCTGACCTACTTGAGTATCTATGGCAGTGATATCTTCCACTACACGCTTCATCACGGCACGCACATTGCGAGGTTCTATTGTATTTAGCCAGTCTCGAGTTTCCACGCTTTTCCGAAGCATCTTGGTGAGAAAAAGCGTAATGAAATATTCATAAATAAATTTGATCTCTAAAAAAAGTAGAATGAATAATGAAGCAGACTAGGAAAGTTCTGATGCTTTTCTTCATATCTAAAGCTAATCTAGTCTCTAAAATTAATCCCGCCATACTGGTAGGCTATGGTAAAAGGACTGCACTCTACTTAACAAAAATAGACAGGATAAACAAATTAACAGCCTACTTATAAAATGATGAAAATAATGAATTGAATAATATAAAATTTCATTTACTTCAGACATGCAGCTGTGCTTAAAAAATTCTTCTGAGCAATTATCAAGAGATCAAACACTTCATCTGCAATGGGTCACCTTAAGCATCATCATAACTGAATTAAAACTTTTGACATTCTGTGGAAAAAAGCTCATGCCCACGTCATACCTGTGATATAATTAACCCTTGCACACGAACATAGTGGTTCAGTAATAGCTGGGCAGCATCTTTAAACATATTGCAAAGTTCTGTCCCTGTGGTAAGATTTCCCCCGCTCACATCGACCATAAACTGTTCATCTGCCAGAGATAACTGGAATTTAAAATAAAAAAAATTGATGCAGATATTCTATTACATTGAAACCTGCAGAGTTATGGATTGGTGCCGATTCTCTTGGTTTAGATTAATTTCAAATTGATGACAAAAGAACTACTGCCTTTTCATGTAAAAACAAAAAATGTAATGATTATAAAAAACAAGAAGCATTTTTACTGAGTAAATAAAGTCTTGCACCATGTCATATTATGACTCTACTCTCTGTTGAAATAGTGCTGCTTTTATCTTACCAGATACATTATAGTTGATCGTTCAAAGTCTAAACACATTCTAGACAATATGAGAAGAAGAGCTGGGGGAGCTGAACCTTTATCTCCTGTGCCATCACAAAATTCCTGCAGTTAAAAATTCACAAATACATAGATTTCAAATAGTTTCTCAAGGCAAGCATTATTCAAAAAGCAAAAGCAAAACATTATTCAAAAGCAAAATGTGATTAATATCAATAACAAAATGTTTGTTTCACTCACATTTAGTTTACCCAAAATCAATCAAGTTTAAAACAGTTTGCTCTGTCAATAGTCCTATCAGTATCAAAAGAGAGAGCACTTACTGCACAAGTTACTGTGATGCTCTTGAAGAAAGCGACTACAAGACCCTCTCGCACACCTTGTCCACAAAATGGATCACGGAAATATGGTTTTATGGCAAATGTAATGTCTGATGCAATAAAAGCCTACAAATGAAATATGTGAACCAAAGTGTAATAGATCATACATGATACATATATGAAAACTTTCCTATTCCAGCTCAATAAAATATCCTACAAAATCAAAACTTTGAGAAAACTTTACTTTTAGAAGTGTAGTGGACAATAAATTCATCAAGAAAATTACTGCATTTATCGATAAAATAGCAATTGCCTTCACATTTCTTTCACATTCTTTACATGCTTTGAAGTTACAGGGCCCTGGTTTGCCTTCCATGTCCGAACAAACCACAAATGTGAAGGACTGATTTAGCTTTATTTGGCAGTCTGTACAAAGTGGGAGAGGGTATACCTGTAAGTTAGTCATTACTGACTTTATCTGTTCAACAAGAGATGTATGCATGTTGTTCAACAAGTCTGACAGGCTACTTTCTTCCTGGCGGTTGGCTTTGGGAGCAGCAAGGTTTTGCCGTACATCAGTCAAGCAGTCTGTAACAAATGTAAGCAGAGGTGTTAGCTTGTAGACAGCTTATATATTGTCATTCTATGTAGTGTTGCAAATTTATATATAATATTCTGATTTACACATCTCTTAATTTGATGTTGTGTTCTTACAATTAATATTTGTATTTCATATTATTCATTCATTCATTTATGCATTGATCTATGTATAAACTTTTCACCATAAAATGTAAAACTGCTATCTTATAAATTAATAAATATTCTAAAAAATATTATTATAATAATTTTAAAAAGATTTAAGCTTCCAGTACCATTTTTACTCAAATTGTTTTTAAACAAACCCAGTGGAGAAGTTTTGACTGCAACAATGTCTGGAAACCTTATTTAATCTCCTGTTTCACATATAAAACCACATGGTGATTACATAACTGGTGTCTGTTCCATTACATTGTCATACACTGTTAGTTATGATAGTGTTGATAATGCTGTTGGATGTCTAAGTATGAAATATTTTTCACACATTTAGTTGATCGACATACAGGATATCATATAAAAACAGGCATCTCTAACTGTCTTCTTCATTTCAGCGTATACTTTGAAGATATCCATTCTTTTGAAATTTCTGACCAAATATTCTAATACATATTAAAGTAAAATTTCATATTTTTAAAAACCAAATAAAACATTAACAAATAAAATATAAAGCAAATTTATATTGAAAATTCCGGACTATAAAAACAGGCGCAATTACATCTTATTTACGAAAGACTAATCTTCAAGTTATGCATATGAAAAATACCTGTGAAATGTTGTTTTAGTGACTGCAAATAATAATCTATCCTGTCTCTAGCTGCCTTAGACACAATATCTGTGCCAGCACGGGAGAAATCTGTGTCTGGAAGCAGCTGGTTCATGGCCTGCAGACGCCTGTGGAAGCGGTCCAGTGCTCGGACTAGAATGGTATTGTCCCCCGTGTCCTTCTACAACAAATACACAATACACAAGATATGTAATATGCATCTGCTTGGTCCTGAACACTTTTATCAAACAAAAAATTCCATTTTTGGTAATTCTGAAACTGCACACAATAAATGAAAATTAATAATAACAGAAAATACATGGGATTCAATATTTAAGACAATTGCTTATGATCAGCAACCATAATTTTTTTCAGCAAAATATGAAAATAATACATAAATTAATTCATCAATCAAAAGGAAAAAAAATATCCTGACATAAAACGAGACGCTTCTGTAATTATTACAATAATAATGCCAAGAACACACTGCAATAACCTGATATAACCTGAGACATACCTCCAACTGCACCCTTCTCCTAACATAATCAAAGTACTGCTCCATGAGAGAGTGGACAAACTGCACCAGCTTTTTAAGAGCTATTGCATCTAGATTCTCACTGGAAATAAATTGAAAATACACACTTTTAACTTTTAAGTAATATACATAATAACTTACATTATATATAAATCTATTTTTATCTACTAGCAAGAAAACTTCATTTGGTTTCACATCACAGCTCGATTAATGTAAAAAGGTTTTATTTAAGAGTGCACTCAAAACAGTGGACTATCAGATCTGCGGGTCAAATGTGGCGACCCACTTAAAAGCTTGCCGCCTTATTCCAGATTAGACACTGAACAGATTCCCACGGGGATTACGCAACAAGCATTCAAGTGGGTCAGCCATATCTGATCCGTGGATCTGTTAGTCTGGTGTTCTGAACGTGCTCTAAACTTGTTCTTATAAATGACAGGCTTCTAGAAGACTTACTCCTCCTGTTCTCTGTTGAGGAACATATCATTGTAAGATGCGATGACCAAACATATATTGCTCAGGAAACTATTGCAACCCGAGTCTATAAATTCCAAAATGTCCTAAAAAGAAAGAAAAGAAACTTTCAACTGTTATTCTTTTAAAATCAACCACTGTATCAATCAAACAGTGAGTAACTATACATATCCATATTGATTTTCATTGCTACTTTAAGAATTCTATGAAACTATGAGAACCATGTAGCTGACAAACTTGTATTCAGGTAAACTGACTTATGAAGGAATTGAAGAATAAAAACATATTTTGTAGTTTAGAAATTATTATATGCCTGTAAATAAATGTAATATGTCTATGATGATCTCTATAATATACGCACCATAGGTGCATTAAGATAAATGTCAGCTGGCCTCTCAGCTTCTGGCTGGGCTTCTCCAGATAGTATTTGCAGTTGTTTATGTAGAGCATCAAGGTCTTCGTCAATCTTCTGTCTTGCACTAAATATCAATCAATTTTGTTTATTTACTTGAGAGTCCAAGATAAGTAAAGAACACACACAGTTTAAATAATACACATGTTGACTTCTACATCTGTGTAGTTAAGACTTTAAAATAAACATAAATTCACATGTTATTCTTAGATTAAATTTCTTTAATTTCTTGATCCAGAGGATGATGTTATAAAAATGGTTTTGGGGTAAAAAGTGTTTAAGTAAAATAATGGTATTCACCACCCTCATCACATTTGATCTTCTTTTAATCACCAGAACAAAAATTTAATCCAACTTTCCAATGATCTCCAAAATACCACGGAAAATTTAAAAAAAAACTATCTCAGTAATATCTATAGAGGTTACATTTGAAAGAACTCACTGTGATAAGAATTCCTCATAAAGCCCCTCAGCTGGTTCATTCAGTTGAAGAAGCAAGTCAACACACTCTGCAAGCTGCTGAGGACTGGACTGCAATTCAATAAAAAATTTTAACAATATTATTTGCTGTCCTATATCTTACTGCTGTCCTATCTTTTTACAAAATACTATATATAGTGTTCAAAAACATATTTAGTCATCAACAGTAAAATTTCTGACATGGCTTTATGGTAACAAGAAAAGCTGGCCCCTGTCCTAAAATCTTTTTTTTTAATCTTGTCAATTTTATCTTCCTCTCTCACTGATTTTTCTACCTATTATTATGAAGTAAGTTCCTTACATCTCTGTCCCTGAACCTTTGCTTCAGTTTTGCCACCAGCTCATAAACAATGGCCTCACAGTCAGCTTGAATCCCTTGGAAAGAGGGCATATCTTGATACTGATGTAGAACTTGTTTTGCCTTGCTCCAATATCTGCATTGGTAGAGTAATGTGTGAGAGATATTAATTTCACAAACACTGATATCTATTTTACAAGTGAATTATACAATTTAGTAGTACAATACTAGTCTTTGTATTTTCTTTGGATTACTCTGCTCAATTACATCAACATGCTCAAAATTATTAAGTCAGAAGAGTTTCTAAAGGTGCTTTGTTGCAATGTTTATAATGCATCTTCATGGGTTGTAAAATAAAATCTCTAAGTTCAGCTGTTCATTACTTGCCTCACTGCCTGATCATATGCTTCCATTTCAATGCATTTCTTCAATCTTGCTGGCAGTTCAAATAGGAATTGAAGCTATCATATTGAATAAAATGAAAAGTATTTAAAGTAAAGGGTAAATCTCAATTCTTGTAAAATAATTTTAAAAACATTCATGCAAAGTTTGCTCAAAATGCTTAAATTAAATTGTTTATATTTAAAAAATGTACAAAATTACATATAAAATATAAAGCCTTGGCCATGATATATCACAATAAAGTTATCAAGGCACTGTCTACTCTATCAAATGACTAACATCACAAAATAAGAAGTAATCTGTATGTAAAACACTGTGTAACAATGTTATACTTTAAAGTACCTTCTTCAGTAGGGAATGTACTCCAGCCAGTTTTGTTATCTGCTGTCTCCTGTCCTGTAGAGTACTGCTGATTCGACCGCTGAACTCAGTGATAGAAGACATGTTGGTGGCCAGGTGATCCATCTCATCTTCCATTTTCTTAAAATCATTTTTCATCTACAATGACAAAATGTAGGGTATTTTTGATGTGTGCTTAGGTTCACCAAACCATACCGTACCATACCATAAAAATGGTTTATTTCAAGTGACTATTAAATCTTTATTTGGGATTGATTGACTGCTTCACTGCATGCTCATGTGAGCTTTGAAATCAATTTTTTCATATTCTGGGACAAGATATCTGGTCTAATAAAATATTATTATTATACTGTACTGTACTGACCTTTCGAATAGTATCAGTGGCACTGATAAACTTATTATAATTCTCATACACAAGGGTCTGCATGTCACTATCCAAAGCCTTGATATCTCTGATCATTTCATCTTCTTTTCCCATCAAATCTTTCAAAGCTTTTTCTTTCAGTAGTTTAGACAGGTACACATCAGGCTTAAAATGTGCACCATCAATGTTACAAGGGTCCACAGATGTAGCTCCTGAATTCTCTTCATCCAATCCATAGTACATTTTAAGCATGCCACGTCTTGGCCGACGGTGGCCTTCATCTCCTGCTTCTTCTGTGGAAATAAGAAAAACACTGTAAAAAGTATTCAAGAACATTTAACACATTTACTAAACCATGTTTACTAAATGTTTAATAAGGAAATATGGAAGCATGGATGCTTTTTTGTATTCAACAAAGGGGCAAATGTTGGGATGGGAATGATTGCAAGGGAGCAGTGGCATACTAGTACTGTGGTAACCTGATGTGGTGTCAAAAATAAAGAAATACTCAGTAACTATATTGGAACTGAAGCTCACATTTTGTAGGCAACAGATCTAACAAGCTAAGGTAAATTTATTAAACAATGTTAACAGTATAGCGTCAACGTATCGACTCCGTGACAGTCTCAGGGATACATAATCATTAAGTCAGCTGTGTAGACTGGTGTACTAGTAGTAGTAGTAGTAGTAGTAGTAGAGAAGCAGCGCCCGAGTCATAGTTGTTTAAGAAACTGAAGTCGAGCTCTACAGTATCTATGCTGCACTGACGTTGACAATAACACGCCAGTGATGCTTCATCAAGCAATTGTTCCCACAAGCAGATTTGAAGAATATAATTGAAATAACAGACGCATCTCAACTGCATTGTTACAACTGTATGTACAAGATACTTAAAATTAAAAACAACTGGCAACAACCCCTACCTCCTTCACCGGAAGCCATCGCCGTAAATAAATAGAATAGATAGATGGCGTCTTCTTCATCAGGACAAACCTGGTAAGATATTGGGGAAAATATTTTCATATTTAACAGGAGCAGTAATGAGATACCTTAACATATATTAATTTTTTAAGCAATTGATCGCTAAAAGTTCGAAAACCACGTAGGGAATAAACAGAATCGTTCTACTAGTGTGCACAGTGGCGCCTCTTGCGCTAATGATAAAGCCGCGGGAAATTTGCATGCTTGGATTGGCTCTGGGATAATAACAGTTTTGGTGTTGCCGTGATCAGTTTTACGCAAGATTGTGACACTGGTTATGATAAAAACGGGGTCTACGACAAGGATAAGTGCAGACGCATCAAAATGTTTTATAGCCATGATGTTCTCCAGAGGAAAGGTGGAAAATTTGGGATTATCTGGTGAGAAAAAACGTTTTAAACCTATAACGTTGTTGTAAGTGTAATTATAATTTATATGCAATGAAGTTGTATCTTTTACTCTAAGACTAGTTAATAAAATTTTCAGAATGCCTAAAGGTGTATATTTAACTTTTGATTTTCACGTACATATTTTGACTATTTTGTTACATGTAGGATTGCTGCTACAAGAGGCGTGCATTTAACCAGGAGAGAATATTATGGTGTTAATGTGGACAGAACATGGTAAGGAAAATTTAATGAATATATTGATCATTGTGAAAAAATTAGAATACAGACTAAAAAATCTGTTTAACTGAAAGTCTTACTTATGTTGGAAGACAGTATAATTATAGTAGTTACTCCTATTAGTCTAGTATTCTTTTTCTCTCTTTTTATTTTTACTTTTTCTCTCTTTTAGTTTTGCCATATTGTAAATCACACTTATACAAGCAGTAATACCTGTTGATAAACTTCTAAGAAAAAAATAGATTGATAGAACTATGATAAAATTATGTAAAATTGTTATTAAGAAACAGTTTCCTTACTACTAGTCAAAAGATAATAGACTACGTACATAAGAAAGAGGTAGATAGAACTATGATAAAATTTTGTCAAAGTGTTAACTGAGTTTCTTTATTAGTCGACAGATAATCGACTACATAACCCTGCGTGCCAGGCCAGTTAGACCAGGGGGCTCTGTGCCGAGATTTTCTCTTTACTTGTCTTCACAACTCATGTTTGGAGTGGTAAAGGTGTACAACAGGCAGACTGAATATTTGTACAGTGAGTACAAGTTATCTTTTAAAGAAGTACTGTGAAATTTTCTTTTAACTGTTTATGGCATCTTAATTGACATCTCATCTCATCTAGGTAGTCTTTGTTCTTATCATTGGTAAAATAGATATGCAGGTGAAACATTTTTAAAAACATAGCATTGCTAAAATTGATGTTTATTTTTAGTGGCTTTAAAACATGGTACAGGTTAACGTGATGAAATTTAACTCTTTCCTACAAAAGCTTTTAAATCTCTATTGGGTTATTTGTTTCAGGTGACCTGAGTTGTTTGTCCAAGGTATTTTCTCATCTATCTCAGCTAAAACCCACCACTGATATTGATTTGAAGGTGACTGCAAGGTAAGGTTTATCTTTAATAAAATATTTTAAATGAAAAAATTGTCTCTGTAGCAGTTGAGTTTTAAATTGAAAACAGCGGAGTATTCGTAATATTGATATCAGTGTGTCTTGATCTTTTTTTATATTTTCAGTGCTTACACTATTTTCGCCTGCAAGTGCGCTCATTTACACACACACACACACACACAGACACACTTTTGTCTCAAGGCTGATATGCATATACGGTGAAAATAATTTCTATCAACTTTTTTCACAAATACCAATTGAAAAAACTAGTCTAGTCTATCTAAATTTCAGAGCTGACCCTGTGACCAGCACAGAAGGCGTTATTGATGGTAATTATGATCTAGATTTTGGTGCCTTGCGATGGGAACAAGAAACACTGAGTCTTCAAGCTATTGCTGATGAGGTAAATGATGGACTGTTCACATAAAGAACACAAGTTTCATTGGCTAGTAGTGATCTCCCCAAGACCATCTTCTTTCTAAACAATTTTTAATTGAAGGGAACAACATGTAGTATTTAGTTTGTGACTAGTAACATTATGATAGATTTTGTTCTCATTTACCAAATTTAAAAAATGTTTATATTTAGTCTTTGTATTGGATGTTTGCATTGGTGCCTTTTTTCCTGTAGGAAACTTTCAGAGTGGAACTTACCCCACCCTTTGCTTCACCCTTCAGTAGTCCTGAACATAGAGACATATCTATTCCTCTTTCTCCAAATATTCCTCAGGAACCTTTTAGACCAGGTTAATAAAATGAATAAGCCATTGTTAATTTTTGTTCTTTTTATTGTTGCTTTACGTGTGTGTGCTTTTTCTTATTCTGCACAAATAAGTGATGATAAAATGCACTTGGGGATGTTATTTACTTTTTCTGTCAGCTAAATATTTCTTAAATATATAATAAAAAATAAATAAATAAATAAATAAATAAATAAATAAATAAAAAGAAAGAAAAGAAAAACATTTTATGAAATATAAAGCCTAGACTTAACAACAATATTTTGAATTGTGGAATCTGTTTTTCTGCTTTATTTGGTCTTTTTTTTTCCAGTTATGCTTTTTTGTGATTTTGTTAAAATGTTGCTGTTATGATTTTTTGTTCTTTGTTGACTTTATTTTAATTGATCACACGAAAAAAAAGTCAAGTAATAAGTATGAACATATGTTATATCATTAGTCCTATAAAATAGAAATGAAATAAAATGATTTGCCCAATAGTGCAATGAAAATAATGATATAGCACATATTTTACTGAAGTTGAGGCATTCATATTTTATAAGTCATTTCAGATACCAGAACTGGTTTTGCAGGCTTGCTGAAATTAACTATGTTAAAACAATGGTTGGGTTGTGTATAATTTTAAACAACTTTCCAGGTGTTGGTGCTCCCTTAACATCGCCTAAGGAACGTATCACATTACAGGAGGAAGTTTCATTTTCAGAAGAGGAGATGAAGGTACGTTTTCTTGTCTATTTGTTGAAATTTTATCTTCTGGTCAATTTTTGTATTTTTGAACTGTGTACACATTGCAATTTTTCCTATATGAATTGAAATATTTCTTCTAATTCAAAAGAAATTTTAGAATGATATTTGAAAAAAACTTAACATTTTAAATGCTAGCTCCCAGATGAGAAGGACCTCCCACTATTCACAGGGGAAGAATTGCCGATGTTGGATGTCCCTGAAAAAGAACTGTCGGCTCAGATAGAAGCCTCTATCCTAGCTGAACAACAAGGTGTGGCTGTTTTTGAGGAGATACATTCTGCCTCTGAATCTGAATTGAGGTGAGAGAGTGAGTGATTTCTGAATCACTTTCTGTTAGTTTTAAAATTGTAAAAAACAAAGGGAATGCATACAAGTAACAGCACTGCTGCCACACCTAACTGCCTGTATATAATACATTAAATGTCTAGCTCTTAACTTCATTGAATTGTAATATTTTATTTACTATATTTTTATCATTGTCTGTCGATGTTATTGTCATTGCTGTAACTGGTGCAGTTGCCACCTGATACATTTGTTGTTCACCTTATATCTTATTTTACTTCACATTTGCCATGTAACTTTTTTTGGTAAAAAGGTATGTTCATTTAAAAAATCAGTGTGGTTGTATTATTTTTACAAATATGTTGAAATGAAGCAATATGGTAATGCATTTTTTGTGATAATTGTCTGTACATTTACCAGCTTTGCTGTCTAGTTCAAATTATTTATGTCTTCAGAGCTGACATGCCTGTCCCAACAGAGACCACCCCCACTGTTGGTGTGACAGGTCACAGGCAAAGACCTGGGACTGAGCCAACCCCTGGAGTCACCCCAGGGACACCAAGACGAGAAGAACCCAAGAGAAGAGTGAGAAAGGATTTTGCATTGACCATTATGACTGTTTAGATAATGTTATGACTCATATTGAACTTTTAAACTTGCTGTTATATATTTAAATCCAAAACAACATTAATCTTATCAGCAGTATATTTTTTTTACTCTGAAATTTTAATAAAAAATTAACTAAACAGTTAAAATATTGTCACCACTAGAGAAAACAATCACATGTTGGTAAAATCATTTGCTAAAAAGATCCACAAAAATGTGCCAAAATGACCATTCTACATCAAACTTGATCAGAATCTTTTATTTTAAAATATTTCTTCTTTGATGTGGTTTTTATATTGATATTTTAAAGCACCAGAAGATATATGCATGCACAATTCATTTTTTGTGTTTTAGAAAGTCAGCATAGGCTTAGAATTGTCACCTCTCACACCAACTCCTGGTAGTCGCAGAAGGAAGAGACAGCTGATATTTGCCGACAAAGAAATACAAATTCACAAGAAAAAGCTCAAACAGCAGATGGCTGATACAACGGACATAATGAGGCCCTTGGTAAACAACAGTTTGACCCTATATTGAGTAATTTGAATTAAAACTTCTTGGGAATAAAAGACAATTTAAAAAAGCTAGAGTTAAATATCTCTGTAAGCTGTTCTTGGTTTATAATTTAGAATAATTTTGTATAAATGTGTATTATCTTTTTCAGATGAACAATTTATGTAATTTCAAATCTTATTTATCTAACAACTTTTTTCATTCTTTCATTAAAGGATTTTTTGTGGCAATTTTAAAATGTTTTTGTAGATGATACCTAGCCCCACACCACACCTGTCAGCAGTTGAGCTCCTGACTCTTCCAAGTAGAAAAGGTAACTTATTTTATTTTATCTCTTGTAGAATTCTATACTCTCTGGTCAGGTATAATAACTTATATTGAATGCTTATATTTCAGTCCATATGACAAAACATTTTGATATTTTGATTTTTAAAAAGTGTCACTGTTTTATTTTTCTATTTTAAGTACTCTTATTGTTACAGATTACATTGACAACTTAATAAACATTACCAATAACATTTTCAATAAAATAAGCAAAATCAAAAGTTGTCTTTCCTTTATTCTTACTAGTATGTGGACAATCAGTATAATAAAACAAATAGAACACAGTCCCTCATGAACTACAAAGAATATGGTCCAATTTTCACTTGCTAGGACCTATTCTTCATAGTACACTTGGGATATACTGTTCTCTATTTATTTATTTATTGAAATATTTTAAATGCATTTTTGTAAAATAAATTAATACAAAGTTGGAGATAATTTGTTCTTAACAGTGAGAGATACAATTTTGTAAAAACTAACATCAAAATTGGAGACAATTTGCTCTTAACGGTGAGAGATAAATTTTCCCTTAAAATTTACAACACCCATTTGAATAGTGTTATAGTAAAAAAATAAAGGGGGAGTTGTTATATGAAAAATGTTATCAAAATCGGTTTCAATGACATATTTTGCCAATACCTTATAGCTTAATTTTATCAGAAAGAAATTCTTTATTGCAGACATCCGTTCTCGTAACTTCCTACCCCTGTGGAGAAGATGTGCCAATACCTTGACTACAGAAGGCTCAGACTCTGACATTGAGAAACGGTTCTGGACAATATCAAGTGATGAAGATGGTGAGACAATTGTTTCTGTAATAATAAAAACATCTGATCATTTTTTTATAAGAATTATTACCTAAATGAAATCCATCTTCCTCTTAAAATATGCATTCTTTTAAGATTTAAGAGATGAAGATGACTGATTAATAAGATTCATAGGTTTTGATATGTGTGTTGAAAAAAGTTATAATTTGTGATCAACTCTCTTTCAATACTGAAGCCGTCAGCACTGTTCCTGAGCTGTCCCCTATACCAGAACCTCGGGATTCACTCCAACAGGTACGCAGCATGCAATTTGATGCCATTTTTTTTTTTGCCTGATTTCTTATTCTTGTAATGTTCTATATGCATGATAAACCTTCACTTTGTCTTAATTTAAGATCCAAATTTTCTAGAACTGAAGTTTACTTCAATGCAATATCTTGATAAGATTATAAAAAAATGCTATTACATGTACCAAAATAAAATCAAATATTTCAGGAAAAGGAAGAGTCAATGGAAATAGCCAGATTGTCTGCCTCAGCCAGCAAATCTGCCAGTAGGCTGGAACTTTTGAGATCATTTATTGAGCAAAGCTCTGACCTTGATGTGTCATCAGACACTGGGTCTAGATCTGGAAAGCGACCAAGGTAAAAAGGATTTTTTCATTTATAGATAATCAGTTTGTTTTAAAGATGCTTTAAATTACTAATACTAGTAGTAAGTAGGACAGCTGTTAGGATTTTTATCAAGTTTTTTTATATGTATGATGTGTGGTGTTATTCTGTAAGTGTCTTAAACAGAGACGTATGCCAGAGTTTAGTTAAGCTTTCAAACGGCATCATGAAAAAAATTGCAATTTTATCATTTTCTTAACACATACTAATAAGTCCTTTTTTATGCAGTTGATGCACAAAGTTATATTGAATTATATATTATTTAGGCTATCTGCAGACAGATCAGCAGACAAGAAGTCCAGAGCTTCACCAATCCCAGAGATGGAGACTATATCAGCACCGCCCTCTAGAAGCATTCGTATGCCGCCTGTGTTGGAAGAAGAGAGGGAAGAACATCACTCCAGCATGGATGAGTTATTGGACCTAGATATGGAAGCAAGACCTGAGAAATCTGCTAAAATTGTACATGAAGATGTGCTTAGGTGAATTTATAAAACACTTCATTATTATTATTATTATTATTATTATTATTATTATTATTATTATTATTATTATTGGACCGATTTATATTTTGACTTTTTATCATTTGGGTATTAATCGCTGACCCATGTGGCCAACATACTTTTTCTAATTGGTCCCCAGGTATTGGTGTGTACTACCCTGGCTAGTTTATGAAATAAGGTGCATTAAAGGGCATGTTGGTTTATTAACTTTCTAACAGTGATTTTTAAAAAATGACCAGTGCACTCAAGAGTTTTCCTTGATAATTCCATATTTTTACCCTCTTTTTTTTCAGGATATTGTTGCATCTGACAGCAAATGTGGATATGAGCATTACTTTCAGAACATTGTGTCCACCTGCTAGCAACACCAGGAGCCAGGCCGCTGGTCATTTCACTGCAATTTTAGGTGATACTATTATTAATGTGTGTGTTAAATAAAAATAGGATAAGGAAAAAGAGAATGTATTTTTACAAGTTTATTTTTTTTATGTTTTTAGTAAAATGTTTTTGACAATTTTAATTCATCATTGAAGAAAATATTGGGTCCAGCTTCTGTTTTCTTTCTCTGGTAGAAATAAGATCTGTCGAATTCAATTCCACATTTTCTTTCTAGATCTGTGTGCTCTGAATAAAATCGATCTTACCCAAGAAGAACCCTACGGTGACATTTTTATCACGCGTGGAACAGAATGGTGAACTTAGCAGGCTCAGCTTTAAACCATAGAAATCTATATAAAAGAACCTCAGAAGGAAAAAGTGAAGAATCAGTTTTTTTCACAGTAACTTTTATTATTCCTATTAGCATTTTTTAAAAATCTGAAGACTTGTGAATATTTAACATATTACAGTTTGTTTTCATGAAAACAGCAGGATATATAATATTGAAGGTTAAATTGCAAATAGAGAATATCATTCTAAATTGTTCACATTTACAATTAGTATATATTGTGCATTTAAATGTTTCAATGTTTTTAAAATGTTATTTCTGAAAATAACTTTCTATTTAAAAAAATATTTATAGTTATAAATCATGTTTTACAAAAAGATGCATTTTTATAGTTGTATCCAGATATATTTTACTTGGATAGCAAAAGTATGTCGTGTTTCAAGAGTTTCATAATTGTTAGTTTTCCAAGCTTGTATTAGTGCCATGCCGTTTCTGTTTGGTATGTGTGCTTTGAAGAATAGCAGCATTTAACTTATTAAGATTTTTTTTTATATATTAAGTGATATCAACAACTTCCAATTTAAGCCAACAACTAACTTTGAATGGACATTTTTCTGTTGATGACCATTTCCTCTGAAGATGAATAATTCGAAAAGGAAGAATAATAGATTTTTTACATGCATTTATTCAACCATCCATTTCTGTTTAGCTTTATTACTATTTACATTTCTAAAATTTAAATTAAAAGATGTTACAGTGGAAGGAGTTTATGTTGGTGATATTTTTTGCTGAAATATGATCTATAAATGAATAAAGTCTATGATTCAGTTATATACAAATGAAGCTACAATCCTACATATACTTGCATAAACTAATTTAAAGATAATACCCCTTTTCATTTATATGCCTGATTAAATTGTCTAGTATTGGCAATTTGTCTTCACATCCACAACATTCACAAACACGTTCTCACTTAAGGCTAAAACTGTTGGCCATTACTTTTAAGTGTTGCTTCCACATCCTATGACCAGCAAGAAAAGCATTGCATGTTACTGGCTTACTAACAAATACAACAGTTATTTTGGCTAGTGTAAAATAAATGAAGATACATATAAATATTGCTAATATGACAAGAGATTTACATACCACCAATTTTAAATTTTGGATCTAATAAATCCAAATGCAAAAGCAGGGATGATACTACTGTTTAGTGAATAAGTTTGAAAATGTGACGTGGGGTCCATGTAGGCCAATGGCATTTTTGGCTCCCAAAAAGTCTGAAATCTGCCAAAAGTTGGAAAAATCGCATCCATGTATAAGATGTCACAAAAGTCCACATATACATGATTTCATGTATCAAACATATGGCATGTTTCTAGTCAACAAATAGTGTCAACACATCTTGACGTATCTACTGGGCATCTTATGCATAGCTGACCAAATCTGACCCCCATGTTGTCTTACCCAAGAAAGTGATGGTCCAGGAGAGTCTGCTGTATTCAGGCAGATTGCATTCCAATTTAAAATAACCCGTCTTGACTGGAAACATGACACCGACGACAACAACATTTTGGCATATGATAATTGGCTGTATTGGATATTCGCGTGGAATGAACCAAGATGTACCTTTGATATATTGCAGCAAAAGCTATGTTACATCTAAAGTGGCTTTTTTCGTAACACTATAACATTACTCAATGAGCCAAAATGATCATGATAAAAGAAGCAAAAGTTGTGTTACACCATGCATGGCTATCTGCTAATGTCTTTTGAAGGTCGGGTATTTGTCACTGGGGATGACAATATATCTGATAAATCTTTTTTTCCACGGCTGTATCAAAACATCTCTTCATGCTGGTGCGTTGTTGCTGCTCCTCAAAGGAGCCCTTGTTTTCTTTGGAGTAATAAGGCTCCTGGATTTGTAGGCTTTGGGGGCTGATAACTTGGATCGAATTTTTGGACAGTTTTCCTTAGTTTCCAAGTCATTCTGTAATTAAAGTTAATGACTCTTTTAATATTTACCTATGTAATGCTTTCTCCTCAAATACTGAATGTTAATGATGTCATAAAAATTTAAGTCTTCAAATTTTGTATAACTATCAGCACCAAACCTGTCAAATGACTTACACAAGTTTGTAATTTCCCTAAAAAATTGACAAACCTTGACGTCATTGACCTCTGTACTTGACCGAGGTTCGTTGGCCTCACTAACTGATGATACCACAGACGACACACTGCTGCTTCTACTCAGGTTGTTAATTTCAGAGACCTTAAATATCAATTTAAAAGATACTGTTAACTTAATGGTTTTAAAAATTTAAACACAGATACAAAATGAGAGCTTGAATGATGTGTGCATATTTTTGCAGACACGGGGGGAAAATGTTTTTAAAGGCACGAAGACAACTATTTGGAAATAATACAAATAAATTACCTCAGCAGCTGCTTCTGGGGGTATGTCAGAGCTTTCATTGAGGGACAGTTCTGGCAATGGAACATTCAAAGCCTCCTCAAGGTTGTACTTCTCTCGGAAATTTTCCAGAAGGCTATCATGAGGCTCTGCCTTGGTGAGAATGCGAGGATATGTAAAATCACGTCTCTGTGGTGTGGTCCCTTAGAAAAAAAAAGGATAAGCACGATAAAAGTACCAATAACTGACAAAAACTTCATAGGAGAATAAAAAAAAATGGCTTAGAACCAAACAGATTTGAATCCCACTTTTGTTAAGAGACTAAAATTTCATTGGCCTAAAATATCAATGCATCATACCAGTAGGGACATCCTTTCTTAATTCCTCTGTGAGGAACTTTTCCAGTTCTTCATATCTGGCAGTCAATTCACTAACATGCTTCTGACTTTGCTCTTGAATGGATATCTGCTGTTCCTGAAGTTTTGAGGTCTGGTCTTCCATGAAGCTCTTCTCTTCTGCACCTCGTGATTGCAGCTTCTCTTTGATGGAGGATGTACTCTCCTCAGCATGCGCTGCCAAAACCTTACACAAGAAGTAGTTTAAAAAATCATATCACTTGGAACAGGAAATGTCTTACATATGTGGAATGCACCAAATATGATGTGGAGACAGCAAAAGGCAATGTATAAAAAAAGTTACTCTTGTTTGCTCTAAATATGTTCAATATGCCAAATAAGTAAATTTTCACAAAATGAAAATTGAATGAACAAAATAGGGCACAGAAGTGCATGCAAAGAAGACTTCAGTACCCTATACATTCAAATATTTATGTTGCCTTTAGCTGTAATATTAGCACACAAGTAGCATGGGTGGTTACCTGTATTTGTTGCTGTTGTTGCTCTGACGCTGTGCTTGTCACTAAAACATGGTTATCCATCATATCCCCCACCTTAGTACAGTGGTTCTGCCAACCCTGAGAAAGTAAAGATCATAACATATTAAGTCCTAAAAGCACAATTTAAAAACTAAATGCAAAAATATGATCTATGCTCAATCAATAGGTAAAACCCAAAAAGCCAGTTTCAACTTTTCTGGCAAGGAAAACATTGTCAACCATGTCTTGATGAATTCTAATTTTACATTTCTACATTCTATATTTTACCTCTTGACCCATTTTGATGGCATTCTGACAGTTTTCTTGTATATGCACCATTTCTTTGGAGTTTGAGGAATTAGACTCCAGCAACTGAAGAAAAAGAATCCTAAGACGTTACATTTAAAATTAATCATAAACTAAAACACCAGATGACAGTGCACATAGTTCAGACAACTCAGCTTTCTGTTTGTGATACTAAATGGCACATTTTAAAACCCCAGAGCCGAGGCATCATGAGTTGCTGAGGATTAAAATATATAATAATCATCACAGACTTTTCACACAGTGCATGTTTTATCAATTTGGCCACATTACATACCAGCCAAACATCCAAACATTCACTTTTCTTTCTTTTATAAAATTATTAATTATTTCTTTTATGGCCAATATGATCACACAAATGACAGTACACAAGATGGCATCAAACAACTGTTTATCTTACCTTCTGAATATTATCCTGAATTTCAGTCTCCATTGAAGTAGTAAGTGTCAACAGGGAAGTTGTCCTTTCTTCTGCAGCACTGAGCAGGTTGGATCTTGTACTGTTAAAAATTTGGAAATTGTATAACAATTGCTTCACTTTAGCCTGGTGATCCATTCATCATCAGAGTCATCATGATAATTCTTAGGATAATGGATCTTAGTAAAGCATGCTACTTTTGGAAATAAATAAAGGGATAATTAAAAGTTATTCTTATAATAATAAGGGAAAATTATATACAAAAATATCAATCATAAAATATTATAGCAGCTAATGAGACCTGTGTGGTCCTCATCATTGTAAGAGCACTGAAATGCTATCTTTCACGAATAAAGGATTCAAAAAGAAAATTTCTAATTGACAAGCTGTGTTGAAAACTTACTGTTGGAAATCCTGCCTCATTTGAGACACATCAGTTTTAAAACTGGTATACTCTGTCTGCACCTGGTTCATATTTGTATTAAGACTGGCTTTACAATCCCCTATCAAACTGTTCAGTTGTTGAGACATTTGGAGAATAACCTGAAACAAAAGGGTCTCATACTAAGAAATAAGTTGACTGTCTTAAACAAAATTACACTCAAGCCAAAGTACTTTTCTTTCATTTTCACCAGATTTTAACAGACATGATATCAGATAATTGATATCACTCATTGATAGGGAATAATCTTCCATGTTACTTCAAACTAAAAAATGGCAGTTCTTGGCATTCTTTTATCAGAGAAAATCAGCAAAAACCAGTACTTGGTGCAGAGTTTCTGTCGGCATGAATTCCTGTCTTAACCTACCTCCATCTGTTTGTCCTGGGAGGCCCTGACCTCTTCTGCCCGCTCACTGAATCCATCAACAGCTGACTCCTGTTTACAGGTGTAGCTCTCCACCATCTCACCAAGGGTGGCCAGTGCTTCAGAGTTTTTCTGGCCACCAACCTTTAAGGACTCTTGCAGGTCTTCAAGCTATGTGTAAAACATATCGTCATCAGTAAAAATACCATTAAAACAAGGTGCACATAACCTTGGAAAGAATTAATAAACTTCAAGACTTCATGTATCATAAATTTATTTATTTATTACTTATTTTCAAAATGCCTGATGATTACACAACTATACAAACATTTCAGGATTTTCTCTTGCAGCTCTGAAGAAAAATAAGCACATAAAGTTACCTGCTCTTTATGTCTTTTTCCAAACTGTGTCAGAACCTCCACTTGCTGTCCTATCATGGTGCCTACTAACTGTGTTTGCTGTACAACTTGTGCCAGAGCAGAAGACAAGGCAGACACTTCAGATTCCTGAAATATCATAAACAGTGTCAGTTTGTCAAGACTAAAATTCTAAAGCAATAAATAAATAAATAAATAAATAAATAAATAAATAAATAAATAAATAAAAACTGAAAGTGGAAAAAATAATAAAAATTAAAAGTGAAAAATATAAAAATTAAATAAATAAACATCATTTACATACTTACCAAACAATACCAATTATTGCCATGCTAAACAATTCCCAAGCTGTTGTGAACAACCCTAAATCATTATCTGAGCATGCAAAACACACACACACCTTTGTCTGGGTAACATAGGTCTGGACTGTTTGAGACCATTCCTGTGTATTTCTGCATGTGCTCTGTAGGCTCTCTGTCAAAGCGGCAGTCTTTTCTTGCAGGGAAGACATCAGAAACGTATGCAGGGACACTAGATTAGACAACTCTCCATGCTTCTTCTCAAAGTTCTCAGCTGGAAGAAAGTAGATAGAGTTTATAACCACACTGCATGTGCTTAGGAAAACTGTCGTGCAACATACATTAAATATATTAAGATCAAATATTTAAAAAATTTGACAAAATGGCCTCTCCAATGTTTACACATAAGGCAATTCTCTAAAAGAAACACCTTACTATAAGACTAGAACATACTAGAGAATAACATACCCAGTTCCTGCTGTATGGTAGACAGGAAATCCGTCTGCTTATGGGAAAATGATTCAGAATCCTTTTTCAAGACTGAAAATTTCTCTCGAAAATCAATTTGAAACCTTTCTTGGCAATTTGTATTGTGCATTTCCACGTCTTTTTTACGCAGTATCTTGGCATGAAGGCCTTCAACGTCAGAAGTGGCCTGATCAGCAGTTTCAAGAAGCTGCAAGAAAAAAATATCAAAGGCTAAATTTTTTTCACCTCACAGAAGATAAACTCAAGAAGCTGCAAGAAAAAAACAAATGCTAAATTTTTTTCACTTCACAGAAAATATACAATTGGTGAACTTCATGTAATACATACTATCAACAAATGTGTACTCTCAAATCACAAGAGAACACAGAACTTTGTGTCACCATCTTACCCGAGTGGCCTCAGAATGAAGGTTCTTTTCGGCTTGGACATGCTCCTGTACCAGATGTTTGTTTTCATCCCTCTCCCGGGTGGTCACACGGAGAACTTTCTTTGTTTGCTTTAAGGTGGATGTGGTGTCCTCCAGCTTCTTTGATGTCTCTTCCAAATTAACCTTGGTTTCTTCCAACTCTAGCTTGTTGAAGTTGAATAGCTCATTCACCTAGAATTAATAATAATAATAATAACAACAACAACAACAATAATAATAACAACAACAACAATTATAATAAAATAAATAAAAAAATATTATCTTTATGGATTGGAAAGTTTGTTAAGAACTTAAAAACATCTTTCTCAGATTCAGAGTACTCAGAGTTTCAATCCAATCATATCATTTACCATCTTATTTTTACTTTTCAGGTATGTAAACAATTCAGATGATATTCTGATTTTTTATCACACTTTTTACTTTAATTATAACAAATCATTAAAAGAGTATATACATTTGAGCAAAGCACGGGGAAAAATAGAGACAGAAATACCTTCTCCATTTCTTCTATTGTAGCCTGGAGTTTTTCTTCTAATATAGCAATGCTGTCCTTCTGTTGCAGCATGGTGGTCTGCATGTTACTGAAAAAATAATAAAACAAATCTGAAGATTTTTTTTTGAAGCTGCCACTAGAATGGTAAGCTTTTATCCAAATCAGATTAATTTCCACTGATACATCATTGTAAATCAACTCACTTGTAATTCTCAGTATCGACATAAATCCCATTCTTATCTCTGGCAGCCAGTAAATCCCGTCGGAGACGCTCAATCTCTTCATTGTACTCCTGGAAAAATTATGACAAAACAATTAAAGTGGAATTGACAAAATAAAGATAAATACATGGTTCCTAAAGTGTACAATGACCAAAATAAAAATGCTCATAATTATAAGGGCATTTAACATTTAATCTTAAGATGGAAGACACTGTTTTTTCCAAATAAAAATCTTTACCTTAAAAAGAGCTTTCTTTGTCAGTTTCTGGTTGATCTCAGGTTTGTTGGTAATGTTCTTTGCTCTGTGAGCATAGTCCAGGGTGCTCAAAGTTTCCTTTAATAACAAAGCAAAATGCACCACTGTTATCATTTTTTTAAAATTGAAATAAAAATAAAATCTTACTATTAAAGGTTTGCTTCTAGAAACAATTGATTATATACTATAGAAACATTTTTTCATTCAGAATAACCAGCTGTACAGTTAAAATCTCAAGTTTTGACTTTTCTCACAGTATTTTCGCTTTAAAAAAAACTTACCTCCAGATTGCAAGAAGCTGGAGAAATGGTGGCTACAATGGAGGTCTTGGTCCTACCTCCCAGGGAGTCCTGTAAGAGCCTTGTCAGCTTGCTCTCTCTGTAAGGAACATGAGGGGCATGCTCCACCAGAGCAGTAATAACACGACCCAGGGTCAGCAAGCTCTGGTTGATGTTACCTTGTGGAATAAAATACAACTTTGTACACCAAAAGTTCAGACTATGGACTTAATGTTTCACAGCTATAGGGGACTCGAGTCTGTTTTGCATGTGCGCAATAATACTGCGAATATTGCAATGTTATTGTGCAATGTATTCACTTCTGGGAACAGCTTCGCCATCTTGTTTACAATTTGTAATTGTTATTGTCAAAACCTTTTTCCAGTCTTTCCCATTTGCTCTGTTTGAGCCTAGCCAAAAGGCAGACAGGGAAAACAAAACAAAAAACAAATCCCACAGAATCCAGTGAACTTCAAATCTCACTTCTGCGTCCTATTAAAGATAACTTAAAACAAATTAAGAATTTTCATGGACTCTGGATAACTCTTACACATTTCATCTGTAACCCATTAAGTTCACAGCAAATCACTATCTGCAGTGCCACTGGTAAGAAATTGAAACATAGCAGTCAACATTGGAACTATTTCCTTCAAACTGTGTCAATATTGCCAAAACTCTTATATGTTTCCAGATGCCATAAAAGAGGTTATCAAGTTGAGAGAAACTTCATAATTAGTACTACTCACCAGCCTCCCTTGCCCTTTTCTCCACTGCACCTGACCTGCCTATGTTCTCACTACCTGCTAAATCCACCTAGAAAGTCAATAAATAGAATGTCTTCAACTTTCAGCATTTCATCTATAATTTTATTCTAGTTTTCTTAAATGAAGTTTTACCTGTACTGGGTTTTAAATGAAGGTGTTTTAACAACAGGCAATTCTTTCATCAAAACAGCATTTGTACAATCTCAATGTATTATAAGGACATCCCCTTACTTACCAAGTTGAGCTTCCCTGTCTTCAAAAGCTCTTCTCCATCAATGGAGTTCTCTTTTATATGGATGGTCACAGAGAACACCACATGGGATCGACTGAAAGTAGAAATATTTACAACTTGTACAGAATACAGCATTTAAGAAATAACTGGAACAGATCTGGATATGAACCACCAGCCACACATTTCCAATTCCGCTTCAATAATTAGCATATAATTGACATACACCCTGTATTATGTCAGAATAATCTTTAAAACTCTGGATATCCCAAACGGGTAAACTTGCTATTGAGAAAGGTGTGCAACTCAAATGTATCAATATCACACACACACAAAAAAAAAAAAAACAAAAAAAAAAAAAAAACAAAAAGAGAGAGAGATTTTGATATGGGGTCTAGTATTCACCTGGAAGATGCATTCATGAGTGTGGCAGCTGTCTGTCTCTTGGCAGCTCCTCTCTCTAGAATATGGTAGACATCATATTTGTTCTGGACCACAGCCTCCTCCAAGCCTTGAATAACCACAGAGCCCTGCAGTAAAACCATATGTCACTTCAGTAAAATATTATCAGGCAAAACATTGGTCTATACCCAGAAGTAAACATCTTTTTCAAATGACTATATTTGCTATAGATTGTCATTTATATGCAAAGAGAACCAAGTGAATGCAAGAATTAAATGTTTTGTAAATTTGTGGGGAATCATATCACCTAGTGATAAATGACAATATAATGGCCTTAGTAAATTGCTTTACTTTATATTCCAAGATTGGCAGTTTGTTAAAGACAAGTGCAATAAACAGTTTAAAACATATAGTAGATTAATGACCTTTTTAGTGGAGTCCTCAAATATCCTCATCCTGGGTGGGTCATCTCCAGCACTCAGCAAATCAAACAGCTCTTCATTGTAGAGCTCCAACATCGATACTCTTACAGAAAACTCACAGTTCTGAAAATTGACAATTTAAAATATCTAAATAAGAGGTCAAAATTATGATGCATTTATTTAAAAGAAACTTATATATAGTAAGTACTGCAAGACTTGATTGTCAATTGAAGGCCAAGCAAAATTTAATATTCAGCTGTTAACAAGTACTGGAGGCTCATTGCATCATGGGCCACTGAAAAGCTACTGAATGAATGAATTATGGTGAAAAACGTGTAAACAATATGGTTAACAATACTGGGAATAAAAAAGTTAACACCTAGTCCCACATTCACTTTAGAAGTTTTCAATCTTTCTAACATTGACTGAAATCACACATCTTGTTTTATTTTCAACAAATTCATCAAGGGATAGTCAATTTTAAAAGAATTTTTTGTGAATATGCTGTTACGTATGAAATTCTACTAACCTCTATTTTCTCAAGTTTGTCAAACAAATGTGCCATAGACCTAGGTATTATGCCAGCTTCTGGATCATTTTCCCAGTTTGTTTCCCCTCCGCTTCTTTCTCCCTCCATTGTATATGTCTTGCCTGTGCCTGTTTGGCCATAACTATAACATAAACATACCTGAACATAACTGACCCATCTTTGGCAATATTTACTGCAGCTCAACTCTAATAATGTAATTCTTTAAAACTGCTTTTTACCATCTTTAATCTTTGGTACAAAATTGTAAATTATCAATACTTCAGACAATTTCCACATTATTCTGGAGATTTAAAATTTAGAATTATGCCTTCAAAATACTTACGCAAATATTGTACAGTTGTATCCCATCAATACTTCATCAATCACAGGCATAGCAACCTCTTTGTAGACTTCAAACTGAGTGGATTTAGGACCAAACACTCTATCGAACTGAAAAGTTTTGGTGTGTGTTTGGGCACCCATTCTCTCTTTTACAGTGACCTCTCTTTTCAGTCCATTTATATCCGTCACACAAAAGGATCCTTGACGTTCCGAAGAATTCATGGGCCTAGGAAACAAAATGCACTCTTTTAGTTTTAATGAAAGTTACATTGTCTTATCTAAAAATAAATTTCTAAATTATAAGACACTGCATTCATATGAAAACAGGTGCTTACATAAAGCCAGCCTTGAAAGGTAAAATTAGTGCTAGTATGATGTGATGTCAGTACATCAGTATGCACCATATTTTTCCTTCCCAAGTAACAATACTACTGCTGCGGGGCTTCAGTTAACATAGGTAAGTGTGTGTGTGTGTGTGTGTGTGTGTGTGTGTGTGTGGGTGTGTGTGTGTGGGGGGGGACTTTCAACTGGAGGTGTGATATCAGGATTTCATTTTCAGATATATTTTAACCTTGATGCAGTCAAAAATCCCTATGCAATCAACCCTCTTTTCAACAGGATTCAACCCTAATTATGAATCAAAGCCGATTAAAACCTACAACATTGTGGATTAAATGCATTTTAGTCAAGTTGCATTATTGGAAAAATTAGAAAGAACATAAGTTCATAGCATGAAAATTGAGCTACTAGTAGTACTACGTTAGTAATTCCGTTTAGTGTTTTTTGGTTTACGGCTTTCACATTTTAATTTACCATGATACAATAACTTTAAGAACTTGGCACAAGAAGAAATTACCTGCATCTTACAGACACTTGAATCTTTTGATTCTCCTCCCGCTCACTTTTGGATTTTGGTGCCATACTTTGATGTTTGTAATGGTTTTCAGCTTCCTACACTTAATTGTGTTGTTTTGACCATGAAAGTTTTGATTTGAAAATGGTGACGTCCTCGTTTTAAATAACCGATGCAGCCAATCATATTACAGTCTCACGTCATAGGTGGCGCTTGGGCAGTGGGTGGCATGACAGTACTAATCCGAGACCAGTGACTCCGTTTAGGCAAGGAACTTCTATGGTTTAGGTTACAAACCACTATTAAAAATCCCATTAACTTCCATTGTAACGTTTAATTCTCTTAAAAATATTTCCCATGCATCAACAAACACAACACTTCAGGTTTAAATACTTCTACTCAAGGCCTAAACAATATTAAAAAATCAGGGTACATTAATGGCATAGCTTGCCAGTGACATGACATGACCCGTAAGGTGCTGCCGCCAGTCAGCCAAAATAAGCACTAAGTCTCACGTCATAGGTGACGCTTGGGCAGTGGGTGGCATGACAGTACTAATCCGAGACCAGTGACTCCGTTTAGGTTACAAACCACTATTAAAAATCCCATTAACTTCCATTGTAACGTTTAATCCTCTTAAAAATATTTCCCATGCATCAACAAACACAACACTTCAGGTTTAAATACTTCTACTCAAGGCCTAAACAATATTAAAAAATCAGGGTACATTAATGGCATAGCTTGCCAGTGACATGACATGACCCGTAAGGTGCTGCCGCAAGTCAGCCAAAATAAGCACTAAAATGCAGCAGAGGGTATGTAAAACTCGCCCCAGGCAGTAAAATTTCACTCTGATATGAAAAATAACACATCAAATTAAAGGTAAATGAACAAATTTATTTCTAAAATTTATTTCAAAATTTTCAAATGGTCCAAAATTGAAAAATAAACTCATTTTTCTCTTATATGCAAATCTTCTTGATTCAAACTTGCTAAACAAGGAAGGTCGGAAGTGCCGTATAACCTTTAGATATCAATGTAACCGGTCAATAAGCTGACAACAATTTCCCAATTCTTGTATCACATGGGTCACTTTTGCAGATAATACAAATTCCCCTGCGCCAGTTCTGGCACGTGTCATTCCTCAGTCATTCTTGTACAGTGTATGTATTTTGGTATAATCTGTTACTTTATATTCAGCTGCACCCATTTTGATTTTTTAAAAAACCTACGAAAATCAGTTTTTGTAACTGAAACTTATTAACATAAAACATTGAAAATGTGTGTATCAACAAGGGAGATGAAGCATTTTTCTAAAAATGTGCTTGCTTTCAAGGTCAAAATCATCAGAAGTCACACAAACACTACCATAATTCACTCTTCAATAGCTAGTACATGAAGGGGGGGGGGGAGTTGTATATTGGATGTTTTTTTAGAGGACAACAAATTATCCAAAAAAAGAATCCACGAAGATGTTCTAAAACATGTTTATTAATCTTCATCAGTACTTTTCTAAAATGAAGACCTCTGCACATGCATTGAAAACATAATCAGAGTTTCTGCAAGACAGTTTTTTTAAATACTCGTGTTTCAGTTAAAAAGAATATTTTGGCAAAGAACTTTCACCATTTTCTAAAAATATCCATCTAGCTTTCCCTTGTACTTGACATAATTCTTACAATCCTTCTTTCAAATGGGAATGAAAAAAAAGCTGCTTTAATACTGTGATCATACTCCGTCGGTAAAACTTCTGAAACCAAATACCTGAGTGTAACGAACTGTGCATGCTGCCACATTTATCATGAAAGTCAGATATTCCACTACAAATAATAATGTGTATTCAATGTCTTTTTTTATTTTCATTCATTAATAATAGCTTCAAACATATTTTGTTTCTGCAATCACAAGTTACAGTAGGCTATATGAAGTTGACTATTTATATTTTCTTGGTGAGTAAAAAAAAAAAAAAAAACTTGATATTATGCACAGCTGTCCAAACATGTCCAAATCAGTTGTGCAATATCTAAGCCTGTACTTGGTATAAACTTAAGACCATGACAAGCCTCACTAAAGTAAATGCAGCAACGCCAAATGAATTCCAAGAAAAGTGTAATCAGTTCACCCTAACTGATCTTATTCTGGTTGAAGTACAATGCATGTCAGCAGCTCATGTCCATATTTGCATATTTGTAAATCTCTCCACGTATCCTTCAACAAACCGTCTAACAATCCATACCAACAACTTTTTTAAAATGTTTTTTTAAATGAAGAGTTTAATATGGCAGTGATGTTGAGAAGAATTCCTCACTGTTATTTCACTTTTTGCCAAGGTTTTTTATCGACCCCTCTATGTTCTGGGAGGTGTTTAAAATGACACTTGTTTCCATAGTGACAACCAGTTGTACGCCAGAAGTAACACTCATCTCCATTCACTGGACCAGTTGTTTTAAGCTGCTCAAGGGTAGGTCTGAAAAATGAACAAAAAGATATTGTGAATCTATGGAAAATATGAAAGAGTTATCTATCTTTTAGTTTTCAGTTATCTTTCACTTACTGATGCCTTAAAAATACATGTGAAAACAAAGGCACTGCTGAAGTTTTGTCTACAAATGGCCTGAATGTAAAAATCTCTACAAAATCATCTTCAGTGACTGAAAATCAGATACTTAAAATAGTCTTTTGCTTATGTTTTGAGACATAGCCATCTTTTTAATCCTTACTTTGATATCCCTCCTCCTCCTCCTGATGCATTTTTCTTGAGCAGTATGTTTGTATTGGTGATGGGATTATCAGGAAACTTAATCAGAAGCCTTTGACCAGCACATTCAAAGCCCTTAATAAAGAATAAAAGGATATTTCATTTTATTTTGAACAAACAATATTATTAAGATTGATCACTTTCAAAACTTGGTTTATTCTTACTCTCACATAAGAATGAACAGGAAAACATATATTTCCCTTATTCCAAATTCCACTTTTCTTTAAAGAAATCGTGCACTAAACTCTTTGTAATGAAAATTAGACAAACATCAATTTTTTTCATATTCATAAACCAAGTTCAGAAATTTGTTGTCAGGTTCTTTAAAACAAGAATTTCAATTTTTAAACCTAAAGCCATACTGATTAGTATCACCTTCATATTGGTTAGACCTTATGAAAAATTATGTACAAATATATATTAAGAAGATGGGCCAAAGATGAAATATATATGTAAAATGCAAGTAAAAAAACATTTAACATCTATTCAATAATTTCCAAATTAGTCTTAAAATTACACAAAAAGTATCATATCATGTAAATCAATTAAAAGAACATTAATCAGTCTTGCAGCATTTGCTGGCTGACCTGAAGGCCGTGCATTGCTTTGCCTGCAGACTCTTTATTTTTGAAGTTCACAAAAGCACAATATTTTTCAGGCAAGAGACGGACACTGGCAACAGAACCATACCTGAAATTCAAAATGTAACTTAAAATTAGCCATTAAAATATAAGCATTCCATATCATAGTCCCGTCCAATACTTTTTCCTCCTAAGGTGGTTTGTATAATGACACAGTGACAATGAAAGAGGCAGACACAAGGTAAAAGCAAGGTTTTTTAAAGCTGCACACAAGCTAGTAAAAAGACATGAGATAATTCCCACTGGGACTCTCATCAGCGGAAGCACAAAGAGAGCGCATATAAAGACAAGCAGTAAAGCTGTCAATTTTTTCAGCTTTGTAGAAATTGATGCAAGGAGAGGCAATAAAAGGTAATGATGAAGCTTTCATTTCACTGTGTCATGGCACAAACCCCTTCCAGGTAATTTTTTTCTGACCTGCATCCCATTCATTGCCTTGCTGGCCATCACAGGGGTTTTAAAGTTGATAAAGGCGCAGTACTTTCCAGGCAACATTCGCATATTTGTAATGGTACCAAATCTGAAAGCATTGGGGGAAACAACAGGGTGACGTTTTATTTATAATCATTGCTGAATCACACTGACAACAGATTTATCTGATTTGCTGTAATTGTTATACTATTAATCACAGGGTTTTAGCAACCCTACCATAGTACTTGATTGTTTCTATTCTGCCTGAGAGATCATACTCACTTAGAAAACAGCTGGGTTAGCTTCTTTTCAGTGACTTCTGGCAGTACATTTCCTACCCAAAGTGCTGTTAGACCTTCTGGGTTGCAGGGACTGAAATTCATACAAAAAGTCATATTTATTTATTTATTCATTTATTTATTTACTACTACAACATTTCATGTTTCATGATTTCTGCAACTAAAAACAAATTACAGATAATACAGACTATTTTACAATTGCTTTCAAATACATATCAAGTTTAAATTAAGTGTTCAGTTTCTTCTCAACACTTACTCCATTTTCACATCAGATCCTATTTGTGGTTGTATATTATTTTTGAGTATGACGGGTGGCACCCTAGCAGGAGCTGGCTGGACATGGATGTTGTAATCATCTTCATCAGAAACATACACTTCTCCTTCTAATGTGGTTTCAGGGACTGAAAATAACATTTTAACAATGGACTTATATTCAATAAAAGAGGAGTTGTTCCACTGTTTGAAATTGTACAATCAAGCAGTCCACTATAACAGGCCTAACAAGATCCTTCAATCCTTTGTGAATAGGAGCACTACACATAATTTACTTTTTTTCAAAATCTTTCATAACATTAAATTCCATTTGTTTTCATATGGATATATCATTTTGTTTTGCAACACAAGTAAACTTACCTGCTGCTTTTCCGACTCCTGCTAACAAGGAATCCAATGCTGCTTGGACTGTGCCATGCTGCCTGATGGCGTTCTCAGCCTGTTGGCGCGAAAACCCCATTTCCTATTGAAAACACATCAAATCATCTTTCATAAGCAATATTCTGTTGCTGTATGACTTTTTTTTTCATGTTCAATAGTCTTAAATGGAACAATCAAGGCAATTTAGAATAGCATTGTCATAGCAATGGGGGAAAATCTTACCGTCAGCTGGTATGTCCGAACTCGTAACAGTTCTTGCATGGCATCTTCACAATGCCTGTCTAGTTTTAAAACTTGCATAAAAGCCTGTTCTGCATCAGCATAAAGCTAAGGAAATGAGAAATTTACTTTGTTTCATTTTATACTATAAGTTTATCATTCTATGCTATACAACTTTTAAATGTTTTCTCTTCTCCAGATCTTAATACACTCGAAATGGTACAAGTAACATATTTTCAGAAAAATTAATTTACTTAGATTTAGACAGTGGTAGGTATGCAGATTAAGTAAGTATTTCCAAAATAAATTCACTTACTTTTAGACCAGCTAAAGCTCTCCCTTTTCTAAAGAATCCTTTTGCCCAATCTATGGCTAAATGTATTGCTTTATCTGCATCTCTTAAAGCTCTGGATAATAAATTTAAACACAAAAACTCGATTCACAATCAGTGATAATAATCTGGATAACCACTAATGATATGTTACACTTCATTCATTTGTTATTTGTGCAAGTAAAAAAAATATACACATAAGCTGAGCAAAAGATATAATTAGAGAATATATATATATTTTTTTTTTCAAAGAAAAACATTAAGTAATTGTATCAAGCTATTAACTTACTTTTCATATTGTTGTAGCCTATCAAAACAGTAAGATCTGTTGCCAAAAAACCTGTAAAACAATAAAAATAAAGTATAATCTTTTCTTATTTCAATGTTTTGTAATATTTACTAAAAACATCTTGTTTTTAAAATATATCAAATTGATAAAAATTCATCCTTATTATGAGAAGACTAATAAAACTTTGTTCATCTTGATTTTCAACAGCAAGTAAGTAAATTTATACATATTGAGACAGTAATTTGAGAGAATGAAAGATATTGAAGTTAATGTTTATAACCTAGGGAGATTTTGTAATGACTTCCCTTCTGCTAATATACCTTTTTATGTAAGCAATGACAACAGCTATAGGCACCTCAACATGAAAATATGCATCAGATACATTTTCACCTCTGTAGGAATGTCAGAGAAACTTACCTAAAATCTCTGGAATCTAATTTTATGGCCTCTGTGAAAAGATCTATGGCAGCATTGTAGTGACCCAAGTTGGCCATTTCATTTCCCCTGACTGAAAACAAACAATACAGTTCAAGGAATTTCAAAATTCACAGTGACCTATTGTAAATTGAATATCTTCTAATTTACAAATATTTCTGTCCATAACTTTGTTTTATTGAGGCTTCAATGACACTAAAAACTTGTGTCAACAGAGTTGCTTACCAAACCTATCACTGCATTGTACAACAGCATAAAATAAAGTTAACTTGTATAACACATTAGTAACAATACAATCAAATATGAAAACTTACTAGCAAGCTGCCGACTACGTAAAACGATAGGGTCCAGCTCTTCTGCCTGCAAAATTAATCATAACAGTAAACATAACTGGTATATGTATTCTTTGCATTCTGCCTTACATGCGTAACATAAAACTATGGGAATGTTACTCTGCCATGTTACGGGGGAAGGCTTTGAACAGACTGTAATCAAACAGTTTGACAGGGAATAAGTTAGAGAATTAATATCCATGTCTGAAAATGTTCCAAGGTTATATGTTTTATGTCTACATATCCTGAAAAGCTACTCATCTTTCCCAATTCATAACTTAAAGTGATAAAATCCCTCAATTTAAACTCCCAGGGTCGATATTTCTCTTTGAGTACAGGAGCACATGGTGGAATAAATGACTGGTCGTCATTTATATTTTCATTATTTTTGATTAAAATTTGAAAATCCATAAAATATCAAATTCGTGTGCACGGACAGGTAGAGCACTGATTTAGAAGAGTGAAAATTGCTTTTCTGCAAAGAAAAATTGAACTTACAGGAAAATTCTGGTTAGGATACTTTCCGATTTAAGCAATAAAAGTATAAGGAAACTAAAGGGATTCTCAAACATTTAGCTCACCTCTTCATCTTCCTGATTCTTCCTATATTCTGGATTTTTTGGATCTTTCTTTGTTTCCTTCTTTGATTGTGTTGTAAAATTATCAATGCCTCCCTTCTTTTTCTTACTGACAACTTTTGTGAAAAATGCTGAACTAGGGTCAAATTCCTAGTGAAATGTAATTATAAGAATTTAGGTCATTCACTTATAGCTTTGTTACAAAACTACTGTGCATCTATTTATCAACTTTGTTAAAACCCACACATAAATGCTGGCATTTCTTAATAAAGAACCACCCAATTAAGTCTTTTGCAATTTATTTGTTCAGCTCCCAACAAATTGCAACTTTAAAACAACACATTCAATGACTAAACAAAATTTCATTTAGATAAACATTCAACCTAAATTCTGCTAACAGAGAAGTCCTCAGAGAGTGAAAAAATACCTCTTCAGAATCTGAGTCCTGTTTATCTATTTTTCTGCCATTAGGCTTTTGTTTTTCTTGTTTTTCATCCTGATGGCTCTCATCTGATTTCTGTTTGGAAGACTTTTTCTTGGCTTCTTCTTCTTCCTTTAAACAAATGAAATCTTGTGAAAAACCCACATAATAATGACCATATAAAGACATGCCTGATTTCATTCAACAGACGTGATGTCTGCAGACAAAACTCTGATTCACTTAACTACCTTTTTAAAATTTGTTTAGCTACAGCAAGTTAAGCAAAGATCTGAATAAAATAAAAACTTATAAAGGACTTCAAATGTCAATATTACTCCAGCACTGCACTTAAATAATCATGATAACTCTCTCTATATATATATATATGTATTTATGAACTTTTCATTTACCTTTTCCTGCTGTTCTTGGACCTGTTTTTCTATTCTTTTCCGCTCTCTTTGCCTCTGTTCAACATAAAAGGAATGGATTACTTCTATTCTCAGTATATCACAACATTAACTCTTATAATTTTATTCAGCGCATCTAGAAATCCTCAATATAAGCCAATCCATAATTACATTAACATTAAATGATGGAAGTGAGTGGTTAAGAGTTTTGCAATACCTTTTTCTTTGCTCTCCTTTTCTCTGCTTTCCTCTTTTCTTTTTCTTCTTCTGTTATCAGTTCTTCTGCATTCTTTTCTGCTTCCTGATACACAAATAAATAAACTGATACCAAAAGAGATGATATCCAATATACCAAAGAAAATCTCTACCTCTTTCTACTATTCTAGGTGTAATTTGGTTTACTTATGTTAAAGTCACAGATAAAAGTTAACCTTGTCAGTTCTACGTGAAGGGTCTTGGGGGCAGAAATACAACACCCAAATAGGCAAATAAATCCAAAAAACTTTCATGTTATAAAAACTGAGACTCCAAGCAATTATCATCTTAATATATATATATATATATATATATTTAATTTTGGTGAATGTTCAAGACTACTGAACTTTTCAATGTCTGTATTTTTGCAACTTTTTGTAACAGGGTTTACTTGCCAGCAGACAAAACGTACCTCTGGTGAAACTTTTTTCCATGTCTGTCCTGTATCTGTAATAGAAGAAAGTATGGGTTCTGAAGGATTGAATTCTATACTTCAAAAACTTTTTCTGTAGCTGTTTGTCATCTTAAATATTTTAACTTGTTACTGGCAAGTAAGGTCTCACTAAGTTCTCCTTCGAAAACCAATCCCCATATTTCCTAAGGTAGACCAAGCCCCAGTTTCACAAAAAACTAGTCAGTTTCCTGGCTTAATTGACTGGGATTTGATTTCATTGAGTGCATTTGTCCATAAAATTATTACATCTCATCTAACCATCATAATAAAAGAAAAAGACCCATTAGGACCTCTCATAACAGCAACAAAATAAATAAACAATAAATATATTAATAATAAATAATAATATTAAGTAATAATAAATTAATTATTCAAACGAGGATAAAATCCACTAACCTATCTTTTGTTTTCTTAAATCGTGTTTTGTTTTTACTTTATCTGCAAACAAGCTCAAATAATCAACATCATCTTCTAAATCACTTTCATCATCATAATCATACTCATCATCACTGGTATTGTATCCATTATAACCTGAAAATAATAAAGGGATTCAAGTCATTAAATCTTAAAATGGCATGGAGACAGGGGAATTTGGAAGAGAGGTTGTGTTGTTGTTGTTTTTTCTTTCTTTTTTTTTTTGCAACAGCTTATATTCATGCACCAGATATCATGTAACAGTTCTACAATATCTTCCAAAACAAACACGAGAAATCATAAGAGTATAAAGGTTACACTTACTGGTAGTTCTCGCAAAGAATATTTTTTGAAACAGCTCAAACATGTCAGGCTGCAAGAGAAATGAAAAACAGATTTATTCTAGCATTCAACTGACCTGAAAATTTCAAGAGTGGATCTTAAATCCTATGTTCAGGCTTCCCTTTACTTTCATATATCATAATCACAAAATAATAAATTCAAAAACAAGAATCACTTTTCTTCAAAGCAATCTCACTCTGTGCAATACAGTAAAAGATATATCTATCTATGCCCACAATAGTTCTTAAAAATCTTACGTGGTCAAATCTGACATTGTTGACAATTTTTTTAAATAAAAAAAACGGAGATCACTTTTTTTCTTCAAAGCAATCTCACTCTGTGCAATACAGTAAAAGATATATCCATCTATGCCACAATAGTTCTGAAAAAACTTACACATTCAAATCCAACAATTTTTATTAAAAAACAGAGATATATGTACTAGGCACCATGTTTGCAACAAGTCTTATTCATGTAACACCACTTAAGCTTTTAACAATTTTTTTGTGACAGTTGTAAACAAATTGACTATTACTTAAAATAATGGTCATGTAGTACTTACCAACGAAAGATCAAAGTCTGTTTTATCAGAGCTGTTTGGTACTGTTAATCTCTTAAATGCAGCACTTATGGCATTAAATTTCTGTAGGTAAAAAGAAATGTTTGCCATGTTATTGACTGGTAACAAAGAGCAATCTCATACACAGTAATTGCTTAAAACTAGCCTCTTTCCCATAATAATGCAGAATTGAAAAAAATCAAATTAGGCTACAAAATACCTCCATTTATGTCAGATCCATTCCATTAATCTTAAAAACTTCAACAACTCAATGAAACCACTTACTCTTTTAAAAGGAAACAAAGTCAAGTGAAATAATGCTTTAATTTACAATCCATTTCTTATTCAAGATATTTAAAACTACTAGTAAGAGTTATATGGCAGTGCTTAAAACACTAAAAGTTAATTTACTAATAGGTATGTTACAAATGAGCTTTTATTTTAAACATACTTTGCATAAATATGAGCACCATTTTCAAAAAAATTTATAATTAAACAATATTTTGATGTCTTCACCATCTAAAAACCAATTTGATTGCACTCTCTTACTTGGACTGATTTGTCGGAATTTTGATGTTTATCTGGGTGCCACTTCAGAGCAAGCCTTTTGTAACTGGTTAGCACAGAATCTTCATCTGCACCTAAGTATATCAAGACAAGAACAAATAATATAATTGAATGGAAAATGGTTCAGATAAGTTCATTAGTTTTGTACAGTTCAAAACACAACCTAGCATTTCAATTTATGTGAATTTGAGGTCAGATAAAATAGAATATTGACTGATGAGATCATTGTCAGGTTTATGACAAATTAGATAAAAGGAAGATTATCAATCAAGACAGACAACAGATGACAGCAATTTTGCAAGTTTTGACTTAATCTTGGAGGACACATATTTTGACAAGTAGTAACTTACGATAAAACAATAGCAGACTTCCTCTTTACGTCAATATGATGTTTTATAGACCTCAAAAAGTGGTACTACCTCAGCTACATCTCTGTCAATATTGCTTTACTATGGTCTTCTAAACATTATTACCAACCTCAGCCAATGTCTATGATAGTATATAACATATCACCAACACACATTAGAATTAGTAATAGCAGAACAGGCCCTGAAGAGGCAATGGGTTATTTTCCATATTATTTTCCATAAAACTACTAAAAAAAATTAGGTTGTGGTAATGATGTTTATTCCTTTTTTCATTAGTTTTAATATACCAATCACAAAAATAACAGAAAACAGCAAAATTTGAAGTCAAACACAATGCATGTAGGGTTTGAGGCTGGCACCACTTCATACAACCCATAACTAACCTCAGTAATCAAACCTAAAATTATCATTAAGTTACTTACTAAATACATAATACTGCACTTACACAGTAATTGATATTAAGATATTCATTTCAACTACTTTGTTTTTTTACACACTTAAATTTAACTTTTTACATAAAACATAAAAACAGCCAAAAATGTCCTGCTTCCATTTTACATTTAAAAACAAAAATATTTGGACTGGTAGTAGTAATTAATAGCATTTTAACAGGTTATTTTTTTCATATAGAATGGAAAAGCTATATATTCAACCCAGAAAACGAAAATCACTGCAACCCCCATCTCCCTTAAAACCTAACCAAAAAAATACAGAAAATTCAGAAAATCCATGTATAACTCTGTCTCTACTCAGTGATAACAGTAATTTATCCTTTGGCCAAAATCATGGAGACTCAAATATCAGCGTGAATTTACAATGAGATTCCATAAAATATTTAGTCCGGTAACAGGCATCTCATTGTCAACCAGCAAACAACGATAAATAGTTTACTGAATTATAGTAGTACAAACTACAAACCTAAGTGTTTTGAACTCTCGCCAAATAATTCTGATAAGTTTTTGAAAATATCTGTCCGATATACTTACCCACGGGTAACTCAAGAATTTCAAAAGCTGTTGCTTTTGTGAGCCTCATGATTAGATATTCAACCGTAAATCCACAAAAATAACAGTAGTTTACTCAATTTGTACTGCCAATGTGCAGTCCGCCATATTTGATTTCATCTCGAATAAGGTCACGTGACAAGAAGAACAGGCGGCAACAGTCAAACACGCGTGAAATTTCGATAATTCGCTTGTTGTGTAGTTTTTGTGTGCAGGTGCTTCTCAAAGTCGTTTTCTATTTCTGTTTTTAATCTCAAGTGTTTTTATAAGGTTAAAAAAGAAAATCAGGTGTCTTTTTTATAATATTTTTTAATTTGTGCTGCATTTTAAGATACATATGAATATATAGAAGACCACATACAACTTCACAAGTTAGCAGACGACACGACACTCTTAGGGCTGATTTACCATTCCTTCTGTGTTCCTTAAAGGATGGATATTCAACAATATAAAAGGCAAGAAAAGGGATGCCTTATTTCAGGAATGTAAGCAACATAGGTTACCGTTATATTCCATATAAATTGTAAATTATGACAATCATTTATAATAAATTTATAACTTTTCAACTCATGTCAGGATTTAGTTCGAAAACTCTTGCGTTGGCACACCTGTTGACGATTCTGATATGTACAGGCAGTGCATGAATTTTCGTGCTAGTCAGGATTTAGATTTATGATTTTAAAAACAATTTTTATCAAATCGCGAAGCATACGTTTAAAATTTACATTTTAACCCCCTTCACAGATAACAAAGAAAATTGTAGGATTTATTATAATTACTATGAATTATAATGCTTATTGTATTATACTGATTACTTTATTCACTTTCAGGTGGTCAAATATGGTAAACGCAAATTCTAGGAAGAATTGCATCCCAATGTTCAAACTGAAGACACAACAACGAAAGAGAGAGTATATGAAATTGGCTCTTCTTGTAGACCTTAAAAATTGTAATAAAAGGCTGGGAAATAATAAAGATGAGAAAGGTGTTGATTGTTTTAACATTGTAAAATGAAATATAAATAATTACTTTCAAGATCCATTATATATTTAATTTGCATTATATTCATACTATTAGTGTATAGCAATTATGTCATTTAAACCATATGTGGATCATTCTGATTGGTACAAGCATTGAAGGAACAGTCATTTTTAAGTTAAAAAAAAGAAATTTCCCTGTATATGTATAATATATGTGAAGTAATTTTGGCTTTTTTTTTACATTTTCAGCCTTGCTCTTTCCTGATGACATTAATACAAGCTTTAACCAAGGCTTATTGTCAGTGAATACCACCTTCAAATGGAAAAAAGGCAAGTTGCCAAAGTCCTTAAAAACTGGACAGACCAACCTAGACTATTTAAATATTTTCTTTGTTTATTTAAAGGTAAGCAGATATTCTTATTACATACAAAATTTGTGATAACGTCAGATTTCCCATTATTTCAAAAGAAAGGACATTTGATCAGTGTTTCCTAATTGTAAATAAAATATTTTTTATTATCTTTTTATTTATTTTGATTTGTAATTACAGAGCAGATAATTGAAGAAGTTGCAAGTAGAAATCAAATGCTAACAGAAAATGAAAGAGCGCCTTGCAACGAAATAATCAGCAGTCTGGAAGAGGATGCTGAGCTTGCAGATGTGGCCATGCTCATTTCACAGCAAATTCGTGAAAATAAAGGACAATAACATCTGAGCATATTAAACTGGCCACTGAAAAATGGCTCATTCAGCATACAAGAACAAGCTGCCTTCATGTGAAGATGAAAAAAAAGGAAAAAATGTCTTCAGAGATAAAGATGGTGCAATTTCCCAGATTCATCACTTTTTTGTCACAAAATGCCATCTGCACTTTAAAACATTTTGGCATCATCACCCAGATTCAGTTCTTTGTAATGTGACAGTAGCTATGTTATTTGCAGAGTCAAAGATATACTGTTCCTCCTGAAAATAGGTATCATTACGAGCTCTCTGCTGGCACTCTCTAAAGAGAAAGGTTATTGCGGGACTAATAACAATGGAGAACAAAAACGAGTTGTAGCTCCTTTTATACCAAGGAGTTGGTAGGATGGCTGCCACTATCATTTCCAAGCACTAAAAACACCATTTAAAGTACAGAATTTATTAGATTTATTATTTTTATTATTATCATATTTTTGTGTAACTTTGTTTTACAAAATATTTCAGTTGAGGTTGTTTTATGTGAATGTTTGAAAAGCTAAGTAACTTGTTAACTGAGGCCATTAGAGCAGATTACCTGAGATATGGTTATATTTTACAAATGCAAAATAAGGTGTTATAGTCACTGGATATGAAAAAAAATTAGAAAGGCCATATTTTAAATATTTAAGAAAATAAGTATTTACAATACTTACAATTTACAATACACCATTAAGGTGATATGCCTGAGAAAACGAAAATGTTCTAAATTATAATAAAATTTTATATCATGCACCAAAGCTATTGATAGAGAGATATGGCAGAACCTGGTTAGGGAAATATGCTCTGAAACCTTAAAAAGATAACAACTGTTCGTTTTAGCCAAAAAATGAATTTTCCTGGGGTTAACGACAATTTTCCCATCCTTACCAATGGTGAATCTATTTCTACATTCAAATGATCAACTTTCAAATAAAAGTTAGTCCCTGTTTTTTTTTTTTTTTTTTCTAAAAGACAAGCACAGAATTCAGAATAATTGATAATATAACTTTTTTTGTGGTAAAATAGAATGTATTATATTTCTATGAGTTGTTTACATTCTATTTATTGTGTAATATAATTTCATATGAAGAGTTGTTATCCCTTTAATTTTAGTGGAAAGAAAAAATGAAATAAACATAGAGCGAGAGAGGAAAGGTCAGGAAAAAATCCAAATCGGTTTTAATGAAATTTTTACTTTGAGGATTTTGCAAGTATGCATAAAATGTCAACAAAACAATACAATTTTCTACAATGAATATATTTTCATGGGAAGAAAAGCTTCATTTACAATGATAAAATTGAGATCAAAATTTGTATCAATACATCTAAAATTCTATCTAAAATACTTATTCTAAAGATGTATTGCTAAGTTCAACTTTAGCTGTTGTTAATAAATTACATACATGTGTTGTAGAGAACTTATATTATGGCGTCCTAAGTCTTTAGTTTTCAATATGCTAATATTTGAAGCACCTTACATCACTGAACCACGTCTACTGGCTCAGCCTATTCATACAAAGTGTCAAATTCATTGTGCAAAAGGTTTCATGAGAAATACACATCTAAGAGACAATTACTAAAAATCACTGCTAGCTGATCAGAGCTGTGCAATTATATTTACACCCACTTGTATAATACTAAAAACAAAACTAACTACAGGGTTTCCTTGTATATTGCATTGAGATATTTCAGTTTATATTTCCAATTTTTTGGCTTTAAGGGCCAGTTCTTGAGATAAGAGACAAAATAAAGTTTTTCAACAGATTTTTCGAGGTCTTCACCAATTTTCCAGTTTTAACAACCATCAACAAGTTGATCTACCAGCCCATTATCATTTACGGAAATGCCATTTCACTGCTATTTTCTATTGAACAGATAGATTTTTTTTTAAATTTCACTTCCAGCACTTAGATTCAGGGTAATAATCTTGTTACTAAGAAAGGACATAAATGAGGCAGTAGTGAAAAACCAGATTAAATCTGGCACTCTCCAAAATTTACTTCTACTTCACAAACATGTTTAAAGTCAAGTGTACCATCAATTCATTACTGCATAGTTCCTGACTCAATGCTGCCATTATCAAATGTTAGAAAAATGTAAAATAAAAGTTAAAAAAATTCATGTGCAGAGATGCTATATAACATTCTTCAATTTAACAATTAATACAATAAAATCAATAAGCAATCTTTTATATTAATGTGTTCATGACACAATTAAAAACAAGCCAAAGAAATGACATCACATCTATCATAAAAAGGAAGTATATTGCATAGTAGATATTATCAGTTCTTATAATATATATACTTGAATGTTATTATAAATTACAATTCCAAAAGTTTCCTTATGCACAAAAAACTGTTTCTAAGTTAAAAATAAAAACGCCAGAAATTTTCAATAAAACTGACCATGCACAAACACATACAAAATGTGGGCATGGTAGATAAAACGTTTCTGAATAACTTACCAAAATTCAAACTTCATCAAACCTTTTAGATTTCCTCTTCAACTGTGAGAATCCTTTTATTATTTTGCAGCAAGAAGAATCTCTTTTAAATGTCTGTTTTTATATGTTTCTTGCATATAACTGTACTATTTCATTCTGCAGACATATAGGTTAAGTTACACTGGCATTATTTCTATAGCCAAACACTCTGTGTGCTTTCGGTTAACGAACATCTCTCTTGTGCATTTTCAAATTGGGATATCTGAAATATAAATTGGAAGCGTAACACATTATATAGTTTGAACAGTAAAAAAAAACAAGTAAAAAAAAATTAAAAACATGTAAATAAACAATCACACACACACATACAATCATAATGTGGAGATGAAATATACTGTTAGATTTATTAGCAAAGTATCCATCATACACTCAAACAAAAGCTTATTCTAGATTCATAAGTGTTACGATAGAAAAATTTTTAATAAATAATTGTGAGGTCTGTTTGTTCAAATTTTAAATGAGAAATTTTAATATAAATACATCCATCAATTTATCATGGCTCAGTATCATTTCTCTGAAAAAATTCTCTTCCCAACCAATAAAAATGCCCTATTGACATTATCATGTTTTAATATGCCTATTAATTATTGCAGAACACTACGGTATCTCTTTTGTAAAAGAGCTTAAACAAAATAACACATTTGTTTTATGACCAAATGTTGAATTATATTTATCCCAGGACTTTATGTACAAATGAGGAATATGAAGAGTAAGATTATAAGAAATGCTATAAGTAAGCAGGATGAGACGGAACCAACTTTTACTCTGCAAATTGAAGGAAAAAGAAGGTTATGCCATTTATTTCAGAAGAACAAACCGAGGTCAAATTTTCTGGTTTTCCCTTGGTTATGGTGACAAAATTCAGATTTTGATCTTCATGTGAAAATCTCTATGATACATTTAATAATGTACAAACTGAATAAAGAATAATGATGAGACTGCATTCATCCACTCCCAGGTGTCAGTATATATATTATTTAGAATTCAGTATATTGCAACTTTCTGGAACATTAAAAAATGTTAACTTTTGTCTGCAGCTGAAGTAAGAATAACTTTACCTTCTTTAAAATCTTGCTAGTACTCAGAAAGTTTGATCCAAGCTTTGAAAGATGTTTATTAATTTTTTTCACGGTTTTTGAGACTCTGCAACTACTAATAACATATCAATTTCTCAGTAGAGTACTGTTAGAGAGCATCCACTATAATCTACAATATTCACGAAAAAAAAAAAAAATGCTTAGTAAAATGTTTGGAGTGGGATAAACTACAAATTTATGTTTACTTCATGAATACCAATATTAAGGAAACCAGAATAAAAAAGCTTTTAAAATCACAGAGTGAAAGGGAAAAATAAAGCTCACCAAAAGTCATTGTGATGAGGAACGTGACTGGAAGAGAAAGAGAAGAACAACATATAAAAGTAAAAATAAAAAGAAAGAAAAAAAAAAACAAAAGACCCAAATCTGAAAATGAACTAACAATAACTTAGGAATTTGATATATTAGAAAAATAAAGATGACAAGAGCTTAACATCTCTATCTCTACCAGTAAAGCAGAAAAACGGCATACAACATGCAAGATATGAAGTGAAAACCTCCATGTTGTCCAAATTAGGCCCTAAAGAAATTGATCTTCATTTGTAAATGCTTTCTCAACCATTACCTGGTCATATTTTATAAACATATGTTAGAATTTAATTATATGGAGAACTTTTTCACATTCCTTCATAATTTGACAAATTTCATAGTTTCCCCAAGTCTTATAGGATGTATCTTTATTTTTTATTTGACTATAAATTTGAACAATTACTGGAAAATGTAGGTGATTTTTTTCAATGGGCTAATCTTATTTGTTTTAGTGAAAATTTTCTAATTGTGACTAAGGTTTCTATCATAATGCAAACTACATGTGAAACAAAAACATTAAAAAAATTAATGGCATCACAAATATGCAACTCATATACTGACATTTGTAAAATATAAAATAAATTGCAAGAACCAGTTTTCTCCTATGCTTTTGATAAAAAGAAATCAATAATTATGAAAAAATTAAGTCAAGCAAAGGTGGAAAAGTATAAGCACATGCAAAGCACTTCTGATACAAAATAACATTAAATTTTTTAGACTCACACTCAAATACTAATTAATTTCATATCAATGTAAATTCAACATTCATTCGCAAGGCAGCTGCTCTTGTTTTTCTAAACAGACTAATTATATAATTATTATTGAAGTCATATAATCTTACTTTTTCTTAAAATTAAAAATCACAATTAAATTTCAAATTTAATATATTGATATAGTTTTTTTGACAAACTATAAAAACATTTGGAAGTACCATTTACATCCATTTAAATTACTTATCAACATAAAAGATTATTGGGGAGGAAAAATTCAGTTTACACTTTACCTTTTTTTGATGTTTTGAAGAAACTGTTTTGTTGATGATAGCAATCCATGAATACATATCTTCACAGGTATCACACTAAAAAATGAGAAATATTTCAACATTCTATACAGTAAAGCTATTCAAAGTTAGGTATACTCTAGAAATTAAATTCAAAAGTATTTTTCACAAGTAATGCCACTTACTTGTACATAAAAAGTTCTATTGCGGGTCACCAGTTCAAACAAGTTGTCTCTGTCTTTGTATCTATATTAAGAAAAATGTAATATTTAAATGATTTATATGATAACTGCAGTTGCAAAATCAATATGTATAAAGAACAAACAACATTCCTCAACATGCATATTTACATCATGGAATAATTTATTTATATTACCTTCGCTAAATAATATACCAAGGATGAACACAATTTTTTGAGTACATGCACTTAAAATATCTTAATTTACCTCTCAGTCTGCTTAGCTTCCTTAACATTAAGGATATCTATAGATTTGATTGGTCTTTTCCCCTACAAAAAAATGATTGAAAAAAAGGTAAAATCTAAACAAAATACTGTCTAGCTCCATTCTAAACCAATAGCACACTTCTAGAAATGCTAATTTATAAACAGACAAATGAATCAGTAAGTTCATTATGAAATCTAGTCTTGAGGAAAAGTAAACATCTTTATACAAAAACAATAATATCAGTGATAATACACAAACCTGCCATTTCTCATTTTTATAATATGAAATTCTGTCTTCATCCAATACAAAAAATCTTCTTTTCCAATTTTTCACCTGAACAAAAATTGATGGAAAGGTAAATATCCTGGAATAATATCAATCATTACATATCATTTTAACTTACTAACAATCACTTGTAACAGATTAATTATTAGACATACTAGTCACTGATTTAGAAAATTCCTTACCACACCCCCTTGTTTAACACAGTATCCTTGGTGGATGGACTCCTTTTGATGAAAATTTTTGTCATCCTCATCTGAACTTGTGCTGCTTAAGTCATCTTCACTCTGCAAACATCAATTGGAAACGATAATCACAACTGCTTCACACTTATTGTGTGTGTGTGTGTGTGTGTGTGTGTGTGTGTGTGTGAGAGAGAGAGAGAGAGAGAGACAGAGAGAGAGAGTGAGAGAGTCCTACCATGACTGTCTTTTGAATGGCTCCACCAACTATCTCAGTCTTATAAGCTTGAGAATCACTAAAGCTTCTTCCTCTAGCTTCATCGAATGTTGCAGATTTTGGCACCTGAATCAAAGTTCACATAAAACAATTAAATTATAAACACATGTAAGTTGTTTCCATTTGTCTAACTTTGAAAATGCAACAAGAGACAACTTTAAACATTAAACACAATTTAACAATCAGGTTAAAAGATCAGGCATGCTATTTCCGAGGTTAATGCATGCGTAAATAAATAGCTATGTGACTAGAACAAATATGATGCCAGAATGGATCTACACTTCAATAATTAATGGAATAAGTAATCAACACATTTTGTAATTATGGCAAGTTTTCAAATGATTATGATGAAAATTAATATATTTAAACTTTGTACTTACTGTTATCTTTGATGCATCTGTTAACAGCTTTATCCATTCTTCTTCTTCCTCTTTGCTCTGTGATTTGAAAAAATGTCTTTTCCCTGCTACTGTTACAGCTTGAGAATAAGAAAGGAAAAGCAGAATACACCAGCAGTTACAAAATGACTCATCAAACATTAAAACATATGATAAACATGAAAAAAAATACTTGAACTGTAAAAACCCCTCATTAAACATTCCCAACTCTCAGTACTTACCAAAGCAGTATGGAAACTTGGGTCTTTGCTTGCTAACATCATTTACCTATAAAAACAAAAAATATTTGTCAAAACAAAAGACTGTGTGCAAAAAAGCTTTCTAGATCTACTTTATAGGACAGAGCATTAAAATGTCATCGGAATTTTACATTTAACTATGAAGGTATGGAAGTCTTCTATCAATTATGCTATATCATAATATGTAGCATTTTGAAAAGAGAGCTTCTTCTGAAAATTTCTGTCAAAGTCTATTTCTGCCAAACCACTCTGGATGGTGACTAGGTATGTAATTTTGATCTTATTTCTACACATACCTGGGATATATACTGAGTTGGTATCACACCCAGTGGATTAATGTGTGATTTCTGAAAAAGGACAATTATATTTCTTCCTGTTTGTCTGATACACTTCCTTGTAAAAACAGTATTTTAGTTAATGTTCTTTTTTTTTAAGGAAGAACATGTCCTGCAAATAATTTTTTTTAATTCGTATGTATACAATACCATATTATTACTTTATCCCAAAACAACACTTATATATATGTAAGTTCATATAATATTCAATTCTACTAATTGTCTTTTGTTTATTTTTATTTATTTATTTATTTATTTATTTATTTATTTATTTATTATTATTATTATTATTATTATTATTATTTTTACCTTAGGATCCTCTGTGTAATAAGCCAATTTTTTGTCCTTCTCTAGACGGACAAAAATCTCAACAAAGTGCCCGCTGTTTTCCTTCTCTTCATACTCTAGATAGCCGCATGGCCTACCCTCCCCGTCCCAGGATAGCATGGTGGACTAGGGCATGCTAATAATAAATATTATTGAAATAAATATCAATAATACCAATTTCAGGAAAGTTATTGGGTAGAGTAACTCCAATTAACCACAAGCAAAAAGCTGATAGGATTAAAATACATTCCTGAAATAGGGAATTGCTAATTTTATAAAAACACCCTTGAATATCTAATCTAGAATGGAAATTGAAACTACTGTTCTATTCAAAACGTCTTTTTTGTCTTCTGATGTGTGCTATATTACGAAATATAGGTGATAAAATATAGATACCATACATAGCAAATACTAGAAAACATAAAAAAAGCAGTTCTAACGCATGAAACATTGTGCTACCATCGCAACTGTGAAAGTGCAACGGTTAATATGGAGGTATAAATTTTAAATGCGGCTTTTAAGTGTAGATGGCGACTAAAAGCACGCTGTAACAGGTGCTCCAGTTGATGCAAAAGTACATATTGTCCCTAAAACATGATGCACATTAATGAGCACAACTGTTCATGAATATAGTTCATATTTACCTGTTTGATTCCCAGCAGGGGTAAAAAAGCTGAAGCTTCCGTGATTTCATCTGAGCCTCCAAACACTAAAGATATTTGAAACAAGACAAGCTAGAACCAAACAAACCAAACCAGATTTAGTACGCCTACCGGTACGTAACACGGCATTNCTAGAAAACATAAAAAAAGCAGTTCTAACGCATGAAACATTGTGCTACCATCGCAACTGTGAAAGTGCAACGGTTAATATGGAGGTATAAATTTTAAATGCGGCTTTTAAGTGTAGATGGCGACTAAAAGCACGCTGTAACAGGTGCTCCAGTTGATGCAAAAGTACATATTGTCCCTAAAACATGATGCACATTAATGAGCACAACTGTTCATGAATATAGTTCATATTTACCTGTTTGATTCCCAGCAGGGGTAAAAAAGCTGAAGCTTCCGTGATTTCATCTGAGCCTCCAAACACTAAAGAGATTTGAAACAAGACAAGCTAGAACCAAACAAACCAAACCAGATTTAGTAGGCCTACCGGTACGTAACACGACATTTATAAGAAATATAGATAAGTTATTTACGTTACATAAAGATTGAAAGTAACAGTATCTTTAATCTTAAAGAAGGAAAACTTTCCAATTTCTAGAAGGATTTTGGATATCTTAATTTTGAATTAATAAGGTGAGTTGATACATATCATGACGTACCGGTATAATATATACATGAAGTATCGAAAGTGAGTTCAAAATCCGTGTTGCGGACTATTTGGAACTTGTAGCTTGCCCCCATGCCTTTAGAATTATGATGATTTGGCGCGTGTAGATCAGCAAGCCTTGGAATTGTTGCTAAAGAAAAATCGCCATAAGTTTTTTAAAAATCAAATTAGCCCCCATCCCCCTTCCCCTTATTTTCATTCCAAGACTATGGGCCTACAGTGATTCTGCTTGTATTTAATTCTGAGACGAAAAAACGATAACTGAGCGAGTGCCACTTTACGAGAAAGAAAAATTGTTATGTTATTTACATTGGGGTAATGAATGTTCATATGATTGTATTTCTTTTTCGAAAGGTTCAGTGTTTTGTGATTATAATAGTACGCACGTTAAAAATTTCGTAAAAGGATATTCTGTTGGCGTTCATCATCATTGTCCTGTAACTGTTGGTAAATTTTATGGGTAAAAATCCGTATCAATGTATTACAGGGTATATCGTTCTACAGGACTAAGGCAAATTCTCGCTAATATAAGGGCCTACATAAGTTGACTCATAAGTTGTCACCTCTGTCACAATTCTCGTTAATGCTAAGAGGTATCGTTATATTTGCGGCACACAGTGTGATTGGTAATTTGTTAGAGCACCAGCGTTGTTGCACTTTCAATGGCGAAATGTACCAGGGTAGTGTTTGTTGGGGCAGAACATAATCCGTGTTGTTTGATTGATGACTGCACCGTTCCAACAATAGGAGATGGGGAGGTTTTGGTCAAGGTCCTGCTGGCGACTGTGTGTGGCTCTGACCTGCACACCATATCTGGCCAACGAAAAGAGGCGACACCAAGGTAAATATCAGTGTTCTAGAGCTGATATATATATATGTGAAATGGAGGGATAATGAGGGTTGCTCCATCCATAATAAATAGACCTGCAGACATAAATGTAGTCCTTGTAAATGGCAAGTCTTAATGGATTAGTTCGCCCAAAGCTGCTGTGAAATTAATATGATATGCGTAAAACATGTACACCAACAAATGATGTGTTGTTTAAAGACGTCCCCCCAGACAGCTAAAATCACGTAAAAGCTGAAGTGATATTAAGTCCCAGGTGGTTTTATATTTGTCGCTACTGCCAAACACCTTTAATTTATGACATATCCCAAGAACCCGGTAGCTAGGCATATATGGAATTTTTATTTAACCATATTTATATAAAACACTCGTGTGACAATTGGTCGTTTATCGTCATTTCCAGTGTGCTGGGTCATGAAGCTGTCGCAGAAATAGTGACCATTAACAGAAATGCAAGTAAATTCTCCCCCGGAGATCGAGTCACCTTCACCGTGGTTGACTTTTGCGGGGAGTGTGCAAGATGCAAGGGAGGCCTTGTACAGAAATGCACGCGGTTGTTTAAGGTAAGAGATGCCGTCCGTCGTGCTTCAATAAAATATTTTCATTGCAGGTGCAGACAGGACTCCGACACGAACGGTGTGCCTTGTTGCGCTAGTCTCATATAACGGTGATGTAACTGACCTTTTGCACCATCGTTAGATAAGATTAATATATTTCACGATGGAAACTGAGGTTGCTTAATGAGGTCTTTATTGATATTTATTGCCGACGTGCTTGGTGATGCAACTGTTGTCGGCCTTTATATTTGTATTAGTTAGCCGTTGGGAAAGTAAAGGGGAAAGTGGGGAGGGGGAGTGTTACTGTGCATGGTACACAGCGTTCACCTGCTGCTTCTGTGTTATTCTCTCATAAAGCGAATTATGTCAGTGTATGCACGTATCTTTTTGTATCGTGAAAGCAGATTTTCCCTCCACTTTTCATTTATACATTAAGGGCTTTTATTCTAGGTCCTATACCTATAATTTGTTAACAATATCCCTGTCAGCTGTGGCAAAGGGGATATCAATCTTGCGTGGCATTGCTGAATTTTCGACATTGTAGATATTGACGCAATGCCTTATGCATCTGATGCAGGGTAAACCTTTTAACGATCGTGTATTGCAGTATGGTCACGCACAACTCGCTGACGGGACTGGTTTTAATGGATGTTACGCTACCCACATAGTGTTAAGACCAGGAACGCACTTAGTGAAGATCCCCGATCATGTCACGGACCGTATGGCCGCCCCCATTAACTGTGCATTGGCGACAATGGTGAATGTTATGAACTCTATTCCATCGATCGGGGATAATAAAGCAAATCACGTCGCCTTGATCCAGGTGGGTTACAGTCCTTTTAACGGCGCTTAAGAGAGAATATTAATTCTAGATTTATTTATAAAGGTGCCTATCCTGCTTATCAGAGCATACTCCTTGTCTGTATAGAATCGACGAGTGCACACTGCTTAATCAATACGTCATTAGCACATTTTACACTTAGGTTTTTATGGTAATTGGATAAAGTGAGGACGAGATATTCCATAACATTTAAATTAATCAATTATTCTGATTATTTAGTTTTCACTAGCCTGTGCAAAGATTCGAAAACAGGATTTTTATTTAATTTTCAGGGTGCTGGACTTTTGGGATTATACGGTTGTGCATTGCTGCAAGATCGCGGTTATCAGAAAGTCTACTGCGTCGACATCAACCGAGACAGACTGACTTTGGTACCTCTATTTGGTGGAATTCCGAACTTTATCAGTGGAAATGGTATTACGTTGCTGATGACTTAGACCTAATAAACAACGCTTTAGCACTTTTTTTTTAGAATCGTACTGAAACCTATGAAAAGTGATGATATTTGGACAGACATCTCTTATGTTTTGGTTGATTTTTGAAAAAATATTCGCTTTAAAATGAATAAAAAAGCATCTTTTTCGAGAATGAATGTTGATAGAACCAGCATATTAATCTTATGCTGGTACAAGACTTAATTAAGAATTCCCATTATAGAGTTGACAATCGACATAGACCCTGATTCCGTCGACACCGTCATCGAAGTGTGCGGCTCCCCAAATGTTATACAGCAAGGAATTTCTCTACTTAGACCAGGAGGTACTTATTTGATGGTGGGCATGGTGCACCCAAACTCCAAGCTCAATTTAACGGGGGAGCAAATCATAAGGAAGTGTTTGACAATAAAAGGTATTTGTGCTGCCTATTACTGAAACAGATTATGAACAATTGCCAATCTTGTACCAAACATAGCAATATATATTAATAATATATTTAATTTCTAGTTTTTTTTTACATATAGTAAATCTGTCCGTAAAGGTATACTTTTAATGTTTAAAATTTAACATTTTTACAGGCATACATAATTATGGACCGGCTGATTTGGAGCAGGCCGTAGAATTTATATCTCGGACTGCAAACAAGTACCCTTTTGAGCGCCTCGTGGGCGGAGAAGAATATAGTCTTCGGGACATAACGGACGCTATAAAAGAGGCAGAACTAAGGAAATATCTTCGGGTAGCTGTAAAACCATGATTGAAGTTTGGTACCATACTTGAGTGTAAATGGATCGTTATTACACGATCTGTGGCACAATCTTGCAGAGACATTTAACCTACAATGGAAGTAAATATGACCATTTTTGCCTGAGATATTTTGATTTTAAAAACAGAAATGTGTTGTCGCTTTTTGCTTATATTTTGCCTCCAGATTTTGAAAAATGTTGGATCAGATAAAGTGCACGGTATACATTTCCTGTCTTTGATGTATTTGATTAGAAAAAACTAGGCCAGGTAACGATTCAAGTTATGAAAAGATCATACTGTAATAGAATCGAGGTTCAAAATTGGACCGTTTCACCTTACTATACATGGTAGCCTACCTGTGTTGGTATAAAACCACATGTATATATACAGTTAAATCATGGAGTTAAGGACAGCAAGTTTACCTTTTGACATCATACAAAATTATATAAAGGCAGATTTTGACCGAGTTCGTTTTTTTTAAATCTTATCATCGTTAAAAACTTTATTGCTCAGTGTTAGACCCCTAAATGATCATATGGGAGTCACTACACCCACCTAATCAGTATCTTGTAATCCATCCCATTCAATCCTTAAACACAAAATGGTTACGTTGGGATTGGTATACAAAACTGATCGAAGCAAACTCTAAAATCCCATATCAAATGCAAACGAATTTCAGAACCCGATCAGTCTTGTTTTCAACTACATATCTAACATAAAATTTAATGTATAATATATTGTTAAAGTGCAGACTCGAATATTCTTGTGCACCGTTTGATAATATATTTAACTTTATCCAAGAAATGCACTTCAGATGCATGTCTTATGTAAGATTTTTACAAGAAGTAAATAAATCTTGTTTTGCGTGAGCTCAATGACGTCTCTTGAATTGGGTCGGCCTGTGTTTGGAGTGCACTGATAATAGCGCTTCATGCTAGAAAAGGGATTCTAGATACCGTTAGGTCGAGTTCTACTTTCGTTTGTCGTCAGTCCTGAAATGACGAGTACTAGGGTCTTATTTCAAGGTGTAGAATATGATCCGTGCTGTGTACTAGAAGAGGGTAAAATCCCAGAAATAACTGAAGGGGAAGTACTGGCCAAGGTACGGTTGGCTACAATATGCGGCACTGATCTACATATTCTGAAAGGACAACGCCAAGTTGCAACGCCATGGTATGTGTAATATTACTATGCTCTGATATAAGGATTTTGTTGAAACAACGTATTTGTATTCAGCGTGTAAGCTTGAAGGTCAGTGCACTTAGATCATACCAATTGTCCGAACTTTGTACTGCTCACCGCCGTATATTGTTATCAGCAAGCGTTTACCTATTTCGCTGTGAGATAGACTCGGCATTTACTTGTCATTATCTTCCAAAATCATGGCGAGTTCTAGGGTCTTATTTCTCGGTGTAGAGCATGACCCATGTTGCGTTATTGAACGGGGCGTGATCCCAGCAATAACGGAGGGGGAAGTACTGGTCAAGGTACGGTTGGCTACAGTGTGCGGCTCTGATCTTCATACCTTGAATGGGAAACGCAAAGTCGCAACGCCCTGGTACGTGTTATAGCTAAAGGATGAGACTAATGAGATGTCAAAATGTAAGGACAGAACTGGAGCTTTCAAATGTTTTGAATGAAGTCAGTCAAATTCCTTAAAGCATTAGATAGTATTTTGAATTACTGTAATTAATTTTGAATTTTAAGATGTAAAGATGTAAATGATGACGTTAAGCCAGGTCTCATAAAACAGGCCAAGTCTCAGTGATTTTTGATAAAGTCGTAATATAGTGTGCTCATGAATAGATAGCGTCCTCTGCAGTTTTATTTCGTAAAAGACACGACACGTGTTAGCGATGTGTATGCAATATACGCGAGGGCGATATAACGAATGGATACCACATACACCCTGCAGACCATTGGTGTATCTAACTGATGTCGAGAACCAAATGTCCGGACATGGTGCATGGTTTTGCGTGGCGCACATGCATCCGACACACGTCATGTCGGGCACCTTTGTTTCAGGCATCCCCGTGGTACATGTACAATACTCTTATATGCCTGTATATACCTATGTTACATTGTTCAATTCTATACCTTACCAAGGTGAGGATACAATTTGAATGGTTAAAAAGATTAAAAATATTCCAATTTTGGTGTTTTTTATTGAGCACGTTAGCGCATCCTTTCGTGACTGTATTTATATTCCACTCTTCTATCCCATGGCTGCACTTATACCGCTTTCCCAGTTTTTTCTTTTTCTTTCTTTCTTTGTATTTAATTGTTTAGGATTGGCATATCGATTCAAGAAAAAATTATACCTTGTACTTCTTCCAACTTTTTTATTTTTTATTTTGTATCGAGCAAGTGAGATCTCGGAGGCAAACAAATGCTTTCCACTGGACCACTTACCTCTTCAAGATGACACATGTAACATGTACATTCTAAGCCCTCGTTCCTCAGTCCTGCTTATATTAAAATATTAAAGCACTCATCATTTTGCCACAGTGTCCTTGGGCATGAAGGGGTTGCCGAAGTTGTAGAAGACAGAAGGAACTCCAGTGCCGGACGGCTGTCACCTGGCGACCGTGTTACAGTCGCCATGGCGATATTCTGTGGAAAATGCGACACATGCAAACTTGGTCTTGTACAAAAATGTGACCACCGGTTCATAGTAAGTGTTAAGCCTATCAGAGTGTATTACGTGGATTATCAGACGCCACTTAATATCTTGATTAGCACTATAAAACCGGATGATAAACTTTAAACGGGCTGGATTTATGTAATATGTTATGGTATATAGTGTGTTGACTAAGTGTTTTGGTGTTAAAGAACGAAGATGCTTATAAATGTCGAATTCATTATACATGCACCTAACATCAGTTCTGCGCTCCAGCCTCTCTCATCTATAGTTTCTGACCAAGTGCCTAAATATCATTATTTTATTGCAGTACAGCTTTGCTGACATCAAGAACGGCACCGGTTTCAATGGGTTTTATGCTACCCACATGGTTCTCAGAAAGGGGTCTCACATCGTGAAAATCCCCGACCACGTCTCGGATCGAATGGCAGCGCCAGTGAATTGCGCATTGGCGACAATGGTAAATGCTGTTCATGCGATAGAAGAAAGCAAACATAACAATATTGCAGTGGTACAGGTAAGTCTCTACCAAACCCAGCTATGATGAGACCCTGAGTTTCAAAGGTCACTGGACACCCACCACTCTGCTATTGGCATGCATCTGCCATTATGCTCTTATCACAAGATACGGCAGAGGCATAGCAGATAGTTTTCAGTGATCTTTGAAACTCAGAACAAATGATAAAAACAGAGAAGCTTTAAATTACACAAACTTCTGAATTTGGAAACTCTCCTATACAACCCGGTGATAATCCACCCTATGTCACAGATCTTATTGGAAACTAACTTCCATAATCAGCTACTGTCAACTTCAGTATGTTAAATTCGATTAGTTTTCATCAAACTCTGAGTCTCCGGGTGTTATGAGGCCCCCTATACATAGTTCTGTCTACTGGTCTTGTACATCCTTTCGGTCCCTTTATAAAATGGGATAGAACGACTGAGATGCTAAAAAGATTTAAAAATCAAAAATTACTAAAATATTTTCTTTTGAATTGCCACAGACGATATGAAAAATGTGCCTTTTTGTAGGCTCTTATATAATGGTAAAAATGGATAGATAAATCATAAATTGAATTCTGTTGTTACTCAGGGTGCTGGACTCCTAGGACTCTATGGGACTGCATTGCTGAAAGAGTGTGGTTATCGTAAAGTCTACTGCACAGATATCAGTGAAGACAGGCTGAAGTTAGTTACTCATTTTGGTGGAATACCATATTCTGCTAATTCAGGTACGGAATTGGTAGCAAATTTTAAAAATATGTGGACAAAATATCTTTAAATTCTATATAGAGTATACAGGATAATAATAATAATAATAATAATAATAATAATAATAATAATAATATATTGAGCTTAAAATGTTACGATGTTACACCACTCTGCACTACAAACGATATACGTAATATAACGATAATTCAAATGTTATTAATTTCAAATGATAAGCAATATAAAAATTTTGTCAACAGTGTTTGAAACGCCATTTCTTTAGGTGCACCGCCAGTGTTGAAAGCTAATTCCGTGGATGTTGTGATCGAAGTGTGCGGATCGTCTGAAGTGGTCCCGGAGGGAATCCGACTGCTCCGGCCTGGTGGCACTTACGTATTTGTGGGAATGGTGCACCCTATGTCAAAACTCAGTGATGTCACAGGATGGGATATTATAGGAAAGTGTTTAAGTATTAAAGGTAAGCACCGACCGATTCAGGATATCTCTGAAATATCAGAATGCTGGAGAAGGGTGGTGGTGACTCGATTGCAAAATTATATTTTATGGTGGGTAAATGTGAGTGTACGTGCCAGTCACCCCATAAATGATATGATTGATTTGATGGTAAACGGTTGCATCTCAAGGTTTCCATTTTATTTAGGATAAGTACGGACAAACCTTTAACTAAGAATTCTAGAGCTACAATGCAACGATGGTAAAATGATGAAATTGTTTTATAATTTATAAAATGCTTATTTAGAAGGAAAAGAGGACGCTTATATTAAATACAGAGATATTTTACTGTAGGTGTTCACAACTACGGTCCAAAGCACTTGGATGAGGCGGTTGACTTCGTGGCCAAAACTGCTGGTAAATACCCCTACGAGATTCTGGTTAGTCCCGACGTATACAGCCTGGAAAATTTCCTGGCAGCTGTAGAGATGTCCAAACAACGAAAATACGCTAGGGTGGCAGTGAGCGCGCAACAGCATTCTCGCTCAAGCCTGTGATTTTATGAAAAGCCTCAAAGACTGGATACTCTTCTGTGATTCAAATGCTAGTCATTTATTTTAGACATTTACTGTGGTAACTGAAAAGATATTGACCTAGTAATTTCGTATTATTGATTAAGACGAAAAGGGAATAACAAAGAGGCAACAATTATCGATTAAAGATGTAGCATATAAGGATATGGTTCTCCAGACTTATCAGAAAGGCAAAGATTCAAATCTAAATGGTAATGAAAATAAAGCAATATTTTGTGCTCTTTGTCGGCTTTTCACTTGGACCTTCTCATACTACTCGTGGTTCCAAGTCAAAACTAAGTATGTTAACCTTATTTAGAATGTAATCAATTCAAAGTAATTTTTAATGGTGCAAGATTTGCTTTAGTATTAAACGAATATAACAAAGCAATCGTCTCCCCTGTAAAAAAATAAAGTGAAATAAAAATAAAAAATAATGCAAATTTATTGACAATACTCTAAAAATGAAATAAAAATAAATGAGCAACAGGTTCCAGAGGGCACAAGAAACTCACATCCCTCCTATCGGCATTGAGAGGTGTGTTTCCAGCATCCACAGAATGTCAGGGTGCATATTACACCCTTACTGCAGAGGAGTTAGTAAATTATAGACTGTTACGAAGGGGAATCCCCTCTGTAAGGTCACGTTCAACCAATCAAATTTAACAAAACAAAATGCCCCACCGATAACCTTGGAATTTCCACTGCTGTATAAATGACAACAACGTCATCTGTGGTGAGGGAGTAGTTCATCAAATGGTAGGTATTCAAGCGTAAATAACGAAGCAGAACCAACGTAACATGGTGTCAAAATTAATGTGCTTGTTCCTAATAACTGTGATGTGAATGATCATTTCATGTGATATGGAAAAAGACTGCGGATGTCAGAGTGGCAGGCTAGTTTCACTTCCGCGCAGTTGATCCGATAAACATATAATTCTAGAAACATATTTTTTCAGTTTAAGCATAATGGCGGAATTAAATACATCAAGCCGTGGTCAGTCCAGCGGCAGATCGGTCCTTGTCCTTGGTATCCCTCCATCTGTGACAAAGGTGAGGCTTACCATACATTTCCAGAAGAGGGTCTTCGGAGGCGGTGACGTGGAGACCGTCGTGTTCCCATTTGATAAGACGATGCCCGATGGTGCTATTGTGACTTTCCAAAAAGAACAAGGTACGAAAAAAATATATATATACATATTCCGAATATCTCTCACTTTGGCCTGCTAATTTGAAAGGTTGCTTGATTATCCAGTTTAATAATGAGACGAGCAGGTGATATCGTTTACCATCAAGACCAGGGAGCCGTGACGTCTGAAATCAGCTATTTTATAACTCGTAGAAAATAAGCAGCTTTTTTTTTTCGAACATCCCGATGTCATGCTTTGTACTTTTGCTATGAACTTTAATTTTCTCATGTCTTTCAGTTTTAGAAACCGTCTTCAAATATCCCCATCGTTTGTTAGATGCAGAATTGACTGTGGTACCTTTACCTCAGGTGAGATACTAAAGTTCATCTTGGACTATCTACATAAGCACATTGTCTTAAAGGGAGACTAATCTTAACCTCAAATGTGGCAAATGTAATGTATTGTTAGATAAGTGCAAAGGGCCAAGTTTTGCCTGTTAACATTAAGCAGCCTTTTTTTTTTTTTTTTTTTTTTTTTTTTTTTTTTTTTTTTTTTTTTTTTTTTTTTTTTTGCTTACTTTTGATTTAAATTCTGTCGTGTCACAGTTTGAAAAAAAAAAAAAAAAAAACGGGATTTCAAGATCACCCACAAAGATATAAAGGTATCGTTATGGCGAAAGCTAGCGCTGGATTTCGGTCAGACCAAACGCAATTCAGAAATTGATCTTGAACGTAAAAAGATTTTCATCGTTGGTTTTAATTTTTTTTCGTGGATTTATTATTAAAAAACAAAAACATGGAATCACTTTCAAGCAGAGGCTTTAAAAAGTTTTTCATCGTCGTGTTTTCATGTCACTTTCCAGATTTTCTCAACCGTCGAAGCGACTGTCGGCCTGAGTGTAACGCAACTGTTTTCAACGGTGGGAGAGCTGAAATCGTATTTCAGAAACCTTTCAGATGAGTTTAACGTACAAACCAAATACACCACTGAAGTCGACCAGAAAGTCATCCTTGAAGGCACCGTGTACAATATACAAAAGGCCCATCGTTCCCTCTTTCTTGAGTACGCGAAGCGTTCACAAAATGTAAAACCAGAGAACGCCAATACGGGGGCAAGCACTTCGGATCATGGGGCTGTACTGTCCAGAAACATTAACGGTACCAAAACTGGGCAAAAACCAACTTGTTCTGATTCAGAAGTGTTTTCGATGAACATAAGGGACCTAGAAATCACTTCCTCTAAGGAGCCAGCGTTGGGCCTTGAGGCGAGTCAGCAACCAGAGATATCACGTGATCAGTACGCAGGGAAGAATGTAACACGTTCGGTTCCTGAAGAGGACACCAGTATTGTCAGTATTGTCCAACCACCACGACATAGCCGACGGTTTGTCAAAACAGAAAACACTGGTGAGCGTTCACACACCCCAGCGGCTCATGGTGTTTTGTCAAATTGGTCAGCTGGGGAGAGGACACAAATTATGCTTAACATGCCTGAACACCGATATGGAGCCAACGAAAGTCAACCTAACATTGCTAATCAGAGTGACCCCAGCAAAATGACACTTTCGTGCTCAGGACAGTCATCTGAAGCGTCAGCAGTTGAACATTGCGAGACCAAAGAATTGCAGAACGAAAAATGTGATTTCGCCCTAGATAAAGCGGTGCACAATCCCAGCAACATAGAAGAAGACGAGGTAAACCATTCCGTTTCATTTGACGCCGAGGCGACACGACTAAATTCAAACATCATGGGAGAAGTACCTTCACTTCGAGACCTTCTCCAGACTTTAAAAGAATGTAGCAGTTCTGCAAACTCGGCAATTGTGGAAGAAAAATGGCACACGGATGAACCAAGCTCCGATTCCATATTACAGGATTTGCTTAGATTGGATGGTCACCCTAACCCCGATCAGAATGCAAAGGGGGACTAAGATGGCGCATTGTTACCCGCTTAACTAGTTCCGTTATGTCTTATGGATGAGAAGGGTGTTATTTAAATCAAAGTAAAACGATTTTAAATATTATGTGGCTAATATCAGACTTGTTTTTAACATTAAATTCCATTTCTTGCACTGCTACTTTTGAATTCTGACCAGTAGCTACAGGAGTTTGATGGGAAAGGGGTCGGTATGGAAAATTGGTGCTTTTCATTAATATTAAGCCAAAGAGGCTGAAGTGTTTGAAATACACTGCGATCAGTTTTGCTTTGAAGGAAGAGAGAGATAAAACTTTATTCTATCAAAATGAAGCATTTGATTGATAATAATGTACGACTGCATCAAAAGCACATGAAATTGATAACTGTCAAGATAAATCATCGATAAATAAGGTCCTGCACGAAGGCTTATGACTGAGAGAAGTGATTATAATTTTATATTTATTACATAAAATGCCTCTATTTAAGCTGGCGGTATTATCACTGTTAACTGGAGAGCCAGGATGCACAGCATGTTTTGTGATTAGATTGCCACAAAGAAAGGATAGTATTCAAGGACATCTGCATGCAATTTTTTACGATTCAATTTTTGTAATTAAGTTGGTAAAAAGCTTAATTAAAAAATCAACGTGGCTCCACGAAATGTGTCTTAAATAAATGTGTCTTAAATAAAACTGCATTTCTTATGCGTCTACGTATTTTAAGCCGTGTACAACAAAATTAACAATATATTTTCGTTTTCTGCTGGACTCTTTAAAAGCAAAATTTATTACAAAAACATTGAATAAAAAAAATGTAACACCAGAACGATTTGAAATTCAAAGTTGAGCAGATTTTTTTAATGGTTGACGATGTTAATCATAATAGACTAATATCCAATATCACTGAAATGAAGATTTTTCTTTTTAACTTACGGAAGCTCTACTTCAACAATGACATGAGCAACAATGAATCTCATTTATGAGTTTGAGGGAGGCCTTCTCTTTAAACAATTCAACTAAAATATCACGTAGAAGTTAAACTCTTTCAGCACGAGTTTTAAGAATATACCACTTGTAATTTTCAAACTAACGACTCGTAGTCTAACAAATATTGAACATAAAAAAAACTACGTCACACAGTCAGCCCCCAATTTTGAAAGGAGTAAGCGACGTTATGTGACGTCACCGCTGAGCTTGACGATAACTACGACATAATACCTATTACGTCATTATCTTGTTGCGCGGTTGAAACGAAAGCTTGCACAGAAGAGCGATCCTGTTTCTCATAACTTGATCGTCATCTTCACCGTTATAAAAGATGGCAGCGAAAGGAAAGTGCATATGTCAAATATGCACATGTGGGTGAGTATATCTACGTTAATTTTATCCGGTATGAATCCAAGTGTTTTCTTTTTAACACTTTTCATAAACTCTACAAACATTTTCAGTCGCCATCGCTGCCCACACAACCGAGAGAATCGCAGTCAGCAAGTTGTTAAAGCGGCATGTGTGTTGACAGAATATCAGTTGGTAAGCCGTCTTTTGACTTTGTTCAAATTGTCTGATACATATTTAATTTCACTTAGCATGTTTTCTAATATTTTCCAATCTTGTCATTATTCCAGTTTCCGTTGATTCTGAGAGTTACCGCATATTCTCATTTTTGAAGACAAGGAATTATTGTATATTAAAAAAAATTAAGCTTAATTGACATTTTTGTGTTTTCTCAAGGCTTTTAAGCAACATGACTATCAGCCCCCACGTGAAAGCCTTAGACCAAAAATTAGAATGTATGATTCCAAACGAAGTCCCAGAGAAATGGCCACCACATATACTGAGACTTATGTTCCTCATGAAGTAAGTGAATACATTTCTTTAATACATTTATAGCCTCTTATAGCGACTGTGCTTGCATTTTAGCTCTATAGGAGCTTGATTCAAATCTGCAGCGTAAGATAATGTATGGAAGTCAAATGCTTCATCAAATCTTTGATATGACATGAAAGAAATCCTTAACACTTCTGGACACCGTTTCACTTTTCTGTCCAATCAGGTCAATCGACGCTACGTTGCCCCAAAGAAGGAGTATGTTCCAGCTCAAGGGGAAGTCAACCTACACACAACATACGAGAAGGAATTCACCCCCAAGGTTTGTTTCATAGTCTCGTGAAACGTATGATTTAAGCAGTATCCTTACCTTCATAGTCCAGGTACAACTATGAACAGAGTAATGTACATAGTGGGCCACATTTATGAGAAAAAACACCACCAAATTAGGACAAATTAATTTCAATATTTGAACCATCTATGAGAAGTTTATTCGGTGGGTATTAAGTTGCCACTATCACATATTTCACACCGTTAAACATATTATAAATTTTACTGAATAGCAAGGGAAGCGAGCTCTCCCCTACAAACCCAAGAATGAGCGTGAACTTGAGCCGCCACCTTTCAACAGCAAGACGGTCTATCAGACTGCATACCTTGAGATTGACAAGGATGAGGCTCAGAAATCTCGTTCCAAACCCATGAAACACAATGAATGCATCGTGAAAAGTGATGAAAAGTTCTTCGCAGTCTCAACTGTACAGGTTAGTCAAATCATTGTTTAAAATCAAACCATATTTAATGTTAGGGAATTTGGGTGGGGACGATGAAGATACATGTAAGTCAGAATATAAACAGAGATTCACAGAGAGAAGTTCATTGCAGAATGTGCATCGTCTATACTTGTAATTCATTTTCCGCTTAGTATTGTAATAAATGAAAACAAAGTGAACAAAAAATTAATAAGATTGTTCTTTTCGCTGCTGTTCCAACGGTTCGTTGCGCTCTTCTAACATACTTTGTGAATAAAATCAGGATGATTACAAGCAGCACGAGGCTGTTGAGCGAAGAAAGCCTATTAAACCTGCTGAACGTGAGCCAGAGGCCCGTGACGACAAGTTCGTTGATGTTACCACATACAAGGCGGAATTCATCAGGAAATCTCCAGACCCAGTAGTCGGTAATGGTGATTTTTATATCAGATTAAGTTAACTCTTCAGATTGAGAATCGATTTAAAAAAGCTTTTTTTTAAATTTGTTTTTAAAACATCGTCAACTGCGCTGTATTGTGCGCGTATCTATTTAAATGTATATTAGATCTCGTGTATACAGATGAACTCATGCATGAGCTACCTTGATAATCTGAGGACTTCATCGGTCCGTTTCAGTAAATTTAATACCATTTTATTTGTAGAAAAATCAAGAAGATGAAGTTATATTTTTATCTTTACTTCTACTTCAAAATTCACGAGTAGTTTACAAACTCATCTCTTTTTAAAAAATTACTTAGCTAAGCGTCCCAAAGACCACAAGATAGCCGAAGATGGCAAGTACAACACCATTTCCACTGTGATGGCCGACTACCAAGCTCACAAGACGTACAAGCGGGAAGCCTCATTCAAACCACCCCAGGAGTACGTGGTGTCCACTGCGCTGTTCGACAGCCGTACCACGAAGTCCATGGCGTACAAACAATGGCCAATACAGCCAAAAGAGATCAAGCCTTGGATGAAGAAACCACAGTACGAGCCCAGTTCACTCGTGTTTACCAAGACCAGCTCCTACCAGGTAAATTGAGGATTTTTCCCGAATTTATAAAAGAGAACACTGAAGACCCAGGAGGAGAGGGTTTAATGATTGAAACTGTGAAAACCCTCACGGAATAAATCCTTCCTTTCAAGACTGTGTGTGGACATACCAATCCTAAATACCCGAGACCTGGAAGATTTTCATTTTTAATTTTCAAAAATATCAAATGTTCCAAAATTTTTAATTTTGACAATTAAACCGTCAACATATTTGAAATATTTTATAGAATAGGTTCAGCACAATGTATTATAAGACAATATATATATTTTTGTTTTAAATTAATTTCAGGACGATTTTACCGTCCCAGAAACGCTGGAGCGAGTGAAACCAATCCGTCCAGTTCAGAACGACCTGCACTATTTGGGAAGCGGAGACAGCAGGGCTCCGTTTTCTTGCAAAACTCACTACCGAGAAGAGTTTTTGGAATGGGAAAAAGTCCTGAGACCAGCGTCATATAAAGTCGTCAACAAATATCAGCCACCTGAGGAAAAGTGGCACGCGGAGTCCATCATGAAAAGCCACTATCAAGGTAGGGCTCACAATTACCAAAGGAAAAAACTTAAATTGAAGTCTTATAAAAGCAATTTTTAAATTTCACTCTATTTAGTGTACATTTCTTACCAACCAAAAAACTTTTTTCAGGCATTTACACCCCACCAGCGCAAATCTGTGAACCTCCAAAGAACAACTGGGCAGACATCTCTCCACGCGCCCGCATGTTATCTACCTCCATCTACGGCGAGACTTTCCGAGGAGAAAGACCCAAAAGCTGTCCAGCAAAACTTCTTGCCAAAGAAATGGATAGTGCATACACATATCTTCGCGAAAAGAGAGGACACAGGTTCTTTGCAAAGAACCCATCCAAGAGCTCTGTGGAGTCTTCTAAATCTAATAAAGATGTGGCACCTACCGCCGCCGGATCAGAGGCCGAGGCCGTCAAAACGCCAAAGGAAAACGAGAAGCCCCAGACTCCACGCGTAGAAACCCCACGATCCCCTTCTCATGCAACCCAGACGCTTCAGGTGGAAACCCCAAGACGCCCTACCTCAACTGATAGTGCCCAGAAATCTGAAGAAAAAGTCACCAACCCACCAAGCTCTCCAAAGGCGTCTGCAGAACCCGAAAAATAAGCTTTGGACAAAACATACCTGTTTTCAAGATAAAGCATAGAGAATATAAACAATATAATATAAAATATAATATAAAACAATATACACAATATACAACAATACATGAACAATATCCAAGACTTTTAACAAAACACTGGCCAAAATTAACCTATGATACTCGTACAACTATACAAATAGTTACACTCGCTACCAAAGTTTCTAATCCGATTAACTCATTCTTGTCATAGTTAAAAAGCATAGAATACTTCTTTTAACTTACAAACTATATTAATTCACAACTAAAAATAAAATATATCTTGTCCCACAGCGTTCTCTTGCTTCCCCTACTCAAAATTTCGCCTTGAGAGAATATAAGGGTGTTATTGAATTGGTATTGACGCGATAGGCGACTTTTCTTTCCTCTGGAACTTACGACTACTTAGTACTAGATCCACCTCCTTTTCCCAAGAAAAGGAACTGACAACTCAAAAAGGTCTGCCCTTTGTTGACACTGGTGAAATTTGTTGCAGAGAGATTAATCTGTATGATTAATTTTCTTCGTTTCTACTGGATAAAAAAGACAAAGGACAGTAAGCTTTGGCATTTTATTTGCATCTCCGCACAGTTACAAAGATAGTAAGTTTCAACAACTGATTGTGTTCAATACAAGGTAAAAATATCGATTTCATGGTTAAACTCCAGTTTTTGAAAGGCAACTTTCATATTTCCTTCAATTTTTCAAAAATTGAATTTCAAATTCACATCTTGTAAGAAGAGACTCAACAACTGAAGGAAGAAGTTTTGGTGTAAACAAACCTCCACTTAATCCATAAATACCATTGTTACATGGCACCCGTTTTTGACATTTTTTTTTTACATACACCAGTTTTGTAACTGGTAACCAGAAATGTGAATAACTTCTTAATATCAAACGTACCAATAAATACACCCATTATTCTATACATAAATTACATATTTATAATCCCAAAGGCCTGCAAGTTTTCAATATTAAACCGGTATTACATTTTTCTACCAACTTTCTTAACAGAAAAAAATGATAAAGCATCTTTGCACATACTTTGCCATCATTAAAAAAATTCAACAACTTAAATCAACAAGTTTTAAACTTAAGCCCCCGTTATTCTGAGCCCGACACACCTTAGGGAGCAAATTTCATTTTCATAGCAATCGCAAACCAGCTGTAATAAGGGCTTTGGTTTAATATGAAATAGTGTGTATGGTGTATAATTTGGTGTTCTCTTAAAGCTACTAAGTTAGTAGTAAAATATCCATACACCAAATACTGCATCTTATAGAAGTTTAAACAAATTGACATCTTTATCTAATCAAGGCTTAGTGCACAAGTACCAAATAAATTACCACCACAGTCAATGAAACTGGGTCAAATACATATTTGTCCCATCGATTAGCAAAGTGGACTGCCAATCACCAAGTAATCTTAGGATTTTAACTGATATCTGGACATTATGCTAGTTTTAGGAATACCGATTACTGTAACCATGTTAGATTCCAGGCCTGTAGGCTAGGAGGGGGAGGGGGGTACATTGGGGTGGGGTTGGGGGTGGGGGTAGGGGTTTTGGGGGTGGAGATGGGGCTTGTGGGGTGAGCTCCTGGGGTTTGTTTTGGTTTTTTTTTTTTTTTTTGGCCCCTCCAAAAAAGGTTCGCTCTGAACGAAAATTTGACATAGGTTATATGTCATTTCTTAGGCAGTATAGATGGTTATGCCTGAAAAGGGGACCACTTTTCCAGAAAAACAACCCGCCTTGAAATTGCTGGCTTATAGTCTGGGAAACGGTTAACAAAATGAAGAGTTACTGTACATGCTAGTCTGTATTTTAGTATCACAAAAGTTTTCGGTCTCTCCATCTAAAGCTGTTGTTATCAACTAACACCAAGAAAAGAATGGCGCTCGTTTTGAGAACCTCTGTATAAATGTCTCTCCACTAGCTGTCCTTGGCCTACCAGGGCCATAACCACTCTTACTCCTCTCCACTGTGACCACGGGCATTTGGACCAACTGAACCGGAGACTTCCCATCTCTAAGGGCTTGGCTTAGGTTTAAAATCTGAAAATTGAATAAAATTTGTATCAATTTCTTTCCCTTTTTCAACCACTTTTTGGTTTCATCTGAATATTATGCACGCAATTACCACATAAAATGCCAGAAGATTATTTTCATAATCATAATAAAACTGTCAGAAGATTTAAATAAAAAGTAAATCTAACATTTACACAAATAATTTCTCATAAAATCATTCTGATATCTTACCTGTCCTCTCATCACAGACATCTGCTTTTCAAATGTCCTTTTGTCAAAACCCTTATCAGTCTGAAGAAAGAAAGGAAACCAGGGCATAAACAAACTGCAATCTGATTAAATATGCTACGACACCAGCAGAATTTCCACCTACACATAGAACTCATTTCAATATTTCACGACTTACAAATGTGCAGTCAGCACAGTTTTTTTTGTCTCTTTCATCGACTCTGACAACAATTAGATCTTTACTTCAAGCTAGACTGAATTATTCTGAACTTCAATCATTAATATTTTGCAGTGTATATGATGGACCCTACTATGCCTACATGCTCACCTTAAAGAGAAGGTACAATTCATCACAAAGATCTTCTACAAAGGTCATATCAGACAACTGAGGAAGCACTAAACTTTTGAGTTCTTCTGAAAATGGCTTTTTGGCCATAGGCAACCATGCCCAATGGTAAGGGTCTGCAAGCAACATAGAAATTCATTTCTTTATTTAGAACAATAATAAACAACAGTAAAATATAAACAATTTAAAAAAAAATGAAATAAAACAAATAAATAACAAACTGAGATGTTCCATACTGATAGCTTAAATAGCATCATTCTAAACATTTACTTAAAGAAATATACTAAATGAATGCTATAAATTGTACGAAAAGAAATTGTTTTATGAGGAGACTATTACTAAAGCATGGGCAAGGACTTCTAGAACTTCATATCTCAAACACACCATCTGTGAAAATAATGGTTATAATGTGCCTCTGGTGATTGAATTAACCACTGGAGATATGCACATATATTTGTTAAAGAGCTGATTCTACATTTAAACATGCAAGAAGCAGTCAGCTGTGCTTGACACCACTTACATGCCCTCCACTCATCTGGGTGCTTGAAGGGGAATGCTAGGCCATTGTCTATAGCTGCCACAGAGATTTCAGGGGGTTTCACCATACTCCAGTCCACATCCTGTTAGTTAGTAGAGAGATATAGAGAGAGACAGAATATATAGCTATCCAACTTGATCAATGACAGCAGAAAAATATAAGCGTTATGCAGATTGATAGTGGTGCTGTGGAACTAACTATATGTGCAGTTGAACATGCAAGTGTGCAACTGCTAATGTGTGGAAGCATTAGTAGCTTGTTAGCTGTGTCACCACAGGCAGCGGGGCAAATACTATATCCCACTTCTTCTATGGTCTACCAGTGACTTACATGCCCTCCAGCTGTCTGGATGTTTATAGGGAAATGCCAGACCATTGTCTATGGCTTTCACCTGGATAGACGGGGGCTTTACCATGCCCCAGTCCATCTCATCATCATCATCATCATCCTCATCATCCGCCTAGAATTGAGTTTTGCCCCCATTAAACTTGATCATATGCTGATAAGTTACAAACCTTAAAATGTTCACTGCTGCTATAGACGTATAATATTTGTCACAATATACATAAATATTACATTGTAAAGACTGATCAAATGATTTTATGATTTTACACAATATCAAATTACACAAAAATAAATAAATAAATAAATAAATAAATAAATAAATAAATAAATATCTTTGATCAGTTTCAACAAAGATCAATCATTAGTCCTTACATCATCCTCATCCCCTCCTGAAGACTCGTCTACTTCAGATTTCTCATATTTAATTAACCAATTATCATTGCCACGGTCTGAAAACAACAGTAAATTAAATATCAGACACTTCATAAAGTAGCTGGCACTTTAATCAAAGTGAAATAATTCCTTAAGTGTACACTGTTAAAAAGATATTAAACTGCAATTCAAAATGATACTCTAAAACTACCATCCTTACTCTAAACATGTTAAACATAGGAATTTGGGGTGTCAGCAGGGGAATAAATCATGTGCTAAAATTGGTGAGAATTTCATCTATTAGGGTTCAATAGGAAAATGGAATTCTGATGTGTTATAGAATATAAAATCATTAAACAATTTTACCTGTATTTCTTATGATATAATCCAAAACCACTAATTTTTCAAACTGAAGTTGGAAACTTTTTGCTGTTGACTCTGGTAATGCTTCATTGTCAAACCTTCGTAACCAGAAATCTGCATCTTTATAATTCTCTACAAACAACTGGAATGATCCACTCTGAAATAAATGATTAAATTTAGAAAGACAAACTCAATGTAATGAGAGAAACAGAGACTGTACACAGCAACATCATGTGCAAGTTTAAAATTTAAATTCTTAGTGAAATAAATAATTATCAATTAATGCAACACTCACTTTTGGAGGTAAGCCAATTCTGTGAAAATGTCTGCCAAGTTCTGGAAACCTTTCCTGTATGTTTCTTTTTGTCCTCGACTTTGCCCTGTCTATTGCACTGTAATTGAAGGTTTCACTGGCAAGGCGAACCACCTGGCAAATAAAAAAAATCCAGAACGCAAATTTAAAGCAAAAGAAGAGACGATTTTCAAACATTTTCAAATGCTTCTGGCAACAAGAAATAACCAGGGATCTGGCAAGCGATTTGGCTCCAGAAAAAGCTCTGGCAACATCACCAGACTAGAACTGATTTGTTCAGAACAAAATAACACAAAACTTTTGTCATTCATTATAAGGGAGGCACCATTAAATTTTCATTACATAGACATTTCCAATGCCCAAAAGGCCTTGTTAAACCTGAATTACTTATTATTCCACCATTTCCCCACAATTTAGACATAGGGTAATTTCACAAACAAGGCCTTGTTATGTTTTTATCATAAATCCTACTAATGAATGTTATAATGTACATCAGTATATTCATCTTATTGTTACCATGGCTTCACTAAATGAAGAATGAGCACACTGACTATATCGTTATGAGGGAAACTTCCAAAGAAGGAAATACATATATTAAACTACCTGGCTTTATAAAAAAAGAAAGGATGCAAATAATAATAATAATAACACAGTGTAATCATAAAACTGTGACACCTTTAAAAAAGAAACACCAAACCTATTTATCTATAGTGTTCCGATAAAAAAAAACTATAAGCTCAGTCCAAACATACCATTATCAAAAATACATCATTGGTCTTTTATGATGAAACAACTTTTCACAGTTGAAGACATCGAGAAGATAAATATTTCATATGCTGAGAAGTAACAAAACATTTCTCCATCAATAACAAAGGAATATTAACACCACTTTTTCATGGCTGAAACAACTGTGCTACACACACACACACACACACACACACACACACACACACACAGTGTATCTTTTCCCCTTACCTTTGTTTTAGGCACCACATTCAACTGTAACTTTTGGTCCACAATGCTAGCACCAGCCTCTGAGAGATAGCCCTGGTTGGGGACCAGACAGCTCCGGCCGAAACAACATGGGCAGCACAGCTTGTGCATCCATTTGGTCCACTTAGGGTTCAGTTTGCCATACGGCTCTTCATCTTTGGGTTTGAAGACACCAAGTATTTTCTGAAATAAAAACAAAGATTTAATTGCCTCTCAAAGAGTAAAACTTTCCAGTAATAAAACAATGGGTCTCTTTACAGGCCATTATTTAAGCTTGAAAATATCATATCTATCCAGAATATATTCATGCTAAATATTAAATATTTCATCTCCAAATTATCTGTTTCTATATTTCTAATCTTTACCACAATCTGCAACCCATATAAACCAATGTTTATACATGCGTAAGTGAATAATAACTGCCAAACCATTCACTGTCAAGGCCCTGTTATAAAATTACATTCATCAGGCAATGTAGATGTTTAATTTAGAATGTACACTGACAACAGGCTAGCTTGCCAAAGGAACAGTTCTAAAAATATGTGTATCTATAGATGAACACATTGTTACAACAATGTCCTCTACACCCCAATAAAAAACAGAGAATGTGTATAAATGGCAATTTTCAGTGGCATTCATGAGATCATTAATGGACATAGCACACTGGGGAAGTTATATTTCCTGAAAAGAGAGATTAAGGTGAAAATTTACATATGGCAATAAATTAGTGAGCAACTTGATGATATACTTATTTCATTCCTGGCTCTTGCAATTTAATCAATGGGCTGTTTACAGGTGGCTTAATGTTCAATTGATCCTAACTAAAGCCTGGAATCTTATGGAAGAAATTACACAAAAACGTAACTCTATATATGGGCCCTAGGATTAAAAAAAAATAAAAAAAGGGACCCATAGCACTCAGTCTGAAGATATATAATTACATACTAGGAGTGATTGATTTTTTTCCTGTTGTGTAATTAATCTTTACATAAAATAAACCTTTGTATCAATAGTTTTAATAACACTACAAGTGACATGGACAGTTCTAAAAAAGGCACGCCCACGCTTTTATCTGTCCAAGAAAATAATGAACTTAATAAGTATTGAATCCTGGTAGAAGGACAGAAACGTGTTGTTCAGACACAGAGATCCACACTCGCAGCTAAATCAAGCAAGGCAGTTCATAATAGGCTTCATTCATAGCAGGTTACTGACGTGTATAAACTTTACAAAACTATCAGGGCACATGTAAATAATATCCTCAATAACACAGATAAAGGCCGTGTGAGAGACGTGTGAGACGATTGCTTATCAGCAGGTGGGAGTGAAGTACCTAAAATAAATATGTCTGTAAATCTTTAAATATGACTTCCAAGCCAACATGGATATCTCTGCTGCTACAGTACCATTCTTAGGGACCTTTGAAGAATTATACAGGTTACAGAGTGGAGAATATCCTTCATCAGTGACACCAACATGACAATCACAACAAAATGTACAACATTTCATCCTCAGTCAGTAATATCAACCCAATCAACTCACACCAGTGCGATCCTTGATGAAATAACTGCCACTCGAGCCACTCGTTATTAACTCAGGCAAAACTCCTTCTTCAATGGCAAACTCCACATCACGTATCACTTGAGAAAACTCCAGATCATTATCAAAAGTATTCACAAATGTTCCAAATGTCACATCAGGAGCCTGTACACCTTGTGGAATGATATGCTGGTCCTCTGACGGAGTCCTGTCCCCTAAATCCGGCTCAATGGCAGTGGCCATATTGGCAGCTTGCTCACGTGGAAGTGAAACTAAGCACCTCTCTGTTCTTAATGACTGAAATTACATCTCAGCCAAGTGTATATGTACTGCTTGAATCATGTCAAGCCAATCTCATTATAGTGATAATAACATATGTCTCCTAATTCTCTCTGTCAGTAGACTGTATATATGCTGCAGGTTTCATATACAGGTAGCCTTCTAGGTCAAATACAATATTCAGTGGCTGCTGTGTGGTGGCATACCTATGACTTAACGACTGAGGTCAACTGAATTTGTGTCACTCGAGTTGTTTACCTTGCCTTCTTACACTATATTGATTTCTTTGTGTTGCCCATAACAAAACTAAAAGTTCACACTATAAATGGCTATTTTGAGAAGTGAGCAATGTAATTTGCCCATTTCATATGCTAATTTCCATTTCCACTTTCATCTTCAGCACCATATGGAAAAATTCCCATACCACTATAATATAACACAAACACATTACTGTTTTGACTTTTTCCACTCGCTTCAAAATGCTCATGTGATTTGGAGGACAAGACAGTCCACTTAGTCTGGCTGTAATATTAAATAAATCATTAATTTCAGAATATATAATATTGCCTGTGGAATTGTGGAAGTGTAGCCACGCTGTAATGCCACTCAGAAGATGGAGAAAGTATTTAATGAACAGCTTGTCTCCTACTGAAAACAAATAACAGACAGCATTACAGCAAATAGGGAATAAACCTGATGCTATGGCAAATTAAGGAAAAGGTCACTTCTACAATAATAAATCAATCTGATATTTTGTTTCAACTTGGGAATTAACTTAGCAACTTCTTGATGTAATACTTGTGAAAAAAATCTGAAGAAAGAATATGACACCTTGTGCTGCCCTCTATTGAGTCAAAAAGTAATTGAAAGTGAGAGCTATATTTTATTGAAATGTAACAAGGAGGTTAAAATGCTTTTTAAATATAATTCAAAGCAAATATCATTCTACCCTAAAAATCATTCCAAATCTTAATTACTGGAAAATTCTTACTATAACAAATACTATACCTATAACTAATCAAATAGCCATGTAGCAAATGTTTTGAACATCCCCATGTGAAAATTTTCTTTCTGAACCATTTGTATAATACAGAAATATCATTCAACTGTCAACATTGATTAAAACATGCAAATTATAGTTACATCCAACAAAATATTCTTAAGTAAACTCATTCAGCTGGGTTTATCTGAGATGTTACTGACAATAAAAATGCTAATAATATGCCAATAATTTATTCATTTTTAAAATTTTAAATTTAAATGTTTTAAATTTAAAGTTTTGTTTTTGAAAACTTCAAAAGTTATAAAAACACAAAACTTTTTAAATTAAAAAAGGAAATTTAAATCTTAGCATGTATGAAGAAAAAAAGAAAAATTTCCAAAGAAAGTTTTTTGTTGCAATTTTATAAGAGGAGAATGACCTCCCATTTTTATCATAATTACAGATACAAACTTGAATGACCTATATCTTTTTCAGCTTAAGTTCAAAAATACCACCAAACTCAAACTTGAAGTGTATTGCTTAATTTTCCAACCATTAACTTTTTTTAAGTTTATAATTTAAATATATACTAAGTATAAAGATTAAAGCACAAATTAGATGAACATCAATTGGATAGGCCAACCTATTTTCACAAACAAAGATAAACAGTCCAGAAATACATTTGCTGGTGTCTCCTGATAAGCAGCACATGTCACAAGTGTGTATAGTGATTCAACCATTTCTGTACTGAAAATAGGATGTAATTTGTGTGATGTCAAAAGAATACTAAAACAGACCACATAAAGACGCTTTAAGAGAGGACCTCTCTCAATCATGAACAAGCACGCTTTATTTTGCCTCTACAATGTTAACAGTATACAAAAGTGGAAAACAGAAAATGTGGACATACAAACTCCACATTTCATATAAAATTTACTAATCAAAGCAACACCATTAGCATGCACATTCTAAAATATCCCCTTTGGCATTCAAACCTAATTTTGGTCCCAAGGGAGAATTAAACTGATTTTATTACATTTTTTACCTGCACACCAAAGTGAAACAGGATGTATTTGTCACAGGTTGAGACTGAATAAAATATATTTCTAGACTTATTTCCTGGTGACAAAGAAATAATGAAATGCAACTAATTTATTTAAATGTTTAATAATTATAATACAAAACATCATCTTTTGTGATATAAATGCTGAATGACTACATTAATTTTTTTAAAAAACTTTTCTAATAAATAAATAAAGTCATTACTTTATTTTAGAAAAGCAAAGGTTCAACTCATATCGATGGGAAAATGCAAACTTTTGAGGTGCATATAATTTTCATGATGCTAAAAGCTAAAAAAAATAGTAAATTCCTGGTTGCAATTGATTCTCTGAGCCATTGTCCTACATGAAAGCATAGCACAACAATAATGTAAATAACCAGAGACTAGATCAATATCAGGTTTTCAACCATCAATAGGTTTCTATGACTATTTTTGTCTTGCAAATCCACAAGTGTATACAAATGAAAGTAAACATTCACTAAACTATAACATTCACTCTTATGAATTCCAAGCCTAGAATACTTAAATATATCTGGTAAAAGCTATCTATCTATGCATCTATGCTATTAGCTTAAAATTGTCTAGATAGAAAGATAATTTATTACAAGCATGCATCTTCAAATAATAATAAATTCAGGATGATCACATTTAACATAGCAGCTGTTAAAACACATGCACCTCCTCAACCTGTGAAAATATACAATATCAAAGCAGCTAGCTCAAATATATAGAAAATTTATACAGTACTATATAAGCTGTCTGCAACATCCACAATAACCATTCACTTTATATCAATATATATTATGGCTAGGCTTTATTTTTTTAGCACTTTGTTCAGTAACTGGCCATTGCTTTCTGCTTTGGGGGAGTAGCAGAGGTGCAAACATGAGAAGAAATTTAAACTTTCTGTGAATTTATTCCCAATGGATGACCATGAATACTCATACCTGGAAGATAATTCTGGAACTTTCTACATCTAATCTGCGAGCAGAAAAAAAGGTCTATATCGGAGAGACTACTGGGTTAACCCTTGGTGACACTGTCAAAGTACTAGTAAATTCTTATAGGCCCTGCATGGTAGCCTGTACTGTAGGCTAATGTTTTGGGAAAAGACTGTATATACACTACTAGTGTACATTCAAAAATGCCTGAGAGAATTGTTTGAAAGTAATAAATCTAATTTACATGTCTCAGAAAAATGGGGAAAACTGGTAGAAACTCACCCCGTCTGTATTTTTCACAAAATAACTGCCACTTGAGCCTTGGCTAATCCTCTCTGGGAAAACCCCTGCATCGATTGTCTGTTCAGCTTGGCGAATTATACTGGTAAACTGAGGGTCGTCTGTGAAATGATTGAAGTACAAAGGCCCATGCTCTTCTTCTATCCTAGCCAACAACGGCGTGTTCTCTCTGTCGCTTCTTGTCGGGGAGCGAGGAGACGACAACCGAGTGGACTCGACGGCTGATGGTGCGAAAGTGACATCAGGCGGAGGCGCAATTTGGGCCTCTAAAACAGACCTCATCTGCGAGTCTCGACTCATTGATAACCGTCTTAGACTTCCTTTGAAGTAGCCTTCTGTCGCCACAAAATAGTCATCGACATCCAGCGTCTTTTTTCAAAAATGAAACGAATGATACTATCATGTAATTATTGACAATGATGACCAAGGAAAGTCAGGTGCACATTGACACGGAGTCAGTCTGTTTGTGCCCGGTTTTTTGTAGTTTCGAAAACTGTGAACGTTGCGATTTTCATATGATTAAGATAAAAAGTAAGAAAAAAATTGTAAGTTAAAAATATCTCGAAATCTAAATTTTTTTGTGATTTTTTCTATTTCTGGACAAATAATAATGCGCGAAACTAATAAAGCTAGCCTTAATTTTTCATAGCGAGACCAAAGCGTGCACAATGGCGGAGTCAGAGGAGCCGCAGCCGCATAACATGCAAAATGAGGATCAAGACATGCACAGTGACAATAGGATGGACGATATTAAGATCAACAGATACCCAACTAATCCAACAAGGGGGAGAGGTTTCTTTAGGGGACCAAGGTATGGCAAAAAGTCATTTTCCCCACACCTCAATGAAAAGGCATAAAAATTAAAATCCCAGGGGCCGGGATTTTAAATAAGCTGATTTAAATTGTTGTCTCATTTCATTTTCTGATTTTTGAATAAGAAAATTGCATTTGATTTCAAGGAAAACAAAAGTTATGAATTCTCTTTGAGAAATGCAATGTAATTAACTTCAAAAGAGCCATAATATTATGGTGCAGGCAGTATGAGGATTATTGATTTTGATTCATTGAAATGTCATGAAATAAAAGAAATTAATTTTCCTAAGATTTTTTTTTTCAAATGCAAGGAATACTGATTTTGATTGGTTGAAATGACATAAAAATATAAGAAATGAACTTTACTAGCATAAGAACTTTTTTCTAATGCAGGCCGCCACCATTTGGAAGAGGGCCTCCTCCACCACGTTTCCGAGGGCCCCCAGGTCCACACATGAGAGGGCCACCTCCCCCTCACATGAGAGGACCTCCACCCCCAGGTATGAGGCCCCCACCCAGGCCCCCCTTTGGAAGACCTCCATTTGACCATTATGGACCTCCACCAGGAATGGGACATCCTCCAGGGATGGGTCCACCTCCACCCCCAGGGATGCCACCACCACCGGGCATGCACCCACCCGGCATGGGACCACCGAGGATGCCACCACATGGCATGGTATGGTTTATATATATTCGCTGAGAAACTTAAAGGGATAATAACTCTTTTATGACATCTATATTTCACAATAAAAACATTGTGAACAACTCATAGAAATATAGTATATTCTGTTTTACCACAAAAATGGCAGTTATAGCTATTATTCCAATATCTGAGCTTGTCTTTAGACCACGTGACCTCCATTGATGCCTATACTCTGTTATAATCTCTTAAGAGATTATAAAAAAAAAAAAAACTTTTTAGAAAAAACCAGGGACTAACTTTGAATGTAAAAATGGATTCATTACCCATTGGTAAGTATGGGAAAATTGTTGTTTACTCCAGGAAAATTCATTTTTGGGCCAAAATGAAGAGTTATTATCCCTTTAAGCTAGGTTATATAATTATTGAATACAGGTAAAATTAAAAGCATTTAAATTGGTGCTGTTGTAGAATTATTTTGAAAATTGTGAAAAATAAGGGGAAAGTATGCAGGAATATCTTACACCAAAACACAATTGAATAAAAAAAAAGGGACTATGAAGACAAAATTACGCTCTTTTTTATCTTGTAGGGGCCTCCTCCCATGATGCCACCACCAGGCGTTCCACCTCCAAACTTCTCAGTGCCGCCACCAGGGTTTGGGTCTGGAGGGGACCAGAACAGTGGACAGGAGAACCAACAAAATGCTGATGGTTCACAAGAACTGTGGGTGGAAAATAAGACACCAGAAGGAAAGGTATGAAAAATATATGAGTCTTTGTGACTGACTTATGGAAAATGGGTTCAGTATCAAGTATGATTGAAAAAAATTCATTAGTTTATGTCAACAGATAAAAAATAGGTTGCTTAACCATGCTGTACTATTCTGTATATCATTTGGATAATATAGTTGATAGTTAAGTTTTTACATTTAATTATTTCATTTCAAGGTCTACTACTACAATGCCAGGACTAGGGAGTCTGCATGGACCAAGCCAGAGGGAGTGAAAATCATCACGCAGACAGAAGTGGAAAGTATGGCACAGCAAGCTCAGCAAGGCAGTACAGCACAGCCTGCTGCTACTGCAACACAGCAGTCAGGGGCTACCAGCACTGCAGCTGATACTACCATAGCACAAGGTGGGGGAACCATTGATATGGACACTATTAAAACTGATGTTCACAACTCAAAATTGGGATTTTTTTGAGAGAGAGCTTTTGGTCATTACCTGTGTGAAAAATTTTCAAACCCTCATCTGGACTTTATGAAAAACTAGTAAATCAATGGCTTAATCATTTCCCAATCTTAAATAAGCTAATAAATTAACAACTTAATCAATTCCCAATTTTAGTTCTAAGTACTGATATATTGATAACATGACACCCTATAGGTTAACTTCTTTTAGAGTGATTTGGTTCAGAGAAGCTCTGTTTTATTTTTCCAGCTCAGCCTGGTACCCCAGGTCATGTATCTGACCAGCAGCAAGTTCCACCCCACCAGGCCAGTGACCAGACCAATGCCCCACCTCATGGACATGGCTTTCCCCCTCCTGGGTTTCCACCTATGGGAGGACCAGGTGGGCCTGGCATGATGAGACCTGGGGGGCCACCTGGGATGCCACCTCCAGGTAAAATACTTTCCTTTACCTATACTACTATACTACTACTAATTTTCATTCAGTACTGTTTTTCACTGTAAGTAGATGTTTAGTTGTCTGTTAAGAGAGTACACTTGTTTATTGTTATGCTATTTTTCTCACTGAGGTAACAAGTCAGATGTGTTGGTATGAAAAAAAAAAACACTGAAAATAAGATGTAAGACACATACTTCTGGAGATATTTTAGAGGTTCTTAGTATGAAATTTCTGTGTCAGAATTTAATATAGTAAGGAATAAAAATTGAAAAGTACTGGTAAGTGTTCTTTTCCTCCTTCAAGGTATGTTTCCTCCTGGGTTTAACCCTGGAATGATGCCACCCCCAGGGTTTGGTCACCCCATGATGCAGCAGCCACCACCAGGGCAAGGACAGCCACAGGTAAATAAAATGCAGGTTTATCACATGTGTACAATACAGTTAATTTTCAACACTTTACATCTTCTGTATACTTGAGATTAGCTGCTTTGTCTGATTTTGTCTGGGCAAAAGTTACAAGAGTTTTTAAAGGATCATTCAGATAATGCAGCCCAAGCAGTTGTTGCATTATATATATATATTTCAACATACATTTGCTATTATTCCTGTTAGGCTCAGAAGCCACCAGAGGTTGCAGAATGGTCTGAACACAAAACAACTGATGGTCGGTCCTATTTTTACAACTCTCGCACATCTGAGTCTACTTGGGAAAAACCAAAGGCGTTGCAAGACTGGGAAGGTAAAGAATGATAAATGTTTGAGCTAATGTTGATGAGGAATGTTATTTGTTATGCCCTTGTAAATTTCTAAAATGTGAATTTACAAAATGTCATTGTGGAATTATAACTTTGTCTACTTTGAAATTTGTTTTCAAGATTTTATAAGGAAAAAAAAAAAAACTCTCATCAAATGCATTCTGAGACTGATTGTATTGCACTTGTTTCTTGTTTCAGAATCCCAAAATGCCGCTGCTCAAGCCGCCCCAGCAGCTGCTGCAGCAACCCCTGAGCAGACGACAGTCCAGACTAATGGTGGTCAGGAGATGGTGGCTATGAATGGAGGTCAGGAAGTTGAGACGGCCATGGAGGCTGAGGAGAGCCAAGAAGAGGAAAGATCAGAAGAGGTCTGAAAAGAATATCATTTATTTTTATTTTATTTTTGGGGGGAGGTTATATCATTGTAGTTATCATGTGATTATTGTAGCATGTTATTTAAATTTGAAGTTTTAATTGGCCCTGTTCTTCCTAGAAGGAGGAGGAAGAAGAGACTATGACAGAGGAACAGAAAGCTGCAGAGAAAGCCAAGCCCATTTCCAGCACCCCTGTCCCTGGAACACCTTGGTAAGATTGCGAAATATTCCCTTTTTAGTCTGCACTGTTAAATAATATATTTAACAGTGAAGAAACTCAGGATTGGCTAAAGATGGGGATTTGAATAATAGGTTTTTTAACTTGCACCTAATAGGTATAAATTTGGGAGTAAATGGATCTTCGCAATACTTCCACACAATACTCTCACATCATAATCAAACCAGTGACTTTCAGATTGAGGCTTTGATGCTTGACATTGCTTTTGATGTTCCAGGTGTGTTGTTTGGACTGGTGATGGTCGGGTGTTTTTCTACAACCCCAGTCAGAGACAGTCTGTTTGGGAGGTACCAGAGGACCTGCAGGGAAGACAAGACGTGGAAAAAATGATTCAAGGGCCCCCAGATGAGTCTGATGCTGGCAAAGGGGATGCATCATTAAGTAAGAGTATTTTTTCCATTTGTGAAACTTGTCGTATGTATTGTGATGAACTGAGTGAGTCACATTCAGTTAAACTGAGCACCAGTTTGTTGTATTCTTAATCTTTTGATGGGTATTTGTTTTAGGTGAAAAGATAAAATCTTTTAAACAAATTATGGAGAAATGGTATAGTTAATTGCTTTCTCTCACTCTGATAGATGAATGAGTTTGTTAATACTACCTTATGAACTGATAGGCTGATATTTAATCTGCTCTTTTCCATAGGCAAAAAGCAGAAGTCAGAATCAAATGAGGAAGAACCAAAATCAAAGAAGAAAAAGTAAGTAACTGAGTTCAATAACATATTTTTTTTAGCTTTTCAAGAATTCTGAAAGTGAAAAGGAAAGTTTAAAAAATTCAAATATAATTTTAAAAAAAGATTTAAAAGTGGAAATTTGCTCTCAGAGTCGAGAAGGAGGAGCCACAGGAGCAAGTGCCTGTGAAACAGGAGAAAGAACCAAAGAAGATAGATGCTGGAAAGGAGGCAGCCATTGAGGCCGAGGTGAAAGCTGCCAGGGAGAGAGCCATCATTCCACTGGAGATCAGGATGAAGCAATTTAGAGACATGCTGGCAGAAAAGGAGGTGAGCACTGATACCAGTTTTTTGTCTGATTGGTTTACACATTTTTCCAGAAGCCTACGTCATTAATGTGGTTATATTATCTAGGACATATGTCATTTCATTTCTTATTGAACCATTGGCCCTTTTCACAACAAATCATTATAGAGCCTTATAGATATCGTCTGTTTATATTGGGTGAAACAACAAGTGAAATTCAGAATTAATACTGTGCTTGTTTCCAGGTTTCTGCATTTTCCACATGGGAAAAGGAGCTTCACAAGATAGTGTTTGACCCTCGCTACTTGTTGTTAACATCCAAGGAGAGGAAACAGGTGTTCGACCAGTATGTGAAGGAGCGTGCAGAAGAGGAGCGACGCGAGAAGAGGAACAAGCTGAAGGAGAAAAAGGAACTTTTCAGGCAACTACTAGAGGAAGCTAAACTGCATGGAAAGTAAGTTTAAAAAAAGAAAATGTCAATGGTTTTCTTAATTTCATTTTTGTCTTGACAATATTCAGGTAAATGGGACCAGTTTACAGTTAGATTGGATTTATTTGGGAATCCAAGTGATATTAACTTATCTGTTTGTCCTTTTGCTTCTATTTCAGATCTTCCTTCAGTGACTTTGCTTCAAAGTATGGGAAAGATGAGAGATTCAAAGGAATAGAGAAGATGAGGGAGAGAGAGGCACTATTCAGTGATTATGTGGCTGATCAAAGAAAGAGGGAGAAAGAAGAAAAATCATACCAAAAGGAAAAGGTAGGGACAGGTGACAGGTCAACTTTTTTTGTGAGAAATGGTTAAATTATTTTATATTTTACCTACTAGAAACTTGTAAGGTAATGTTTACAGTTGAAATGTATGAATTATAACTTGAAAAGTAATGTCGACAGTTGAAATGTATGAATTACACGTTTATTAGATGACCATTAAGCGTATTTGCTGTAACGGACAACTCAGTTTTGGATCATTATAAATTTAATAAGATCTGTATGAATAGTGTAATACTTTGAAGTAAAACATTTGTATGTTTTGAATTAAATGAATCACTTTTGCACATTAAAATATTGTAACTAATGAATAGAATTTGTTTCAGACTGTCGGAGTAGATTCACATATTCTTGAAATATTTGCAAAAATCATATTAACAAAAATGAATTCCAAAACATTTTCAAATTGTATTCTTTTTTTAATTTGGAATTTTTAATTATCGATGAATATAACACTATGCTCATATTCAGGAATATGTAGGCCTACATAAAAATTTGTTGCTTTGATTTAATACTTGCTATGTAGATATAAATCTGACTTAATATATATTTGTCTTTTTAAAGTTTATTGTTGACATCTGTTGTTTCAGCATTTGAATACTTTTCAGAGTGTAATTGCAATACATGTATAAAATTTAGTAAAGAGATTTATCATTTTACATTTTTTTCATTTGTATTATTTTTATACAACAGCACAGTTAAAAGTAAATTCCAAGATTTTAGATAAAGTAAATTCTGTTTTAAGTAAAAGGGTACATAATTTTACAGTAATTTCATTTTCTTAATAATACAGTTATTAGCATAATTTTTTGCCTAAATTCCTTCATCAGCATTCATTCTTAGCTAATGCCAGCCTATTCCTATACCTTTTCAAACCGAAGAGCACCATACAGTTGTTAGGCGAAGGCAGTTGAAATCAGCCATCATTTTGTGAAGGCGTGCATTGCAAATAACACAGCAAGCCACTTTGAAAGCTCAGATGCAATAATTGCCGATAAAGGTTGATACATACCGGTATTTTGTGTTATCTAAGTAGTATATTTTTCCTGAATTGTTTTGATAAAATGGTCATGACATAATGCACACTAGTGTATTTGTAAGGTTGAGTAGTATTTTGATATCATTAAATGGGAAATTTGATACTTTTGATACGTGCACAGTGTGGGTGCTTTTTTTGAAATTTTCTTTGTTATTCAACTTCATTTCATCTTAAGCGTCTAAAGTTTAATGCAATTTGGTTTGTTTTCTGAAGAAAAAAATGGGTGTTGATGAATTAAAAGAGTTCAAAGTCTTGAAGTGGAACTCGCCACTTGTAAGATTTGGAACAAAGCAAACATTTTGATCAATTCGCAACAGCTATAGATGAGACGAAGTTATGGTAATTTATGTGTATTTGTATTCCTGGATGATTAAAAAGAAGTTTTTATGCAATTAGAATTGTAGAGATATTCTGATAAAATGACTGGTTGTATCATGTTCCACTAGAGATGTTGCAGATGGCTGCTGCAAGTTTCAAATATGTCTACTTTAAGGGGGATGGGGGGGGCTACCTTTGAATTTTTGCCTTGAAATGGAAAACGAAGTTTTAAAAAGAAATGTGATTTTCTATTAGATGTTAAAAAGCTGGGGTTTGTAGTGAGGGCATCTAGCCCCATGATTTCATATTGTGAATTTCCAAAAATGTTTTAGGTTTGCCGTTTTATACATTACTATCTGTTAGCTTGCAGGTAGTCATCTGGAACCTAGGTGAACTGCCAATGGGTTCATAAAAATATAATGGCTACATAAAGATTGTTTAATCTAAAATATATAAATACTTTTATAATATTTTTCTTAGCAATACTTTATTTTACATCTTAACAAGAAGAATTAAAGTAAGCGTTAGCAGTTTAGATTGTAATACTCACCATATAAGTTAAAACATGATTATAATAGTTAAACACTTTGTTGTAGTGAGGTAAAAAAAAATGGACATAAAATGTAACTTTTATACAGCAATCTATTATAAATCTTACGCCACCATTTTTTCATTTCTCTTCTTCATATCACAAGTGCTTTACCTTGTGACTCTTGTTATGCAGGGACCATTGTTATAAATGGGCAGCTTATAAGAAGCTCTTCCTTTTCAGATCTCTGGCTGTTGTTCTGGCAAATGTTCTATTTATGATTGGTTTCAAAATGATTGTCTCTGTGTGATCCTAAAAATGGTAATATTTGGCCACATCTCTGCAGTGTTGGCTGAAAGTCGAGAAGTCTGCAGGAAAATGCAGATGACACTTTGGTCAGATTACAGATCTGATTAATAAAAGCACGTTAATCAGATTTGTTTGCGCTGCGGAGGAGAACACAGTTTTCTTGTGTCAAAATTTCTTGAACAATTCCAACCCCTTCCTACCTCTTTTTCAACACAGGGACAGTACTTAACTAATTATAATCCATTTCAGGTTTAGCAGATAGGGTGATTTTATATCCTTTCTAACACAATTTCCCCATTTTTCAGCTCAAGGCTGACTATATCCAGCTCCTGAAAGAAACCACGGAAATTGACTCTCGCTCACGTTGGAGTGAGACCAAGAAGAAAATTGAGTCAGATCCTCGTTATAAAGCAATAGACAGCAGTTCTCGTAGAGAAGATTGGTTCAGGGACTATGTCAAAACCCTGGAAGAGGTGAGTATTTTAGGTACTCCAAGTGAACTTTTGAATCATGATGTCTTGTTTTATTTTGTGGAGTTAAAAAAGCACAGCCCTGTTTTTGTAATGGATAATCTTGGCACAACCTTAAACAAATGTGACCACGTCTTCTTGCAGGAATCTGATGAGGAAGAAAGGGAAAAAAGGGAAAAGCAGGAAAGAGTTGAAGCCAGCATTAGAAAACGTGAGGAAGAAGTTCAGAAAACCCTATCCTCGTCCCTGCGAGAACGCGACAAGGAAAGAGAGCAACATAAAAGGGATGAATCAGTGCAGAGTTTCAAAGCTTTGCTGTCGGACTTGGTAAGACAAAGTTTGTAATTTATGTTGTTATTTGGTCACAAAATGGATCAAGTTATCACAACTTAAGAAGTTTAGATATTGCCATATTTATGAGAGAAAACTGATATTGTACGTTATTTGAGGGTGAAGTTTGATTTTGAATGATTACTACAAAAGGTACTTTGAGTCATCCTACTATTTGTGAATGCCATATTTTATGATTTCTCTCTTTTTCTGTTTTTACATAGGTTCGCAACTCGGACGTGTCTTGGAGAGATGCCAGGAAGACACTGAGGAAAGATCATAGATGGGAGGATTGTGAATCCATTGAACGTGATGAAAAAGAGAAGATATTTGAACAACACATTGAAGCTTTGAATAAGAAGAATAAGGAGATGTTTCATAAGCTGTTGGATGAAACCACTGAGGTATAAAGATGGAATTATTGAATGTAAAAATGAATTTCATATATTATTATCTTGTAATGACAGATCACAGTTCATACTTGTAGTTAGTTATATTGTTTTAACATGGGAAATGTGTTACACATTTTTATACAGTTGATGATGATTTTTATTCCTATTTCTTCAAGGTCAACTTATCGTCCACCTGGAAGGAAGTGAAGAAATTGATCAAGGAGGATCCCAGATATACAAAGTTTTCTTCCAGTGATAGGGTAGGTACAGACAAGTTTTCTCTTTAACTCTTGTTCTCAAAGTAGAGCCTAAAGATTAAAAATTTTTCATTATGTCCCATCAAAAAGTTTTCTATAAAGCACTGTCATGATGTTTTTGCACATTTTATATTTTAGAAGCGGGAAAGGGAATTTTGTGAATTTATCCACGAGAAGTATGTCCAGGCAAAGACTGATTTTAGAGAGCTGCTGAAAGAGTGCAAGATTATTACACACAAGTGAGTTTTAAAAAATGTGATGGATGTTTGTGTAAATAGAAAAAGATACATGAATGAAAAAGAAATAAATACTTTGGTAATTGTGATGGATTATGGTGTTGTAAATAAATTGACAATTGTAAGTTGAAAAGAAAAATTGTATTTTTACTCTTTTCAGTTGCTCCTGCTGAGGCACTGTGTAGATGATGTAATATCATAATTTGTATATATTCTAGGTCCAAGAAATTAATTGAAGAAGGTGATGGCCATCTTAAAGATGTTGCAGCTGTCCTAGAGGTAGGCAGAACATGTTCAACTCTGTAGCCCTTATGCTTTTGTGCCAACTTTTATGGTGACATTTCATAGTTCATGGTGAAAATCGCAGGTCTAGTCTTTGACATGGTAGAAATGTCCTAAAAATCTCAGGAAGACTTGATTTTGATGCAATCTTCGACTTATTTATATCAAAAATGGTGTCCAAGTTATCTGGTTACTAATTTCAGATTTTTGTAGAAAATCACCAATCTGCTTTCGCATAATCCCAGGCACCATGTTTATGTGAGATAAATCTGTGTAACATGTTCCTCTTCCCTCGAATGTTTCAGAATGACAAGCGTTACCTGGTCCTGGACTGTGATCCAGATGAGAGGAAGAAAATGATAGTGGCTTACATTGAGGACTTGGAACGCAAAGGCCCGCCACCCCCACCCACAGCCAGTGAGCCCTCTAGAAGGAAATAGGTTCAGAGGTTCCACCTCGGGCATTGCGTTGACGTTTGCCACAACTGATTCTGTCTGTTGGGACACTTTTTTTTAATCATTTGGAAAAAAAGGAAACATTTGATGTCCGTCTTGGAAAACTCTAAGCCCATTTGTCAGTACTTGTAGTGATATTTAGAAAGAGCGAATCATGGTTAAAGTTTAATCAGATGAACAGCAAAATGAAGTTTCCAAAGGATGTAACCTCGAAAGACTAATTGTAATGTTTATTTTAAACATCTGTAATCGTTTTACTGCTAGTTTTTAGTAAGAATTTATAACTGTAGAGAAAGTGTATGAACAATAAAATTCTTATTTCACATGCTAATGGATATTAGTCTTTGAGGAATTTCAGGATGTGACACAGGTATTGCTGCAAGTTTTATGAAATGCCATTAAGAACCCTATTCTAAGCAGTAAAACCCACCTGTCACAATTTTGCAAAGCTTTTAGTACAACTACAAAAAGAAAAAACTGAAGGTTTGCAAATTTTGCTTCACTATTTCATTTATTGTAACTGTACATAAAATTATTCAACATTCCTAGTTTCTGTGCATGCAATTCATCCAACAATAACCTTTCAAAATTGCAGTACCAGATCCAGTTTCATCACACTAGTTACTAGTACATTCTACGACTGGGCAGTCAACACATCACAATCACTTATACTCGACCTGATATCACACCACTTAATGAAATGGTCAAATATTTAATCAATATGTATATATGTATATTTGCAAAATGAGGCTTATGACTAAAATCTACGAAAATGTGTTCAATGGTGCCAATAACTTGCCGTCCTGGATTTTCTAAAATGTCTTCGATAGTAAACCACTTCTAAATCCCAATACACAAGATATGAGAGAATGCATTTATCCCATTCTGCAGTTAAATTTAATTGATAAATTCCCCACATATGGAAAACGTTCACAAAACAGGAATTGTATAATTGTTCTTCAAACCCTCAATAATATTCTACCATAGGTGCCACAAAGCTTAACCAGTACTTCAATGATAATTTTGAAGTGTAGTACATATTCAGTTTACAGAGATAAACCAAGTGAAGTGTTCAGTATTTCTCCTTCACACAGTAACATTTCTCAAACCAAGTTTGTACACATGCTATACAATTTTTGTAGTAACATTTGTGACATAAACTATCAATTTAAATTATACAGCTTTCTTTGTACAGAAAGGTTAAAGTTGTATTAAATCATCAAGAAAACGAAAAAAATATATATTTCCACATCTTTGTCTAGACAACTAATTACATCTGTTGTCAGTTTTCTTTTCTTTTTTTTTTTACTCAGATAAATTCCTTCATATCCTGCCATTGAATATTGGAAATCCTATCTGGTGAAGACATTCACCAATTTCTTTCGCCTCACAGAAAATATCCCTGGCTGGTTTAATTCAATTTTTCCCAATTGGTCAAATTTATTCCAGTTTTATCAATCTGCAATGCAGTCCTTTCCATCCCTCTCTCTTTTTTTTCTGAGCTTTCTGCCAGTTTTTTTACCAGCTTATCTATCACCTGGTCACATTGGCAAGACTTCAGTTTTAGTTTGAGCCGCCTACTTTCGCTATAAGTTCATCACAGATGGCTGCTAGCTCTTTATTTTCTCTCACCTGTAAAATTTTAAAGATACATATTTTACTTCCAATCACAGTTTTGTAATACTTAAGGCATGAAGATGCAGACTCATTATCAACAGCAAATGACACACATTAAAATGCATGAAACTATCTTCATTAATGAGTGGCATTATAGGGACAAAAATACATCATAATCAGATCACACATAATGCAAAGTAAATAGAACATCCACATAATGAGAAATTATTCATGTACCAAAATACAACATGTATAAATAAGTGTATGTAATTGAATCATTTTGACATACAATACAGTTTAAGCCTACCTTCTGCTCATAACTCTCTTCTATGCTCTGTGCCCTTAGTTCTGCTTTCTTCAGAGCTAACTGCAGAGTGGCAATCTCTGCCGAGGTGGTCTTACGAATGTCTTCCACCATGTTATTGGCTCTAAATTAAAACAATATATATATATATATATATTTATATAGGTCATAAAATAGAGGAAATAATAGGTTTTAGTTGTCCGTTGTGTAATATTGAAATGTTGAAATGTTAAATGGTTTTGTTATTTTTTCTACCAACGAGGCATTACTTTAAGGGATCACACTGAGGACTCATGTGAACATGGCTGTATGAAGGGTCAAATGCCTTTTCGATAGAAAAAAGTTTTCATCTCTTTAGAAAATATTTGCCGCTTTATCATCATACCACATACAATTTCAAACAGCCTGCTTGCATTCCAAATAGGTATGTTGATGAGTTTTACAGATGGAGCCCAAATCATCACAGCTGAAAAGAGGGTTTATGCTTACGTTTCCAATTTTTCCTCTGCCTGTGCCTTGACTGTCTGATATTTCTGTTCTTCTGCTTTCAAGCGTTCTTGGTAGTCTGTGACACACTTCTTCAAAACTTGTTCATTCTACAGTGGAGAGATATTAAAACTCATTGATAAATCTATCATTACATTTTATCTAAATGGAAAAACATTTAATTACAACTGGGTAAAAAATTCGCTACAAAACTTTTCCACACCTCAAATTGAACCATCATATGCATTCCACATTTTCAAGAACAAATTAAAATAGCCACAGTAAAAGGACATGCTTAATTCCTTTTTCCTATTACACATGAAATACATGTTTACATGAAAGGAGTTTTTACATCAATTAATATTTAAGGTAAAAATGAGCCACTGAAAATTGTACCTTTTTAAATGCTGTGACTGCTTCTTTTGTCTTCTCATATCTCCTGTGCAGGTCAGAGAAGGCGGCCTCCACTGACTGCAGGTCTTCTACTGCCTGGTCTCTCTCTTTTAACACATCATCAACAGACTCTTTGGACACATTCTTCTCAGCTGGAAGACAGGATTCAATTCACAAGTTAACAACATTTGAAGAATCTCAGAGTCTATTACCACAAAAGACTTCTTATTTATCTTTATCAAAATTGCTATTATGTTTTCTTTTTCTTTTTTTTCCATTGGCTAACAAGAGAAAATCAAAACTAGAGTTGCATGGGGGCTTGGCTATTTACCAGTAGGGTCTTTACTGAGGTCATTAAAATTGCTTTTTGAGGTTATCCAGATGACCATTTATCCACAATACAGATCAATAGCTCAATCTAGTGCATAATACTATGAAAGCTCAGGAATACTTACAGATCATTTGAGATATTGTCTTCTCAAATTCTGCAACAATAGATCTGAAAAATAAATAAATAAATAAATACATACATACATCCTGGTTTACTAAAACCTATCCATGTAAGAGAACTGTTATGAGTCAAAGGTCTCTGAATGGACTATACCACATAAGGGTTCTTTTTACTATCAAAATCAATAAAGAAACACCTTCCAAACTCTCCAGAGATTCAAAATTCAGATATATCCTTACCCCATTTCTTTGTTGCTGGCTTGCAGCTGTTCTATCTGTTCCTGCAGTTTTTGATTTTCTTTCTGTTTCTTTTCTGTCTCTTTTTTCTGTTCCTGCAGCTTTTTGTCCCAGGTTCTCTCCTTGGCCAGCAGGCGTGCCTGGAAGTCCAACTCCATCTCTTGTTTCTTTGTGTTCCACTCGGCCTGGGAATACTTGAGCACCTAGACATTTGAGAGAAGAAGAGCATTTCAAAACCATTCACTATGGGCAAATTTGATGCCATTTGGCCTCTAATAACATACACTACAACAAATCAATTCTTACAAATACCAAGTTATTTGTATATTAGTATCAAATTCTGAAGTGAACTAAAATAGGCCCAAAACAATAACTACCTGTACTATGGCATCGGTGCCCATTCCCTCTGACGAGCCCATGGTGTCGGCTGTCTCTGAATGTGAGCTGTCTTGCAAACCACTGTCACTCAGCTGCTGAAATCATGACAAAGAGTGTTTAATCTACCAGAAGAATGTGGTTGTCAGAGTGTGGTCTGCATGCAACACCATGCTAAGCACAAGGGTCATCAAAGCACAGCGATCAACAAATGATTTTTAAATGGTATAAAATGCAAAGACATGGCAAACAATTCGTAAGAAACAAACAAACATCTATATCTGTCTAAAAGAATGCAAATCAAAATGAAACTGAAATGACAACTCCATCCATTTCTAATAGCAGAGGACCTGAAACCAAACTGTTAAAATCATAGGGAACAAATGCATCTGGGGTAGGTTTGCACATCACTCTAGAAGCAATCAACACAGCCACAGCTTCATTTCTATGAAAACAGAATGTCCCCAGTAAACATTTTATATTGTTGTCAATTAAAATAAACCAGACACTACTAAATCCTTTGCTAACCTTCTGACCAACATCTACAACTTCAGGATCCATGTTCTAGGACTAAATTTATTTAGCAAAAAAGCTGGAAGGAAAGCAAACACAACAGGTTAAAGAAGAGTCTACAATAGGTTACACAGGGCATAGCCTTTTTTTTAAATTGAAAAACGCAAAAATTAAAACTGAAATACAATGGTGTTTCAGCCATATGCACTGCCTGAAAATTAAACTCAAAGCAATGACATGCCAACGAAACAAAGGAGGGGTGGCAGCCATTGCATTCCCATCATGCACCCGAGCATTCTTGACAGCCTTGAAAAGGGCACCTACATCAGGGTCACAGCTGATGCGCACCACCTCCTCATGGTCAAACTGTAAAGGGCTATCGGGTCGGCCATTTTCCTGCGACCAACTCATACTCATACAATCCAAGGAATCTTGGGAAAGCACAGCTGAGTCGTCCATCTCTGAGGTCAGGCGAGGCATGTGATTGACCCATGTCTGCGTCAGCTCATGGCTACTCAGTGTGCTTTGGGGTTCTGACACAGTAGGCTGCGATGAAAATGAAATCGGTACGTTATCATTGGTACTTCATATATATTTATACATATGGTTTGTGACCCAATTATCATTATAAACATAAATCCTGTGGACCAAAATAAAAAGGCCGTTTTAAGATACAGCTTTATACTCATGAACAACACAGAGCCCGCTGCAGCAATAGTGAACTTACAACCAAACTGTACAACAACAAAACTAGGGAGTTGACATTGTTTTCAGGTACACAGAAGATTGAATGACAGCCAAAATTGCCACATCTCAGGAAAGCAAGACCAGAAAGCTTCATAAAATGCTGTAATGTTGAGCAACATAGGCAAAAATATCATAACAATCCATGACAACAGAATTACAGAGACAGCAATACGGTTGAAATGACAAAGAAGAAAAATTGTGTTGTTTGATTGAATCACAGTAGTGAACATTTTAATTATCAATCCAGATTCACAAAAGCTAAAACGATCATAATCTTCAACAACCAGTCTGCAAACTGACACCCGTGACCAATAAAATTTTTTTGGGGACGAGTAGATTTGTCAGAATGTGTGGATTTAGTGGTCCAACATGCCCAATACATTTTAATGTTAAAAAAAACTAACATTTTTCCACAATTTTACATAAATGTTTTAAGAGTGTGTCTCCATGGGTGAAAGTGGTCCAGAAACATTTGACAAAATCAAGGTCTTGTCATTACTAGTAATAATTTGATATAGGAGTAAATGTCCAATATGATTGAAATTTTTATTTGGACCAATGATTCTTAACAGAACCAGTAGATTTCAGGAAACTGGCAACTGAACCAGTAGATTTTAGGAAGCTGGAAGTTGAAATAGATAGTAAGCTGAAAAGTTTATGGCACACACTGAACAACTGAAGATAACATCCTTATCAACTTCACCAGCAAGGAAGCTTCATTACTCTGGGGGTCAACCAAAGCATGCTTTCAGTATCAAGATAAAGCTGTAGTACCTTCTCTGGAGCTGGAGGGCTGAATGCCAGCAGTTTATCCACAGCCTGGTGGTGCTCCCTGTCCTCCTCCTCTTCCAAGCTGTGTTCCAAAACTCGAGCAGCGGGGTGTTTGTTTCCAAGTCTTTGCTGAACTTTAGCAAGGGGAGGAGTGTTCATACACAGCAGGTCATCATTGCTACAGGGAGATGTAAACAGAAAGATATTAAATAATGAAATGCAGACAAGGATCGAGTGAAAATAGAGAGAGCACCACTAATCTATTTTCTACTTCTTTGCCAATTATATTTCCTTGGCTCATTTTATTCAGAACCAGATGCATTTGGGCTGGGACTGAACGAACCTCTGGAGTCTGATGTAACCCTTATTTTCAGTCAAAGCCTACATGCCTTCCTTACTAATGGGAGAAAACTAAATCAATGAAATGAACACTCACCCAGACTCTGCTACAGACTGCAGCTGCTTGTTCTTCAAGATAGCTGAAAAAAATACACTTCAATATAATGTGCTATCAAAATTTCATGGAACTGTTAGAGTACCTGATAATTATATACTATATCCATCAGAACCAAATTAGTTTCAAATCATCACATCACTTGAAGAAAATCAGTAACAATTAATTAGAGGAAAAAATGACGAACTGCCGTCTTCAAAAATCTTTGACAATACAGCAATATGCTAGATTTTCATTTGATAAAATTTTCTTTCATTAGAAGCTATGTCAAACGAAATTTTTAGATAAGACTGTTGTCATAGTAATGTATGTTTCTAGGCATCTTACTGATGAGCCCAGCTTCTTAATCAATTTTTAAATCTAGCATCCTCAAACCTTACTCACATCCGAGCATAAAATGCTCAAAGGCATATCGACTGATATTCAACTAACATCTTAGTCATAAAAGCAGGACTGATAATTTCCTGAACGTCATAATTTTCATCTCAAATGGATGAGCATATCTGCTACACATAAAAAATAAGTTAATGGTGGGCGCATCTTGAAATTGTGCAATTAACAAAAGGCAATTTTTTTTGCAACGTTCCATACAGGAATAGTGTAGTGTATATGGACATAAACCCACAAGCTGACAATGACAAAAATCACATCTAATCTGCTGACAAATATAATTCTGATGAGACATTCTGTAGTCTAAAGGATACTGCACACCTCTGTGCAGTTTTTCTTACCTGGACTCTCTGCTCCCTTCACTAATGGATCGAACTTCACATACAGCGACTGCCTGCCCAATGCACTTTCTTTCAACTGCAAATTGAAAGTTCCAAGAAACCATGAATGTCAATAACCAAATAACAGAAACTGTATCAATTGGAAATGAACTAGCAAGAGAGGGATTCATTTCACTTTCCAAATCAAAAAGGATGCCACAAAAATATTAAATTACATGCCACTGGTAGGAAAGCAATCAACGAGAAATCAAATTCTTATATCCATATTCACCGACAATGTTTAACTAGCAGTGATGATCAACACAGCTGACAAACTGTTCCCCAATGAGACGGAGAGGTAATGCAGTTTCCTTCCATTAGATGTTTGCCAATTTCTACCCAATGAACAAACGTAAACATTTAAATGGTGGCATCCATCATAGAATTTCAAGTGGTATATTATCACATGTAAATCTCTTCTTAGTACCCGATGTGCACTATTGCATGAACATTTAACTTTAGATAGTACTGCTTTTTTTATTCAAAGAATATCCTCACATCCCTCTTAAGGTTTGATCTAGATTTAATTCATGTAACAAAACTTTCATTTCTAATTTTGGCTCTGAAAACCCTACAAACAATCCCTACTGCCAACAAGTTTCAATGACAAGGGAGGACTAAAATTCTAAATTCATTAAATGCGTGGCTGTGCTGTCATATCTACGTAGGTCTGTAATACAAGTGTCAGCTATATAAATAACATCTCCATCACTAGCTGACACCGACACCCACTTGGTACATTTTAGCAAGCTCCGACCTCAAACAACTGCATACTGTTTAACTTCCTTGAGCACACAAATATCATTATGACGCTGCTCCAGACAGTTGTAATACATGACTTATGATCAATAAAAATCGAGCCAAGAGCTGTATTGTATTCCGCAAGTAATCAAATTCTGAAGTATTCTTTTTTGTAGATTTTCATCATCCTGGTTTTCTGAATTAGATTTCTTCGGTTGCAAATTGATGCATGTTATCACACTATCATTTCATGGCTCAGGAGAAAAAAAATCCTGGGATATAAACACAATGCTACTTATATTAGTGAAATTTTCTTTGAAGACATTTTTGAGATTAATTGAGATTCATGTTAAAATTTGTAATTTCTCTCTTTGTATGCTAACAGACATCAATTAACACGTCTTCATACCTATGTAACTTCTTTACAACTGGTACATGTCATGACGCTTATCTCAAAACTTTCAATACCCATCTCTAAAAACTAATATGCCATTTTTATGAGTGATGGTAAGATAACATGACAACCTACACTCTATTGCATCCTCTCAACTAATACCATTTACAAGAATGATTAATGAAAACTGCTACTTACATCGCCTCTCCCACCAAACTTTTCTAGCATGTCCAATGCCAGCGGGTCATTGAACACTGAAAAATAAAGCAAAATTCATGGTGAGCAAAAAAATCAAAAGTTATAAATTCCATTTATCAAACAGGAGCTCAAACAGGTGATCAAATCTCAAGGTACCTTGAAAATGAAAACGCTCCAGCAAGCTACAGATCTCGACTTCTAAACAACTCGCCATGGTGAAGCAATGGACTGAGGGAGAGAAAAAGAGGCACCTTAGCTCTCACTTCAAATGCCAGCTCCAGACAGAACATCTCTTCCCAAAACCAGCCCACGCAGCAGGGACTAGGGAATAGTCAATACACAGATGCCTATAGACAACAGGACAAAGATTGGAGAGCACAGGCTGGATGGATCAATACGTGTTACATGTACAGTGTTGAATGCTACAGGTCCCAGAGAAGGTTACTGCTAGTTCATAAGAGCATCCATTAAATGCAAGGTTATGGGCAATGAACACAACAGAATGACTGTCTTTTGTTTTTATGATGAAAACTGTCATATTTTTATAATGATATCTTCTGACTGAAGCCAAAATAAATATTCATTTTATGTTTTATATTTTTGGGGTTTATTAATGAAACAAAATGAAAAGAAAATCCCAATTTTTTTAACCCGGACACTTTCTACACAAGATACACAAACAAAGGTGTGTCAGATTAAATCACCAAATCAGTTTCAAATCTGGTTAATGAGCAATATCCGTCACTACGAAAACAAGTTTAAACTTAACCAATGTCTAATGCACATTAATTTAATGCTTAACAGGCAATAAGGATTGGGGCAGATAAACAATGCTGCCACTATTCAAAACAATCATTTCAGTGCATTCAAGACTGCATATATACTATTCTTAGGAACCTTTGCTACAAGCACCCCAAGGCTCAAAAAACTGCATTCCAGTGCTCTGGCTCATTATCATATAGTACTTATTTGGTAACATCTCCAAATAACCTATTATATCTATACCCATTTCCAATACACATACCAGCCTTGAACAGTAGAAACCCTCTGACCAGGTACTGCAGAAAGTCGAGGCACGCCCTGAAAGCCCAAGTTTTCCAGTCAATGGCAGACAGTGTCACCATATTACACCCCTGAGCCTATGCTCTGCTGTCACACACACAGCACCCTTGCCAGCAACCTCCACTAAAGATGGATTGCTTTCTGGGTTTTAAAGATCTGTTCCAGCATTTTCACACCATTTCACTGGGTTATATATAGAACTCAGATTGTGTGTGGAAAATCCAGGCAGATTAAGCTATGACATTTCAAACTGTCTGATGGAACATGCAGTAATTCCTATACACCAGCTTTAACTGCGTTTGTGCCTCCTAAATCGTGACAAGCTGCCAAATCAATACCGATGTAATGTTCAATGCAACAGAGGTGTTTTGGTAAGAGGTACATGTAAATTTAGAGCTATTGTGACCTCGTCCTTTTTTGTTTGTTCAAGAAGCTGTATTTTGATATGCTATTTACAAGTTTAAAATACACTTGTACCAGTTTATCTGCACCTGCATAGTATTTGTGACCTTACTATGCTCCCAAGCTATACAGAAATGAAGTATGCGCTTGACCACTGTCTCAAAATATTGGGATAAAATGACATATTTAGGACAGCACCATCCACACACCAAATGGCTTGACATTTAATTTGGAGACAGGCAGGAGCTGCTAAAAATGATCATTTACACAGGTATACACTCACATTCATACCCTAACCTAATAACTGATCCTACCTTCATCTGCAGGCTTGAACGTCTCCTCTTCCGTCAGCTCCGTTTCCTGGCCGGCTTGCTGAGCCTCAAATATATTATCTCCTTTCTGATCGACTATCTGCTCCAATTCCCTAGAAACACTGTCCGTTAAATCCTTTTGTGCAACAGAGTCACTGGCTGAAGTTGTGTCGCCAGAGTCACAATGAGATTCAGGTTTGGTCACATTGTTATTATTGGACTCCTCCTGTGGTGCTGCTGACGGTGCCTTAGGTGCAAATATCTCAATATCACTATCAAAGGGATCCTGGAAGTAAAATAGAATTGGGTCATGTCTAGGAAAATAATATTCTTTCTTCTTTTCCTCCAAACTCCAAACATTAATCAATATTTGTTATTTCTTCAAATCTAATCCTCAATACTCAATTTGTCTGTTGTTTTTCTTTGCAGTCTAATTTAGTGTACATTTAGTGTACAGTGTACACCATGTCAAAATTAAATACAGACTTATCAATATACATATAAAGGCCAAGTCCTGAATGGTCTCTGAAACTTAATACATTTTAAATAATGACTTGTGATCAAATACTCTTCAATGCATATTATATATCCATATCTTTATTTGCTCTGAAAATGAAATACCACTTTGCCACTCTAATGCCCATAGAAGATACTTATTGAGAATATCATAAATTCATAAGACAATCAACATATATTTCTATTAAATCAATAATCTTTTGTACCCAGAAAGAGGATACTGTGTGCCGCTAACTAAAGAGAATACTAATTGGAAGTGGTCCTCATATTAAAATGTGTCAAAGACAATACTGGCTCATGGTTCACTGAATGTTTATGGTAATATGGGTTGATTTCCCAGTACAAGTGCATTTTAATCAGATATATCACAGAAGCAGGTCTTCAAAAATGCAAACACATCTAATTGCACTGCACTGCATGTTCACTATGGGGTGTAAGTGAGAACTTTCAAACCACAAATGCACACAGTCACAGACAATCACACCTTGATGAGCCAAATTTCTCATCATTCCTGAAGTATATGCTGATGTAAATATTGAAATGAATACACTGCAACAATATTTTTCTTTTACCCACCTTTTTAATCTGCCCAACTGGTCGCTTGAATTTCTTTGGCGCTTGTTTTGTAGGACTGCTTTTCTTTCTGTAAAACAAAAATGGTGACACAGTTACGGCAAGCAGGCGTGACAGGGGTCATAAGTAGCAGAGTAATAACATGAAAAGGCCAATGCTCTATCTGGCGTCCCATCAGGTATACCAGCCTTGCTTTTAGCCTCAAATCAATGGCCACTGGCCAAGTCAACCAATTGTAACCAAGCACTGCCCTTATGAATAATATACTGATGGATTCCATATCAAGGTCATAATCAATACTGTATACCTGTTGTTTAATAACAGTCAGCTCAGAGCTACCTCAAAGCCACCAGGTATATGCTGGAGATTTTCAAAGAGAACATCCTCTTAAAGATCAGATACACATGCCTTAAAACCATCCAAGTAAAGACTGTAACATAACCGCCCCCTGTCAAGACTAAATGGTGTCAGAAGAGGGCACAGCTTGGGTGGGAACACTACCTTGGTTACAAGAAAAACTCTTCACAATAAGCTGTCACTTCTGATTTATCTGCAGAGCAATGTCAATGTCATAGCAATAATACAATACATAACATAATCATGTAGGAAAAATCCATCCAGATTTTCTTTCAAAAATCAAATCTGGCTTTTTATTATTTAAGAGGAGGGAGAGAGTTTTCACAGTATCAGCCAGGCTAATATTTTAATGCCTTTAGGAGCCTACTAGTACTAAACCCTCCAGCTTGTTAAACAATGATATCTATTAGCATAGGACCGACATCACATTTTTCATCACACTCTATACATCATTAATGACATTCAGCCAACTGTTTCAGTCTTAACATCAATTAAATCCATCTTCTATAACTAGGAAATACAACCTTTACCCTATTTATAACTGACAACAAGCTGAACAGTACATAATATATTTCTATGGCAGTTATTCCTGTGTGAAAACATCCCAGAAGAGGTGGCCCCTTAATTTACATTAGCCCACCTTTCCCTAGAGATAGGAATGCCAATAACTCCTCATTAAACCTGCATACCTGGAGAAACCAGCCATCCTGTGCTAACTCACCTGTTTAGGGCTCCCCACCTGTCATCCACCACTAACAGAAACTGAGACGACTCCACAGAGGAAACCTAATGCTTGGCCCCAAACAACAAGTCCTTATGAAAACCTAATTCCAGCTTAAATGAATTCCATACTGCCCTTGGATTAAAAAGAAATATTGTGTCCCCTTAAGCACTAAAAATGACAAATTTCTGACATTCCTTATTGATCCCTTTGGCCTGCTTAAAGTGGTTACCCAAGGACACAATTATAATAACGTAGATGTAGAACGGAACATTATTGATGTGCTTTTCTAACAGCAAATCAATAACAGTTTGTAAACAGTCATAACTTATCACGTGGCAGCACTTATACAATGGAGGATCAACATGTTTGCTGCATGTTTCTTTTCTAAAATCGTTGCCTGTCCAAGCACTGAAATAGATCACCCTTAGGCCCTTGGTGTATAATATAGGACAGACTTAGCTGGAAGACAAATGTCCCATATATGTATCACACAAGATACACCTCGTGAATATAAATGGACTCTACTAGCATTTCACTAGGTAAACATCATTGCCTGGGTTCACTTACCTTGATCACCACACAAATTCCAGGTGATATTACTGTGATATAGAATTATATGAATTAACTTTGGTGGCTGTATTATAGATTGAGGCAGTATTTGTTTTGATGTATCAAAACATGCAAAGAGTTTCTACAGATTTTCTGACAAGATACTTCAATATTTCACCGTCTTTAAGATATATAAGAAAGTAACTATCCCATTTTGTGCTAAAACATCATTTCCTTTCATACTAACAAGGGCAGTAAGACAGATCCTCCTTTGTCTATATGTATCATTACTTTTTATCTGATCTTAGACACTTCTGAACATGTCAATTTAGATCTACATACAGATATGATATTTCTTCCTATCATAACAAGATTTTCACCTATACCTCACCTGCATATTAAAACGTCCTAGGGTCACTGTAGAAGAAATGTATCCTATTCCAGCCAAATAACTCGTTTTTCCCTAGTTTAAAAGAATTCAACAGAAACTAATCCAATCTTCTCATTAGCTAAAATAATATTCTTCTCAGCTTAAATAGATTTTCTACAGCATCTAGTGCAAACTTGGCATGCTAGCCAGGGCCTAGACGTATGCACCATGACATTTCGGATGCAATGTTGAAAACGAGCCAATAAACTCCTGCAATAGCAAGTAGACTAAGAACTATGTAATTCCAACTAATCCCTCTTCAAAGGCTTTGATTGGTGAGGTAACCATTTTTCTTGCCTGGCTGGGTAAAGAATAACAGACGTGTGCTCAAGTTCTTATCAGGTCCTTTCCTTTTGATGGGATACCAAGCACACAATGTGGTATTATAATTTAACGTTTCCACCGATAAACTGTGTACACAACATTTAAAAGGCGATACAATTGTCTCCATCTCCAGCTATAAAAAATGATGAAAACTTTAAGTATACCACCTCACNGTAAAAATCTATACAAATGACCTTTGCCTGACCTTTGACCCTAAGCCAATGACCTTTGGTGAATAATTCTTATCAAATAAGCTTTTCTTTTAAACAAAAAGGTCTTTGTCTCTAAGTCTGGATATATTTCAAGGTCTTAACCCCATTTATTCCAGCAAAAATACTCCTAAAAAATAAAGACCCCCTTTACCTATGGAGACTTAGTATATTGGCGGCCATCTTGGAAAACTGCCCTAAAAACCATTTTCCACTACTTAGATTTTTCTAGATTTTTAATATGTTAAAATTTGGATATTTAGCTTTCTAAAAAACATCATTACAATTTTTTTGCAATTAGTCCTGGGTTAGGCCATTTTTTTCGCTCAGTTTACTAGTCTAGGTATACCAGCCTTGCTTTTAGCCTCAAATCAATGGCCACTGGCCAAGTCAACCAATTGTAACCAAGCACTGCCCTTATGAATAATATACTGATGAATTCCATATCAAGGTCATAATCAATACTGTATACCTGTTGTTTAATAACAGTCAGCTCAGAGCTACCTCAAAGCCACCAGGTATATGCTGGAGATTTTCAAAGAGAACATCCTCTTAAAGATCAGATACACATGCCTTAAAACCATCCAAGTAAAGACTGTAACATAACCGCCCCCTGTCAAGACTAAATGGTGTCAGCAGAGGGCACAGCTTGGGTGGGAACACTACCTTGGTTACAAGAAAAACTCCTCACAATAAGCTGTCGCTTCTGATTTATCTGCAGAGCAATGTCAATGTCATAGCAATAATACAATACACAACATAATCATGTAGGAGAAATCATCCAGATTTTCTTTCAAAAATCAAATCTGGCTTTTTATTATTAAAGAGGAGGGAGAGAGTTTTCACAGTATCAGCCAGGCTAATATTTTAATGCCTTTAGGAGCCTACTAAACCCTCCAGCTTGTTTAACAACCATATCTATTAGCATAGCACCAACATCACATTTTTCATCTCACCCTATATATCATTAATGACATTCAGCCAACTGTTTCAGTCTTTACATCAATTAAATCCATCTTCTATAACTAGGAAATACAACCTTTACCCTATTTATAACTGACAACAAGCTGAACAGTACATAATACATTTCTATGGCAGTTATTCCTGTGTGAAAACATCCCAGAAGAGGTGGCCCCTTAATTTACATTAGCCCACCTTTCCCTAGAGATAGGAATGCCAATAACTCCTCATTAAATCTGCATACCTGGAGAAACCAGCCATCCTGTGCTAACTCACCTGTTTAGGGCTCCCCACCTGTCATCCACCACTAACAGAAACTGAGACTACTCCACAGAGGAAACCTAATGCTTGGCCCCAAACAACAAGTCCTTATGAAAACCTAATACCAGCTTAAATGAATTCCATACTGCCCTTGGATTAAAAAGAAATATTGTATCGCCTTAAGCACTAAAAATGACAAATTTCTGACATTCCTCATTGATCCCCTTGGCCTGCTTAAAGTGGTTACCCAAGGACACAATTATAATAACGTAGATGTAGAACGGAACATTATTGATGTGCTTTTCTAACAGCAAATCAATAACAGTTTGTAAACAGTCATAACTTATCACGTGGCAGCACTTATACAATGGAGGATCAACATGCTTGCTGCATGTTTCTTTTTTTTTTAAATCGTTGCCTGTCCAAGCACTGAAATAGATCACCCTTACTAAGTTAGGCCCTTGGTGTATAATATAGGACAGGCTTAGCTGGAAGACAAATGTTCTATATATGTATCACACAAGTTACACCTTGTGAATATAAATGGACTCTACTAGCATTTCACTAGGTAAACATCATTGCCTGGGTTCACTTGTAAACCTCGATAACCACACAAATTCCAGGTGATATTACTGTGATATAGAATTATATGAATTAACTATGGTGGCTGTATTATAGATTGAGGTAGTATTTGTTTTGATGAATCAAAACATGCAAAGAGTTTCTACAGATTTTCTGACAAGATACTTCAATATTTCACCGTCTTTAAGATATATAAGAAAGTAACTATCCCATTTTGTGCTAAAACAATTTCCTTTCATACTAACAAGGGCAGTAAGACAGATCCTCCTTTGTCTATATGTATCATTACTTTTTATCTGATCTTAGACACTTCTGAACATGTCAATTTAGATCTACATACAGATATGATATTTCTTCCTATCATAACAAGATTTTCACCTATACCTCACCTGCATATTAAAACGTCCTAGGGTCACTTAGAAGAAATGTATCCTATTCCAGCCAAATAACTCGTTTTTCCCCAATCTTATAAGAATTCAACAGAAACCAATCCGATCTTCTCATTAGATAAAATAATATTCTTCTCAGCTAAAATAGATTTTCTACAGCATCTAGTGCAAACTTGGCATGCTAGCCAGGGCCTAGACGTATGCACCATGACATTTTGGATGCAATGTTGAAAACGAGCCAATAAACTCCTGCAATAGCTAGTAGACTAAGAGCTATGTAATTCCAACTAATCCCTCTTCAAAAGCTTTGATTGGTGAGGTAACCATTTTTCTTGCCTGGCTGGGTAAAGAATAACAGACGTGTGCTCAAGTTCTTATCAGGTCCTTTCCTTTTGATGGGATACCAAGCACACAATGTGGTATTATAATTTAACGTTTCCACCGATAAACTGTGTACACAACATTTAAAAGGCGATACAATTGTCTCCATCTCCAGCTATAAAAAATGATGAAAACTTTAAGTATACCACCTCACTGTCCAATTATTTTAGTACCACAGCAAAATTTAGGGAAGTATCACTTGAATTTGATCAGGAAACGCATTTAAGAGCTCATTGTACCATATGATGCTATGTCAACATTTGAAAATAGATTACAGACTCTCTGAGATAGATGTTGCAAATATATTCTGCCTCTATGATAATCAAACCAACTTACTTTTGTGTTTTCTTCTGCTCCTTGTTCATCTCTGGTTCAACTTTGTCCTGACCATTGTTGTCCTTCAAATCAGTAGTATAACTTCCATTCATATTTACGCTGTTGTCCACCTGCAAGGACTTTGGTGGCGAGTTTGCCAACTGAGTCTTCGTCTCAAAAGGGTTGACATTCTCATCAAACCCCATATTGTTTGGAGGTGACTGAGCTACTTTAGTCTTAGTTTTAAAAGGATCAATATTGTCATCGAAGTTTTCACTCTTGGGTGGTGACTGCCCCACTTTGGACTTGGTTTGAAAAGGGTCGATATTTTCATCAAAATGTTCCTCTTTTGGAGGGGAGTTTGCCATTTTGGACTTCGTTTTGAATGGGTCAATGTTTTCATCAAAGTCATCATGTTTGGGTGGTGACATTGCTACCTTTGATTTGGTTTGGAAAGGGTCAATATCTTCACCAAAGTCTCCTGTTTTAGGTGGGGATTGTGCCATATTGGACTTTGTTTTGAAAGGGTCCATATTTTCATCAAAGTCATCATGTTTGGGCGGTGACATTGCAACCTTTGATTTGGTCTGGAAAGGGTTGATATTTTCGTCAAAATCTCCACCTTTGGGTGGGGACATTTTCATTTTCGACTTGGTCTTAAAAGGATCTATATTATCATCCACCCCTTCGTTCCCTGAATTGAAAATGGCATCTCCCCCAGTCTTTGGTGGGGACATGGCAAGCCCTTTCTTACAAGCAAAAGGATCAGTGTTTTCATCAAAATCATCGAAATTGTAATTATACGATCCTTTAGGAATAGGTATGGGGGACGTTTCTCCTGTGTCATTCATCTTCTCTTCCTTTTCTTCCTTAGGTTCCACAGTATCTTGAAACTCTTCTGGCTCCTGTACTAGAGATGTAGGTTGAGGTTTCTGGACATCCCCTTCAGACAATACAGCCTCCCCTGTAGCAGTACCTTGTTCAGCAACTGGCTCTCGTGATCCTGAGGATGATACGTTGTTGGGAGTGTCTACAAGGCCCTCCTCTGCATCAAAGAACTCCTGGGCACTTGTATCTTTAGCGTCCTCCTGCTCCTCCTTTGCCTCCTCGGAGACTTCCTCTTTGGGCTGAGGTGGTGGTTGGTTCTCAGTAATATGCTCCTCCCTGGAAGAAAATCGAAATAAGTTAAACCAACTCATACTTTCGAAGTGATGTCAGGCAACAAAGCTGTCCTGTGGCCCATCTGTACAAACACTCAGCAGCTTACTAGTAACCAAACAGCCATATGAGCCACAGGAAAGGGAAAATATACATACATCAGTGGTTCCCTACTATCATAAATCTCAACCTACATTTCAACTTGAAAGTTTCCTTCCTGTTCACTCTCTCTTCCTGACAATGACACACAGGTATGTACTTCAGGTGAGGTGCCCACTTCCCAGCAAAAGGGTATACCTGTGAGGTGTCTATTTCCTATCAAAACCACCAATACCTAAATACCACATTTCATAGTAATCATTCGAAGCTGTGACCTGCAGCAACAAAAAGGTGAGCATTTTTTATCATTACCTTTGTCCTCTAGAGCAATTAAGGTTCCCCATAAGAACCTCTTCTGTGAGATAATTAACAGTAATCTGCTAATCCAGGCATGTCAAAATATCCCCTCTGAACACGATCTGGGTAGAACATATCGTTGCCTGTTGTCTATTCGCATTACTACATGGAACAATCACACTAAAAATCTTCCCACTGTCCACTTCGATAAGATAACTTCTTTCCCTCAAATAACATTTCATCACACATTTTCAAAATCTCATCAGGCAAGCCATGGACAATAGGACAGAGATACAAATGTATCATCTTTTTTATACCAAGGTCAAAAAGATTTTTAAAAAACCCTTGGATGTAAAACAGAAATGATGGATAGATTTATAATGAATTAAACACCTTGGAGTTGCTGCAGAACAGTAAGAACAACCACAAGCTGTCAAAGGTGTACTATACCATACATCATAGTCTAACTGGTCCCCATGCTGCTCTTCTCTATCCTCTCAATATTCTGCACACCTTAACACTCTAGACATATATACACCACAGTGAACCTGGGTACCTCACTACTATATAGATAAATGCTCTCTAAATAAACCCAAAGACTATGTGGAGCCATGACCTTAGGGGGCATCTTTTATCCTACCACAAACATAGCTTTTTAAGATGTATATACATGTGTCACACCTTGAAAAGTGTTGATGTACTGGAGGATACCCACCCAATAGAAATAGCCATTTGCTTCAATGAGCACAGTTCATGCAAAGGTAATATGGGACAAGGGAAGGGAGGTCTAAATTCCTTTTCATTTTCATGTAATAATTCATGAAATGTTTCCGGTCTACACTTTATCAGTTTTAAAGCAGTCGGATGTGAAAAAATAAAATTATTCTAGAATGGCCATCATGGGTAATTCAAATACCTCTTTTCATGTTGCCAAAGTTTTGAAAAACCTGAGCAATATCTTTCACAATTAAATTTATTTTGTATTTAAATGTCAGTTAGAAACATTTACCTATGTCTGTTAAAATTCTTCCTTCCACATAAAACCTCAATAGGCTGACTGAAGTACTAACAACCCATGCCCAGACTATATAAACCACAATATTAGCTATAGGTCTGTATAGCTACATAAGCACACCTGGTGGAGATAAGAGGAACTAGAATTGATCTTTTCATGAGTAAAAAATAATACGCTGTTTGAGGACACTATATAATACTGATCTTCGGTTACTTGGATTACACAATGTTGTAACTCTACAACATGTGATAGAAAATCCAATTGATTTTTCTAGGGGGAAGGGGGTTAAACTTCAATAAGTTACCCAAATTTGGATGTACTTTTTTTTCTAAAACAATTCAAAACATACATCTTTTATATTATATTTTGGGAATATTGATAAAAAGAAACAACAAGCACCACCCTCCTAAACTCTAATGAATTGGACTAACAGTAGAGGATTATAAATATATATACTTTGCACAATGAATCAACTAACCTCACTTGTAGGATAGGCAAATTTGCAATCAGTTCATCAACAAATTCCTTAGCTAGCTTGATGTATTCTTCGTGGTCTGCTTTTGTCACTACTGCAGTACGCTCAAGCCAACACTCGTTTTCATCCAAAACACGAATATCCTCATAGCGTGTGGGGGTCACTTGCTTCCCTGGAGTCTGAGGCGGCGTCTCAACAGGCAACTTGGCCACCGATGGAGTCTCAAAGTGAACCTAAAAAGAGGAAAAAAATTATGTTCAAACTATACATAACAAAACTTAAATCTATTCTGATTTCTTTTAGCCATTTAAGCATTCGCCATCTTCCTTTTGACTACACTTGTCTCAGACACCTTTCTAACTCCATTTTGAATTTGTATTTTGGTCCCCTCCAAGAACTGCAGTCAGTCACTCCAGCATTCTACTTTCATCAGTCAGTTCCTCTTTCTAGCATGCAGACTCATGTTGTGTAAGAGTATGAATAACTATTACTGATTAATGAGGCATAAAAAAGAAATCTAACTGCAACCTCAACCGGTTGAGTCATACCACCAGCACTTCACTTCAATGTCATGCATATGCAAAAATCGCACTCACGGGTTTCTCAGCTTCAAACTTCTCCGGTTTAACTTTCACAGACTTCTCTGGTTTAACTTTTTCACTTTTTCCAACCGTTTCTTTGCTGTTCTCAGCACCCATGATGCCAATTTAACTAGGCGTGATTTCAAGAATCATGTTTATCTACATCAAGCTTTGAAATCCAAGCAAAATAATCTTCTTACTCCCTCTGCGCAGTATACTCTGAGGAACTTAATATTGCTAAATACCAGAACAAGCAGAAGGGCAACAGCAGAGTTATGTTTGGATATCATGCAGAGTTTTTAGCAAAACTTGGCATGGTTATCTAGGAGGATTTTCCATGTAATGTGGTTTTTCTTTCTCCCTGTATTATTAGCATCCAGGTATTTTGTTGTTGTACTTCCATCTTGCACTTCTGACTTTTGCACAGGTGTACTCAATTACTCATGTCTCAGGTAGACAAAAAGTGCACTCTCTTTATCATGCAGAAAAAGGTAAGGGGCTGCGACTTAATTTGTACAAAATTTGGTTCTTCTTATATATTTACTTTCTTGCATTTCTTCCTTGTGGTTTAAACACTAATTTGATTTTGTCAACTTAAGAAATTTAACTTTCACTTTATTTCTTTGATCTTGAGAGAGATTGCCAACAGGTCAAATCATGTTTGTGCCAATGTTGAAACTAGTAAATTAATACTTGCTTCTCTCTCCCTCTCTTTTTTTTTTTTTTTTTTTTTTGGCTAAATATAATTTTAAGAAAATATCTTTGGACCATAAATGCCAGAATAAATAAGCGAAGAAAGTTAATTCTGTTATTATTTCTTCCCATAAATATTTTAGTTATAAATGAAATTTTTAGTTCAACTACCATGTCAGCATCACCCTATACAACATTAAATAGAAGGGATGAACTCGGCCACTTCAACACAGATACTTGAATGTATAAAGATGAATCATGACTTATAAATATAGACTGTCTATGTTTTAAAGCAAAACGCCTGATGTGTAGAAAATGAATCAACTTTGATATAGCCATTATAGCATAATGCACAGAGTGAGCCTAGTCTGAGACCAAATATCACTTTCATCACAGACTCTTTAAAACAGCAACAAAGCTTCTTTTGGTTTGTCATTTTTCAGTTCTAATTCTGGCACATCATTAGCATTCACTTTTTTATCACATGAATGAAAAGACCAGACTTATGATTGAATTTGTTTCCTTCACCACAAACAAGTGTTTTGAACACTTTCACCATGCTAAAAATAGCTTTTTTTAATTTCAAAATTGACCAATACTAGCAAGTTCAGGATTTATTTGACTTAAGTACTGACAGACTTTGATTACTATCGAGTCCAAATTATGTTTTACTTCAATAATATATTACTGTCCTTTGGATCTCGTACAATTCAGTTTTAATTAGCTACATGCCAGTGGTCATCTTTAACATTATATTCCAAATAACTTATTACAAATACATTACCTTTAAATGTTTGTGCTGTGGTGTCTTCAGGTCAATCAGATTATCAAAGTTTGAAGGTTTTAGAATTGATCTGCAAAGAGCTGGACTTTTATGAGAGTTGGCTGTCTTGCTACAATCCAATGGACCAATATTCTCGTCATGTAGAGAGTCAACAAAGGCATCCAAACTCATTCTGAACCTAAAATTAAAAACATTTTACTGGTTTTATGAACTTTGTAATGAAATCAAAGACAAGCTCCCACTAAGTAAATACAGGCGGGAATATATATTAGTTATAAGTTATCAACATACAGGATAGCAAACATTTTATCATACATGTGATAGTGATGTAGTCAAATAACAAATTTGGATGGTCAATAAACTCAGTTGCGGGGCTAGCTGGCACTGAAAACAGATATTATCATATGATATGATAGGGTATTAAATAACTGATAAAAAAAAAGTGTGTGTGTGTGTTTGTGTGTATGTAGGAGGGAGGATAGCAAGGGCACATTCAAGTTCTACCAAAATATCTATTGTACTAATAGTTGTATATAATTTTATACCTTTAGCATAAAGGTTCATGTTAAAGCACCCCTATTTACATTAATTTTCTATACATACTTTCTGTACCAACACAATAAGATCAAATTACAACACAAAATTTTCATCTGCCAGGATACATGTATCTCTGATGTATTTCTGGCATTCAGAAGTCTGTTGATGACAGTCTTCAATGAGTAATTTTTACAGCAGCATAGGATTGTGACTTTATTCACAGAGTTGTCCACTGCAAGACTGGATGAATCTTTGAGCAACATGCAACATGAGGAGGTGATGGGTAAGCAAATTAATTAAGAGCCCTCATAACTTGGCCGAGGCAGGGACAACATTTGACTGTTAATTATGTGCATAGATTGTGCATGAATTGGCACATTTGGCACTCGTAAGAAAAACTACTAGAAAATATTGATGTACAGACTTATGTGGCACTAGTTTCACTGTTGTCAACCTTTTGAAGTAAAACACCGATTTATATATCGCTGTTCAATTTTTAAATCATCTAAAAACATAAACAGCACATACATGTAAATGTTTACATATGACATCTGACGACAATCGTGTTTATATTTAAACTGTGTTCAATAATACATAAAAAAGTACTTGTAAAGACATTCACGTGGTAACTGAAACAAGTTTAGAGAATCTACTTGAACAGGAGTGAGATTAACATCAAAGATGAGTACACATCACGGAATGCACATGGGGCGACCCACTGAAGTCACTTCCTCTTTCGTACGTCTGCATTTAAATTACTTGATATGCCACATGACAAGTTCTTTTTTTTTTAATGAAATATTGTTCACAAAACCTTTACATCACATATACACGTTCTCTAAGCCTTACCGGTGATATGCAAGTGTTATCCAGGGAATATGAAGTCAACAGGTCATGGAATATGTCTCCTTCAGGAAACTTTTGAATTTCAAATCGCTCCATGACCGTTGTTGGTTGTGCCCATGCGCAAATATTGTACTTTCGAGTTGTGATCTCGTTTTCGATGGACTTTTAAATTATGCAAATAAAGAATAGTCTAATCTCCACATCAAGCCTCGTTTTCAATTAAGTGAACCGAAGTAGTGTTCCGCTCTTATGCCTCCCTTTTAATTTGCAGTAAAAACACAAAACTCCCCTTTTCGTGTAATGACTCCTTTTGATTGGAGCTTTTAGAAACTTCTGAAACTAATAAATTGTTTCATAGAGAAAATGTACTACAAAAACACCGTCTTAAACGCGTGAGTTCCTTTGGTGTTACAGTTTTACACGTATCTATCAATATGTTTGTTTTCTGAAATATCATTGGTTCAAAATTGCCACTTGAATTTTCTGTATTTTCATCACCTTTGAGTGAAGAGATATTATGTTTATATTTTCTGGTACCTTTGAATTGCAAAAAACGCATCTTTGTCAGCACACATAAATAGTTTAATCTTATCTACGAGCGTTATTCGAAAGAATATATAGATGCGTTGAAACGGAACTCTCTAGTAGGCCAATCAACACGTTTGATATAAAAGGTGCTTGGGCTACTATACATGCGCAGCTTCGGGGCGCGAAAGTTGCACATAAATTTTGTACAGTTGTGTGTTGACAGTGGTTGATTATTGCAATTTCGTGCCTCCCGAGGTGTTTTCTGCTTTTACTATGAATGCCGATTGATGTGATAAGAGGTAATAATGACAAAATGCAGTGATTCCCCAAAGGGTGGGATATCGCGAAAGTCAGCACACCAAATGATCAAGTCAAGAAAATGAAAGTGTTTTGTCCAAAGCCGTAAGCCTTGTGTGCCACTGTAAGTGTAAGATACTAAGGATAGAAACTAGTGATGGAATCTGATTCAGACGAAGAGCTTTCTGTTCCGACTGAACCAGAACAAACTGAAGATGAAAGACGTCAACTTCGACATCAGTACATGGTTATTCAAGATGAATTAAAAGGTGAGGATGACTCTCTATCTACAATCACTTCCTTAATGTTATACACACGATTGTATGGTTTTTATCTTCTTAATTATTGACATAACGTCACATAAGGCATGTATTTTTCATCAAATTGAATACCTATTGTTCACGACTTGTTTTAGTCCCTAGAACTTGGTTTGAAGTGACTGATTTAAAGAGAATAAATGTCAATTTTTGTCTTTTAGCAAGACAGCATGATCTAATCAACCCAGAATCTGAAGAACTCACAGATAAGTTGAAGGAATGCAATTCTTTATTTCAAAGAGGTACTTTATCAATTGATTAAAAGAAAATTACTTTGTTTTTCTTAAGATAAATTGAATTTGGCAGAAAAAAAAAACTAAAATGATGCTTTTAAGTTTATATAATAGCAATAAATATAGTACTAGTAACTATGACAGTAGCTGGTAATCAGCGTTATGGTGTGTATTGAAATGTATTTTGATTGGTCACTTGTCACAAAGCACCAGAATAATGAAAAATATTTATGCAATTAGATTTTCAAGATTTTGTTTAATTTACTAGTAAAATTGACCAGGGAAGCAACCAAGGACTCTCAAGCTCTGCTGACAATCGCTCAACTGGGAAGGCAGAAAGCACAAGCATTACAGACAGACATCAACACATTTAATGCGTTGGAATTTTCTGAACGTCTGGTTAGTCATATCATGCAGTCAGAATTGCTGCTTATACAATAGCATGAAGCCCAGTTTCACTCAAAATGTTACTGAGCTTAAGTATTTTACCTGCTGAGGTAGACATATTTTAATATAAACTTGGTAACAAACAAACAGACATCTTTTGGGCACAAGTTATCTTCCATTATAGGAGAACTAAAGCTATTCAGAACCACCAAAAAATGCTGGACAGTTGGTCCAGGTGAAATTTTTTTCGGAGGTTCAGAAAAGCACATGCAGTAGCAAAAAATAATCTTCCACTATTAAATTATACATATAATTCACTTGAGATGGAAGTAAATGAACTTGCTCAGGTAGGCCCAGCTTAACTTGGTTGTGATCAGAGCCTGTGTTACTTAATCTAAAATATACAAACGTAGTGTGGTTTGTAAAGTATTTTGGCTTTTTTTCAGGTAAATTACATAAGTTTTGGAAGGATACCTGCAACTTCCACGGATAACAATGCCAGGATTCCAAGGATAAGTTGGGAGAAGTTTGGAGAAGCAGTGCAGCCTTTCTTTAGTAGAACCCCACCTTTGAGATGCATGTAAGTTATAGTAGAATAATTTGGGTAAAACACAGGATTACTGTTCTAACATCATCATTTTTATTTCTAATCATATAGAAATTACTTAAGATCTTCAATTTGTAAGAAATAATGGTAGAAAGACTTTTAAATGAATGTGTTACAGACTGTGCTTACCTTATCTCCTTTTACAGGTTGGGTACCTTTGAGAGAGGGCCGCCTGAGAGAAGAGTTTCTAATAGAAATACAGACAAAGGTGATAGAGATGCCATTACTGATAGAACAGTGCCAAAGCAAGTAGGTATTTTTACTGTTAATTGATGGTATTCACATTTTCTAAATGATAATCATAGTTGTTAAGATAAATTCCCTGTCAAATAGTTTGGTTTATTATAAAACTTAACATTTTTAATTGTAGTTTTTTTATTCATTCAGTTAAAATCTGTAGATGAAGAAGAACAGAGAGAGCAAACGACAGAAGAAGTGGAGAGAATCCATAGACTTTTGATGAACTACTGGAGAAACAATAAGAGTAAGTTCAAATGACATTTGTGCATTTTATTAAGAAACTATTTTGAATTTAAAGAAATTGTTAAAAGCATGTCCTTGAAGAAATGTGGTCAGTGTGCACACTTGATCTTAATTTGAGTATAGAATTAAGTACTAAGTATAGAATTAATAATGGTTAATTATTGTCTGTTTATATTTATTTTAAGACTAAAAAGGCAGGGTAAATAATTGTTAGCATGTTTGGATTGAAAATTGGCTGCAAATTTAAATAGACATTGTCCTGTTGAAAAAATTCCCTTTCTTTATTTGTTTATTAGTACCACCAGTGTGTACGCTGGCGGTACTCATGGTTTTAGTCCCGACCCGTCAGATATGGCTCTTTTGGCTCTGCCGGCTCCACTTTCCTGCGCCAGATACAAGTCACCGTTACCACTTCTCCTCCTAGGCCCCAAGGACCTGTGTCCCCATCTCTTGGATTTAGGTCACATATAATCTTAACTTAAACCCCCTGTTTTTTTTTTTTTTTTTTTTTTTTT